GCTGCGAAGCTCGATCGACATGCCCGGCGGTGACGACTTTGAAGACGATTTTGTTCCAGATGAGCTCGTTGCCTTGACGGACGAAGAGGAGGCGGAAGGAGACGACGACTCTGAGGAGCAGCAAGAGGAGAACGACTCGCATGCTCACACCGTCGACGGGAATGCGCGAAATGAAGGGTCTGATCTGGTCTCTCGGGCACCATCGGATACTGCGAAAAAACGTAAACGTGAAAGGGAGCGAGAAAAATTCAAAGAAAAGAAAGTATGCGCCACAAGTTTCTTGTGTGTATCCAATTGGGAATACTCATCATCCACGAAATTCAGAAGCGCAAACTATTGCTCGAAGCGCCTACGAGAGGGAGCAGTGCAGAGGGCACCACCACCACCGACCAATCTCCTCCTGCACTTGCAGAGTACCTCGCCTCGCTACAAAAGAAAGCTTTCTCTAAGTTGTCGGCGTTGGAACTTGAGGATGCACGCATACCGGGTACCGATCGCCCCCACTTTCCGTTCAAACGATCTGATTCTCGACCAAGTCGATGCAATCGTGGATACATCCGCATGGACGGGCCCGAGAACATTAGATAACTTGGTGGATTTCATAGTCAAAGGTGCGGTGCATGCTTGTTCAGTCATGCGTGCTCAATGTGTAGTACAGTCATTCCCGACCTTCGCATTAGACTGGGTCAACGATCCAAGACAAACGGAGCACCCACTCTCCTCTTCCTGGCTACAGCAGCACTCCGCGTGGCCGATGTGACGCGCATTCTGCGAGACAAGAAGCTCAGAGGCGACAAGGGAGGCGATGTAGCCAAACTATTCGCAAAGCACTTCAAGCTGGCACAGCATGTCGATTACCTGCGACGAAATAAGATCGGGGCTGCAGCTGGTACACCAGGGAGGATCGGTCAATTGCTTTGCGAGACAGGTCAGTCGACCATAAATGTCCAGCAGAATGCGCGAGTTACAGTCTTTCGCAGATTCCCTTGCGGTTTCAGCCCTCACACACATCATACTGGATGTATCCTTCCGGGATACCAAGAAGCGTAACATGTTCGAAATTCCAGAGGTTCGAGACGAGGTCCGTGTTGAGTATTAATCCCCCCCATGATCTGACACATTGAGCACAGGTATTCAAAACAGTGCTGGGCGCCCCACAGATTCTCCAAGGAATCAAAGCTGGAAAGATTCGAGTGGTGCTCTTCTGATATAGTAGTAGCGATACATCGTCAGAAACCCTTCGGGTTCGTTCGTTGTGTGAGCTAACCAAAGATGATTGCGAGTTCGAATTCTGACACGGATGGGGACGCACCCTTGTCCATTTGGGAACTTTATGAATTCCCTTCCTGTAGCCGTTCGTGTGTGGTGAAAAGACCGTGTACTTGTCTTTGGCGGGCATTTCATGCTCTTTCGGAAGGTCCAGTGCTCGGTCCTATCAATGAAATTCATCCTAGGGAGCGCGCAACACGGGCTGTTACAACGTACCAGGGAATGACACTGAACACCGCTAGACCTGACCGCCTCAATGACAGCGTCCACCTTTTTTAATCTCGAGCGGACATTTGCTTTGCGTGTGGTTGACAATTTCCATGGGGATTTCCTAGAACGAGAAAGGTTGGCACTGGTCCGTGCATTCAAAGGTCTGAATACCAGAGAAGACCGCCTTGATTCACATGGGAGGCACGGAATGCCCCGAACATCAGGATGAGAGAGGGAAAGAGATTGATGAATCACGTGTCTAGTCGCGACTCGACTCTCTCCCCCATCTCTGCGCATTGTAACGGTCCCTACTATGGAAGTCGACGGTCCTAACGGAGCTGTCGCCATTGAATCCGAAAGAGAAGGCCCAAGATTTGCGAGTGGCCTTATCCTTCCACCGCCCGAAATCAAATGCAAGCTTCCATAGCGTCTTAACCGTGCATGCTTGTAAACTTTTTGTTTAGCTGTAATCGACCGCACGGCCACCTTCGTTGCTCGCTCTGCCAATCCTCCTCAATTTGAGGAGAAAATTCGGGAAGGCCAGCGCTCGGACCCCAAGTTTTCCTTCCTCAATCCAGTAGACCCATACCATGGCTACTACCGACACAAGATGGACAGGGTAGCTCAAGGAGACATGGGGGAGGAGGCGACGCAGGAGAAACCTGAAACAGGCGCGACAGAGGACGTTGCACCCATTGACATGGGTGTTGAACCACCCGCGCCTGACTTCGTTCTGGAATTACCCACCATCAGCAGCATTGACTTGTGAGCATCTTATTCTACCCCCAGTCACATGGACTCTCATTTCTTTGCAAGGGATATCATGAAGTTGACTGCTCTCTTCACTGCTAAACGGGGACAAACCTTCAGTTCTGCGCTTGCCGTCCGGGAGGGACGCAACTATCAATTCGAGTTCCTCCGCCCCCAGCACTCCCTCTTTGGCTACTTCAAGCGGTTGGTGGAGCAATACCAGAAAGTTCTGTATCCTAATAAGGAGATGCTGCAACAGCTCAAGAGTCGAACGGAGGAGGATGCCAAGTGGAAGACTCTGGAAGTAGCCAGGACACACGCCAAGTGGGAGAAAAACAAGAGAGAGCGGGACAAGAAGCGTCAGGATGACGCTGAAGCTGAGCGAAGTGAGTGCAATCTTTCTTCCAGTTGCTCAGGTCTGACCGTTGTGTAAAGTTGCGTTTGCTGAAATCGACTGGCACGACTATCACATCGTTCAGACCATCGAGTTCACTGCCGCTGACTCGAACGCTGTCTTGCCACCACCAATGAGCGTTCAGGAGGTGGAGAACATGACCCTCACTCAAAAGCGCATGGCGGCCATGATCATGGAGAACACTGCCGACGATATCGAAGCTCACCGGGCCAAGCAGGCAGCCGCTGAGGCTGAGGCCGCAGCTGCTGTCGGGAATGTTGGTGTCGGCATGGACGACGATGCGAACATGGAGGAGAGTGACGATGAGGATGCTGAGGCTGAGAGGAAGCAACGTGAAGCTGAGGAGCGGGAGCGTGAAATTGAACGGGCCAAGGCGCTGCAGGCGAACACCATGAATACCTCTGGACCCATGAAGATCAGGGCAAACTACGTTCCCAAGCGTGGGTGAAGTTGTCCGGTCTTCGTTGCTGCGTGCTGACGTCCACACAGTGGGATCGAAAAATACCAAAGAAGCCATGACGACGTGCTCGATCTGTGGTCAACAAATTCCGGTCGATGAACTGCAAGAGCACATGCGTATCGAGCTGCTCGACCCGAAATGGAAAGAACAGCGGAATGCACTGGAGGCACGCAAGGCACAGGCCGCCGAGTTGCAGAGTGGGGCGAATGTTGTATCTGCTCTGAGAGGATTGGCTCGCACCCGGGTGGACATTTTCGGAGAAGAAGCTGACGAAGAGCGCCGTAAGAAGGAGGAAGAGGAGCAGCGAGAGCGCCGTAAAGAGCGCGAAAAGGTCGTTTGGGATGGGCACACAGCTTCCAAGACCAACACCCTGGACAAATTCTCCACTAATGTCAACTTCGACGAGCAGATTGCCGCCATCCACAGGGCGAAGGGCCTAGGACCGTGCGTAACGCACCTGTTGTTGCCATGGCAGTAACTGATAGAGTTGACAGACAAGAGGCGAACGCAATTGGGCCTGGAATCGGGCCTGCAGCGGTGCCGCCGCCATTGACTGGGACATTGCCGCCTGCTCCAGCATCTTTGCCTGCACCGCCACTGGCGGCTGGCAAGGCTGCTGGGCAGTATTCGGCAGCGGCGACAGTCTCGTCGGGCCCGCAACCTGCATCTGCATATCCAGCTCCAGTCATGCTGCCCCCGTTGCACTATCAAGGGATGGATGCAGCCCAGCCATTTGGGTATCAGCCGCCGGCGCCGGCCATGCATCCGACTCGCGCGGCTGCTCTTGCCGCTGCGAATGGAGCTCTACAAGCAGCGCAGGCTGGGACCGTCCGTGGCGCCGAGGAGATGGAAGACAGTGATGATGGCATTCCGCCTGCCAAAAGGCAGCGAGTCGCCAAGCTTCCCAATGGACAGCTGTATTCCGAGCAGGACTGGATCACCAGCCACCCTGTGCGTACTGAATTACACCTGTTTTGCAAGCTCGCGCTAACCACCAGAGCAGCACCCCATCTCTCTCCAAGTGCAGCTGCCCAAGGACGACTCCAAACCAGAGTGGAAGTTGGACGGAAGCATCGTCACGATTCCCGATCTGCCTCTCAATCTGCTCGTGTCCACTTTGCGCGATCGAATCCAGCTGCACACCAGCGGCAGCGTCCCAGTGTCCCGTATCCGACTATCGTACTCCGGGAAAATGCTCAACAACAAGGACACTATTGCCCTGTACAATCTTGAAGATGAGGATTTGGTTGTCCTGAGCGTGCGGGATGCCAAGAAAAAGTGATCGTGGTGTAAGTGGTATGTCAGTACAGAGTGTAGATAATGTTACAGTGCAATGCAATGCGGTGATGAGTAGAGGGCGACTGCCAGCGGATCCAAAAGAGTTGTCTCGTGTATGGTTATCTAATGGTCTGCAAAGTAACATTGCTGTTCGGGCCTCATGCTGTGGAGCGCGGTGGGCTCAGAGTGTCGACCAGAGTACAAGGCTTGTATCTGGCGTCCACCGGGCGTCATGGCTGGTCCCTTGAAGGGAGAGAATGGTCCAGGAGTTTGTGCCATGCGAGGATATGGGCCTGGTAGAGATGGTTTGGGAGGCGCACGAAGTGTGCCGTGTTGGGGGACCGTGTCTCGCAGCCATTCATCGTCCACGCTGGGCACCCTGGGGGACGACGCCTTGCGAAAGACGCTTTCGGGATTGAGGTGTGGTGATTTGACGAGTGAGGGGGGAATCGGTGCGGCCTGGGGCGCTTGTATCGGGATGCGCAGCGACGTTTTGCGCGTAACGTCAGAACGAGACATCGGGCACGCAAGACGAAAAACCAGCCTGCTGATGTGCGTGCGGACTAGAAGCAGTTGGTTCGATGAAAGGGAGTGAGGCTATGTATGGCAGTCGCTTGTGAGACATTTGATCTGAATTTCCCGATCACGATAAATTATATGTAGTACAGCGGAGGCGGCTAAAATACTCTACGGAAGACGATCCCACATACAAGGACCAGGATGACACATATAGCCGTGTCCAAAAGAAGTGGAGGTCGTTGAGCTCTTGGCACTGGCTGACTCGCAGAATCGACAATTGCAGCAACAACAGGGGCTTCCACAGGATTAGGAGGAGGAGCACCAGCATCTACCGCATCTGCCCGTTCCGATGCCGCTTTGGATGATTCCTCTGCGGGATCCGACAGCAGGCTCGAATTTGGAACGGCACAGTGTGGACACACCCACGAGCGGGATCTTCAACTAGTCAGCCTCAGTTCTTGAAGGAGGGCTTAGACCTTACAGGCCGGCCAGACGCCTCCTCTCTGCGACGGGATGCTCAATAGATCCCACGCCAACCGCAGCTTTGCCTTTCAAAGGGAAAAACCCCTGCAATCCAATAATAGCTACATTGTTCATGAGATCTTTCACATGGAGAAAGAGTGCACACACCTGTTCTCACACCCCAGGCGGGTTGCCAAAGTTCTTCATGATCTGGGACTGTCAGCAAAGTCCGGCCTAGTCCTCGGCCACTCACAGCTTGTGAAGCTTATGCAGATCTGAGCAAAGTGGTCAGGAATTGGATCCGGCCGAGCCCAAGAGAGCGCGGACCTTTGTGTCGGTCTCAAACCTGCCACTCGGAGTAAGCATCATAATTGAAGGCGGGCGGAAGGGATATTCTGCGGGTAACAAGATTCGGAAATGATATAGGCCTGGAAGATCTCATGAGAAACAACCGATCAAGACCGACTCAACAGCAGACCTCCTTCAAATTCCGTTCCTGAAGGACCGCGGAGGGTGCAGTGCCATTCCTTCAACAGACTGAATCGGTGACTGAACGTATAATCGTGAGTTACGAACGAATATGTCATCCTCTAATGGAGCCGCCGAGTATTCAGGTGAGGGGTCATTGGCCAGCTCCTTCGCCTGATTTATTCCTTGATGAATGCGCGTCGGTGACACAGCTGAAGATACCCACTTCCTGCATGATACGCTTCACAGCTGGAAGATGACAGGCTCAGAACGAGACTAAGACCCTTCGTGGTGGGCTTATTGACGGACCGGAATTGTTCTTGTTGAGTCCAGCCATGGGTTAAGCCCTCGGGTAGCAGGATACAACACGTCGATAGGCTAAGAGAGTGGAAGTTCTGAGTGGAAGCGACGTGGAGGCGAATGAAGCACAGATCATGTGATCTTCGAATGCGGACTTGTCCGGACCGGATGATCCTCATCACGGTGGCCGTGTATCGCGCATCCCTACTGCACCTTCACTTTCTTACTCCTGCTGTTCGTTCAGACAGTGTTGACGTCAAAGTCTTGGAACCGTGCGGCTAGCCCAGCATGATATACATTGAAAAGCTTCGCGTCAGGCCGAAAAGAAGTCAGTTATGGTCAATTCGAATCCGAGGTTTCGTCTCAATTGAACGCTAGACCAACCGTACAACATGTGTGGTCCCCAATTGGCAGCCATGTTGGGATGCTGGGCAGCATCATCGGATTTCCATGGGCAGAATGCGTGTAAAGAAGCTGCCGAGACCCTGTTCCATTGCATGCGGACGGCGGTGTGTCATATAATCTCATGGCTTGCCCACCGTTTTCTCATCTATTTTGTTTCAGCCCCATCCCAAAAAGACACATAAGCCCACTATTAACTATCACCTTGCTCGTCTTGGTAAAAAGATTCAATAGAGCTGCTCAAACACGTCTCAATGAAACAACGTTCTCCCGTTCCCAATGATTTCTCGTACACATTGCCCTTCGCTCAAGCCGCATGTTTTCCCTGAGAACGTCGCGTGGCCATCGTGCGGCGTAATACTGGACCTTTTAAGTCGGACGATCACGTCAAAGTACTCCAGCTTTCTTCTTTACCACCACTAGTATGAATTCTTGCAGGACGCCAGTTGGAACTTCAGAGATTGCAGTCTTTTGGGATTACGGTATCATTAGCGCAATCCATTTGCTTCAATCTCTTATTTCTCACTGCTTGTAGAAAATTGTAGTGTTCCGTCCCATCTCTCTGGCAAGCGTTGTTTCAATCGAGGAATGTCGCTAGTTCTCACTTCATCCAGGCTACTCTGTGGTTCAAAGTATCCGGACTGTTGCACACCGCTTTGGCGTTGTGAAAAGCTTCAAGGCATATGCGGAGATAGCCGACAGCGACAACAGTCGCGCGTTCGCTTTGCGCTCTGAACTGCAATCTTCGGGCGTGTCTATGACTGACTGTCCAAAGAACGGTCAAAAGCACATTGCAGAGCAGATGATGATAGGTGCGTACAATGCGAATATCAACATTCTTTTCAACTGAGCCGGAGATGTTCTAATACAAATCAATCCAGTGGATATGCTGATGTACGCTGTAGACCATACAGCACCCGCCACTCTCGTTCTCATCTCCGGGGATCGCGATTTCGCATATACAGTCTCCACTTTACGGCTTCGAGGCCATGAGGTCATCGTCATCTCTCCTACACTGCCGGGAGCACATGTCAGCTTGAGAAGTCAAGCCTCCCTTTGTCTCGATTGGAACGTCGATGTTTTGGGATCTCCTGCCCGACTCTTCCTGACGAGCCACCCTGTTTTTCCGCTCCCCGGAGTCCACTAGCTCCGACGCCCATCCCCGTCACGCGCAAATGGAGTTACGCAGCCAGCACAACTCGCTCGGATTCCGAGACGACGGTCATTCCGTCAGGCGCATCTCCAACTCCTCCGGCTCAGGAGATCCCGTCAGCACCCGTTCAGGAACCCGAGCCAGCGCCAGAGCCGGAGCCAGTTCCAGTGCCAGAGCTCGTCCAAGTAACAGAGCCAGTGCCGACTTTGATAGTGCGCGCCACTGCCGTCGAACCCCAGGCAGCATCGCCTGCTCCACCTTACCAGGTCAAGCCTGTGGCAGGGCCTTCGAGTCTCGATATCCCTCAGATGACCAGCACACTCGGGGTTGAACCAGCCGTGGTCACGAACGGGAGACCAAGTGTGCCAGAGCTCGTCACGTGCCATATCGCTGCTTCTCCGTTTTCGCCGTTTCGCGAGACGTCCTACACGGGGACTCCTGTCACACCAGCTGCAGGCCCTTCTGCACGACCGGCAGCCCCTTCGCCGCAAGCGTCTAACTTAGCAGTCCCAGTCTCCGGACTGAGGCTCGATCCTACCATCTTCAAGCCTCTCATCGAGTGTCTGCAGTCTCTCAAGGAGAAAGGGCAGGCGAGGCCTCTTCGGTCTGTCGTCGGCGCACAAATTTTGTCGCTTGATCCACATGCTTACGTCCGTGCTGGGGTGTCCAAGTTCTCCGATTTTGTCGCCCTCGCGGAGCAGCGAGCCGTGGTTGAGCTTGGTGGAACCGGCGGTTCGGCGTGGATAGGACTGGCGTCTCCCCCGATACCACCTGCTTTCCTCCCGCTTGTCCGAATTCTCGAACAGTACCGGTCCCAAGGGGTTCCGAGAGTGTCCAGATCGCTTTTGGGCTCCGGATTGAATGCTCAATCGTACCTCGCTGCCGGAGTCGCTGGCTTCAAACAGTTCATAGTCGCAGCCGAAGCCGCCCATGTCATTTGCACTGGAGGCACCAGTAATATAGCCTGGGTATCTCTCCTGTGTAAGGACTGTCCATACTATCCGTTGTGTTCTGTATCATAATAAAGTCACATTTTATATGCTTGCAATTCGTCGAGCACCCTGAAAGGACCCGGCATTTGCCGAGCATCTCCGATGACCGCTGTGATGATAGTGACGATTGTGACCTTTCTTGTCGTCAAGCTCCCAAGTGAGCGCAGTCCGCGTTCAAGATGTCCGTCGCCCCCAGTGCACAGTACGCACCATTTGGTCTACACGCTGACGACTTGACTTACCTACTGTCGCCGCAGGAAGAAGATTCGGATCACTGGTACGTTTAGTCAGCCCATGGTCTGGAGCACTTGACCAACGTCAATCCAGTGGTCGCCGCCGACGGTCTCTCCAAACGAGACGTTTTTCGCCTACCCGACCCCTTCGCCGTCATAACTGTAGATGCTGAACAGACGCACACTACCAGCGTGATCAAGAAGACGCTGAATCCGTACTGGAATGAAAGCTTTGACATGTGCGCATGTTTTTTGTCGCCCTTCCGTGAACTGACACCTCCTGGAAAGTACTGTCAAAGATTCCTCTGTTGTCGCCGTGCAGATTTTCGATCAGCGCAAGTTCAAACGACGGGATCAAGGCTTTTTGGGTGTCGTCAATGTCCGAGTCAGTGATGTGTTAGACCTGGGGCTGGATTGTCACGGTATGTCCTCTTACCAATTTTGGTACTTGCAGAGCCATATTTCACTTGCTAGAAATGCTTACTTTGGACCTCAAAAAGTCCAACGACAACCTCATCGTCCATGGCAAGCTCATCATTTATTTGTCGACGAACGTCAATCAACCCATCAACAACCCCGGACCCTCGCAGGTCTCGGGATTGACGAGCGCTATGGCTGAGATGGGTTTGAACACCTCGCCTGCGGCCAGTTCTTCGAATCTCGCGCTATCCACTTCGGCCTCGACATTATCCCGAACCGCCAGTTCTCACGCTGCGGGATCTGACAGCACAGCACAGGTTGGGACAAATGTGACAAGCCCCATCGCCACTTCACCTGAACAAGCATCGGCGGCAGCGACGACGCCTCCAGCAACATCTGCTGACTCACGGCCCAACAGCACGATAGCTGCGTCCCCGGCGACTACAATGCCTGCTGCCCCAGCACCCCCAGGCCCAACCACGGCGACGCCCCAGAATGCCCAGACGCGTAACTTCAATCCCAACGAGGATCAATACGGGCCGCTTCCTTCTGGGTGGGAGCGCCGTATCGACCCGCTTGGACGTACATACTACGTTGACCATAACACACGGACGACGACTTGGAATCGTCCATCAGCGAGTGCTACTGCGAACAATAACGCACAGGACAACGAGACGAATGCTGCTCGGGAACAGCACAACCGCCGGATTCTCGCTGACGACTTGCTGGAAACGACAAGCAGTACCGTGACGCGAAGCTCGAGTGCTAGTCCGGCTCCGGGGGCCAGTGGGACGGCAGCCAACATTGCTGCCTCTGCTGTGAACAACGCTACCACCGCAGGTTCAGGCAGTCTGCCTAACGGATGGGAGGAGCGATACACTCCGGAGGGCCGACCTTACTATGTCGATCACAACACACGAACGACGACATGGGTCGATCCGCGTCGGCAGACTGTGATCCGCGTCATGGGCCACAACGGCCAGGGCTCCGCTTTGCAGCCACAGCCCATCTCGCAGCTTGGGCCGTTGCCTTCTGGCTGGGAAATGAGGCTGACCAACACGGCGCGTGTATACTTTGTGGACCATAACACGAAGACTACGACCTGGGATGACCCTCGTCTGCCATCGACGCTCGACGCGAACGTCCCGCAGTACAAGCGCGACTTCCGCCGCAAGCTCATCTACTTCCGCAGTCAGCCCGCAATGCGAGCTCAGCCGGGCAATTGCCAGATCAAGATTCGCCGAAACCACATCTTCGAAGACAGTTATGCAGAGATCATGCGCCAGACCCCGAACGATCTCAAGAAACGGCTGATGATCAAGTTCGATGGCGAGGACGGTCTCGATTACGGAGGAGTTTCCAGGTGTGTTTATCTCTTGCCGGATCCAACATTGGAGTTGACGGCTTCGCAGAGAATTCTTCTTCCTCCTCTCTCACGAGATGTTCAATCCGTTCTACTGTTTGTTCGAGTATTCGGCGCACGACAACTACACCCTGCAGATCAACCCGGCGTCGGGTGTCAACCCTGAGCACTTGAACTACTTCAAGTTTATTGGGCGCTGCCTTGGCCTGGGCATTTTCCATCGCCGATTCCTGGATGCCTACTTTATTGTCAGCTTCTACAAGATGATCTTGAAGAAGAAGGTGACGCTCTCGGACCTTGAGAGTGTCGATGCCGAGCTGCACCGGGGAATGACGTGGATGCTGTGAGTACAGGGAATTGGATGTGCTTGCCATGACTGACGAGTGTCCAGGGAAAACGACATCACTGACATCATTGATGAAACATTCACTACTACGGAGGAGCGCTTTGGCGAGATGGTCACCATTGAGCTGAAGGCCGGGGGAGGCGATGTTCCTGTCACTGAAGAGAACAAGAAGGAATACGTCGACCACGTCGTCGACTACCGCATCTCGAAGCGGGTGAAGGAACAGTTTGAGGCGTTCATGTCTGGCTTCAGCGAGCTCATCCCTCAAGACCTCATCACCGTCTTCGATGAACGGGAATTGGAACTGCTGATTGGAGGCGTGTCGGAGATTGATGTGGATGACTGGACCAAGTTCACGGACTACCGAGGCTACGAAATGAACGACGAAGTCATCCAATGGTTCTGGAAGTGTGTTCGCAGCTGGCCTCCGGAAAGAAAGTCGCGTCTGCTGCAGTTTGCCACTGGAACTTCTCGGATTCCCGTGAATGGTTTCAAGGATTTGCAAGGATCTGACGGGTGAGTGGATTGTGTCGTCTTTCTGGCCAGCGATCTGACCAAATCCTAGTCCTCGTCGATTCACGATAGAGAAGAGCGGGGATCCATCCCAACTGCCCAAGAGTCACACTTGCTTCAACCGCATCGATCTTCCCCCGTACAAGGATTATGCCAGCCTGGAACACAAATTGACTCTCGCTGTCGAGTACGTGCGCTATTCAGTCCGCCTGGGCTCTTGCTGATCTCTTTTGCAGAGAAACCGTAGGATTCGGTGTCGAATAGAGACGGACGCTATCTTTCCTACATCTTATCATTGTCTATTGTACTAGTTACGGAAATGTTACCCCTTCCGATCATCCATTTGACACGATCTAATCAAACCCCACACTTTCCACTGCTGTGAATGCACACTCCTTTTGTGGTCGCGTACCTGGGTCCACTGGGAACATATTCTCATCAGGTGCTCTAGTTGTCTATCACCTCCTCAAGCTCTCTGATCTCAAGGTCATACGTAGGCAGCCTACGACAGATTCGAGGACGCTGTAGACTACCACGAGTGCAGAACCATCGCAGGCACGTCCAGACCCCATCGCCACATACTTTTAAAGTAGCGTTGGGCTCAACGAGCTGCATAACAGATGTCTTTGAGGCAGTCGCGCGTAAAACCGCTCACGCTGGCGTAGTACCACAGGAAAACAGCATTTACGGTAGCGTCATTGAGACGTACGACGCCCTGCGCAACCCCGGTGTCGGTTTCATCAGAGGCGAAGTGGTGCTGGAGATCCAGCACTCTGTTCTGGTTCCGCGGGGTGTCAGTGGCGAGGATATCAGAGTCGTGCGAAGTCATGAACAGGTGCGCCTGCTAGTTGCTGGTTCCCGGATTCTGTCGAGCGGGTTGTTAGGCCCTGGGCCAGTGTCGCGGATACATCGCACGCCACTTCCCGCTTGCTTCGATAGAAAAGGTCTCGTCGACGGCCGCGGCGGCCAAATCGCTTGTCGGGTCTCTCGATACCGCTGCTATTGCTTCGAAGCTCTGCGCCACTGTATTCGATGGCTTAGAAGTGCTGGACGTCGGCGTACAAGATAGCAATAGTGTGTGCTTGTGCTCATCTTCTGCCCGACTGCGCTAAGTCTCGGCAGGCAACTACACGCGGTTCTACATCCTGACATTGACGCAAGAGATCGATCTTCCTCTTGCCGTGCCCGCAAGCACACGGGGTATGCTGCGCGTGTTCTGGGGAGACAGTGGGGCTTCTATAACGCGTCTGTTCTCTGTTATGGCACTCACAGTGCATCGTTTCGACCGCCGGCCGAGGATAGGAAGCACCCATTTATCACAGGACGTATATTTTCTGGAACTCGAGGGCAGCCACTCGGAGTTGATGGCTGAATTAGAACGCGTCCGGGGATTGGGAGCGACAGTAGATTTCTTGGGGTCGTGGTAGCAGAGAAAGTACAACATACATATATTCAGGACTGGCCAATACATTGTACATAAGTCTAACACGGCCGTGATGAGTACAGTAAATGTCCCTGCAGAAAACCCCAAGAGAAGAACCCGGACGTGCCATGTCGCGAGAACTGGGTCGTTCTAGATGCACATTGCACGAATTGTCTGGTCCAGGTGCCATGGGGAGCGGGTTGGGACTCGAAAGGGAACCGACATCGGTCCGCCTCCACTTATGTGACAGAAACGAGGACAGCTGCCAGATCTTTCTCGCTAGCGGCAGGGAGTTGCCGGGAACGAGCCTTGAGACGGACTGTGAGAGTGTGAGACATTGGAACAGATCAATAAACAGCGACAAGTCACTGACGGTTTCGGTCCAGACTAAGCAAAACAACCTTGACAGTGGCATCAGTGGTGATAGCGTCGGATTTGAGGATGGAAGTGCGGTCGACCCAATGCTCGTCTTGCCAAAGCGCAGCCTTGAGAATCAGATCGTCCATGTTCCGCTCGGCACTGCCGTCGCTGAAGTCGACTTGCTCCGTTCGGATGTTCAGTGAGGTCAGATAGTTGCCCTTGGATGTCTGGACCTTCAATGAAGTGCCGTGGGTGCGAATGTGGGTGGACAGATAGGTGAGCGCCGCTTGGGCAGCTTCGCCCAGCTGCGAAGGGTTGGACGAGAGCCCGTCCAATTCCATAATGACCGGTAGAGGCACCACCACAGTCCACTGCCGGCTTTCGATGACTGAAGCCAGCATCGACAGCGAGGAAAGGAAGATATTCGTGTCGATAACAAGTATCGAGTAGCCCCGCACGATGTCAAGCCGCGCTTCTTGTCCGGTTCGGGCCCGTCGGCGTTCGGAAGTCGTCGCGCGACGACTCTGGTCGGATGCTAGAAGACTCTGCAGATATTTGCGACGAGCCTGACAGTAATTAGCCATCATACTTGATGTGAATGACCAACACACCTTCAGCTCTTTGACCTCCTCTGAGTCATTCTCGTCGTCCTCACTTTCCTCTGAGGCAATTCCGTCCACCATGTCCTCGTCCAGATCCACAGAATCATCCCACCGCCGGCGAGTTCTCCTCCGATCCTCCTCTTCTCGTTCCAGGCGGTCCTGTTCTTTCCATTCGGCCGCCTTCTGTGCGAGGACACCTTCGACCTGCCACTGGCGAGTGCCTTCGACCCATGTGAATCCGTCGACGCTGTCTGCGATGCCAACAGCACAGCGGATGATGCGGATCCAGCGACGTTCCAGGTCGGAGTCACCTGCGTTCTTTGAGGCATCGCCGTCCTGGTCATCTGAGTCGTCTTCTATGTGGCCATCGGTGATCTCCGCGCCGATGGAGTCCTCGAGGACCTGCATTTCCGCACGCTTGTCTTCCCCCGTCTTCCAGAAGCCGTGCTGATACACCTTGCGTCCGACCCATTCCATTCCACGCAGGCACCAGTCCTCGGGCAGCGGCGGCGCACAACCAGTGGTCAGCATCGCCCAGCGTTCCTCTCGCGAAGAGCGGACCTCGCCAAGTCCTTGCGATGCCATCACACGCCGCGGAATTCTGGCGAAGAAGACAGCGAGGTCGTCCCACGGCACGCTACGTTCCATGACAACTCTGATTTGCGGATGCTTGAGCACAGTCGCCAGGAATGTCAGGATGACGGTCAAATATGGATTTAGATTTGACCGTGCGAATGGCGATGCTTTTCGTGTGGGATGGTGCAAGACGTAGGAGAGCATCGTGAAGGTGAGCTGGAGAGCAAGACGGAGGGCCACCGGAAGTTGGTCCGGCTGAGAATCAGCCTCAGACATGACCGGCGAGGTCTGCATTTGGTCCTCATCCACATCCATCTTGTCCTTCTCGTCCGCCATCGCACGTTTAGCCATAACGCGCATCGCCATTGCCGAAGCCCCTGACATGTCGCGTGATCCCAGACCACCGAACTTCTTGAGCAGGCCGGTCGACTTGCCATATTCGAGGACGGCACCGATATTAACGATGGACATCATGATCCAGTCCCGCTCATCGGCGCCTTCGATCTCGAGGCGTTCCATGAACCGGGCCAGCGTGGGTTGGAAGTCGTCCAGTTGTATATTAGTGAAGACCATTCCATGGAGCAGAACGAAAAGATCCGCCAAACGGGCCTCCGGCTGAGCCCGTCGAGCCTGTGCGGTGCCAGACCACAGAGGCAAGACCGACTCGCGCGAGGTCATGAATGGATGAAGCGTGGTCATGCTATTTGTTCGGTCAATAACGACGCAGCATGCAGAAAAGAAACACTCGCCTCTTTACGAAATGATAGACACCGCGCAGTTCTTCGCGTTCAACTTCACGACTGAGCAGTCCAAGGTGATGGTGGAGCTTGCCATGGCCTGGCTGGTCTGCAATGCCCATTCCATACCAGTCACGGGCAATGCACCTCCACCGCTCCTTTTCAGGTTCAACTTCCAACAATCGGGCTGCGGCAACACCAATACTCGGAGAAGGGGAGTCGTCGATCCGTGCTGCATGCGCATCACTGACTGATTTCGACCCGCCAGCAGCCGGGGGTGCGAGAAGATCCGAGCCAGCCACTATGACGGCATCCGTAGTGAGAGCATTGCCGGCGTCGGCTCCTCCCACGACCATGGCCGCGACAGCCATCTTGTAGCGCGCAAGGTCACCCAGAGCCTCCAGCCATCCACTTTTGAAGGAATCGAGAGTCGGTTCCTCCAGAAGGCCCGTGTAAAAGATGTACGCGTAGTAGATGAAATCCTGGAGATGCTCTAGCGCCAATGGAGAGCTGAAGGAGGCACGTCGGAGCGACTCCAATAGCTTGTGGAACGCAAACCAAAGCCGGATGATGATGTTGTACTTTGTTGGGATGTTGCGCAGAGACGCTGGGACACTCGGAGCCAACGAAATCTCCAAAAGATTGTGCATCAATTCAGCCAACCTGAGCAAAACGTTAACCTATTTCGAGAGATGATAGAAGCACTCACTCCTTGTGGTCGGAAATCTGTCTTTTCCATTTCTCCCGTTCCTTGTCCTTCACATCATTTGCGTCCCCTTCTTTGGCCTTCAGCAACACGCGGCCCGAATCCTCATCGTCCCCGTCCTCTTGCTTGATCTTAGCCTCGAGATCTGTGATGGCACGGTACAGCTTCTTCAGTTGGATCGCAAAGACGTTCGTGTTGCGTTCCTCCCCGGTGGGATTGCCTTTCCTGTCAAACAAAGCCGAAGAGGTGGACGACCCATCCGTGGTTGACGAGAGAGTGAAGGTCGACGAAGCCATCGAATTTGCGTAAGAGGAGGTTGAAGAAGCGGATACGTATTCCCCCGATGACTTGGGCGTCGGAGGAGGCTTGCCACGGAGCACGAATCGCACGGGATCGTCCTTGCGATGATCGAAGAGTTGGCGTGCACCGGATTCTCCTCGCTGCTGGTGCTGCGGACTGGCTTGCTGCGCTCCTCGCGACACGTAAGACGAACTTGCTGCATCAGACATGGCCTCCGGCTCAGCCGTTCGGCGCATGGGTATTGGATCGCGGTCGGGGTTGAACAAGCGCGAGTGTGGCGACGAGGCAGCGTGTGCGGGTTTGCGCGATGGGGAGGCAGATATCTTGAGTCTCCGGGAGAACTCGTCTGCGTCTGCTGCGTCGGTGTTCGTGTGAGCATTCGACACCACTAATTGTGGGTTCGGATGTTTACGTGCCCCTGATGCAGGGGCAGCCAAGCGTTGCTCTCGGTCAGCTCGCTCTGGACGTTCCCGAGGTGGGCGAGCAGCACTGCTCACATGAATTCCGTGGACATCTGCAGATGAAGGAACGCACTCGGTTTTGGCTGCGCGCCGCCGCGCCATCATGAGCTGCTGATCGAGATTTGTCGGTTGAAGTTCTCTGGCCCCAATATCTCGCTCTTTGCCCTTCTTAGAGGGTTTGAGAGCGTCCGGATGCGCCTCTATGTGCATTTTGACACGAGTTGAGGCAGTGAATAGAGTGAGAGAGCTCAAAAAGCGCAGTGCTGCGGATTGATCGACTGCGCGGTAAACCGCACCTGATTACCCGATCTGCTTACCTGATCACATTTACAAACGCGCAATTGACGAAACATTCAGGCAACACATGTCCAAAATGGCCAGTCAAATCTACTTATGATGAGAGAAGAATATAGGGATAAGCCTCCCATTCAACCGACGGAGAGCCGAGACTCCGAATCGTACTGGCAATGGCGACCCATCCTCCTGATCCATCATTCGAATGATTTTATTCGACTCGTCCAAGTCGACCGTGATGACAGAGGAAATGGTCTATGCGAAATGATCAATGGAGTTTAGAATACCGAGGACTCTTGTGTCATCTTACCTGACGCGTGATTCGATTCTTATATCGTTGTGTTCTTGACATAACCAGTCGATTCGGTGTATGGGTCGACGACATGACTCGCGAATCCAGAGTTTCGGATTTAGAGAAGAGACTTGCCTGATGACGTCTGAGCCCGACCTCCACCACTCGACTGCACTTATCAACTGACCAATGCGTACCACTGTCGGAAGCTTGAGCCTAAGATCCATGCCTAGATAGTGAGTGACTTACCTGAGCAGAGCATTCCCGGATGCCCTTACATTTGCTGTATCTGTCCTAGATTGAGTGCTCAGCCAAGTAGCTTCGGTCTGAGCTCTTCCTTCTCCTGCGCACCTCGAAGACAGCATCCTTGTGCCATGAACGGGCAAAGAGTTCTGCACTCGGGTGCAACTCGTACAGTGCTTGTATATCTTCAAGCACCTGCTGATGACCAGGCTTGAGCTCCTTGTGATCGTCCCGCCGTTCTGTGCTGCTGTGTCGGTGCTTTAGTGCCTCGACTTGGCTGCCCGAGTAATGTGCGGCCCCGGCAACGCTCTCAACAAGCGCGGCAGTGGGCAGGATCGTCGGGAGCAGGGAGTGGTGATGTGTTTGGGAGGGTTCGCCCGAGTGAGACGCGGACGGCGAGCGATGGTGTTTCTGGTGCATGGACATTGGGGATAAGAGGGTATAACGAGGGTGTGATGTCATCTCAAGCGAACGAAGGATGGCACTGCTTCCAAGACGAGAAGCGCAACCCGAACTGACATACAATGATGATCACTAATAATGTAAATAACACATGATCTACATCCCGAATCGTTCACGAGCCTGAGCAAGAGTAAGAACAGTAGATAAGACAGGGAAACCAGGCCACAAACCGAATCCTTTACGAGACCGGCATAGTTGGTTGTTGCTTCTGTGATCTTCGTGATGTCTTTCCCTTTGCTGGCGCCTAAGCCTGCACCCTGAGCGTAGACCGCAGCGGCACTTTCATTGGAGATGAGTAGAAATTCAGAGGGATCGTCGACAGATCTCACATGGGGTCCACTCTCCCCTCGCCGCCTGTGCCGAGGCCCATGCCTTCAGACCACCCCATCATCTTCAGAAGCTTGTTGCCGACATTGCTATCGTCTTTGCCAGGATTGACAGCAACCACTGGCGGGGAGGGAGCTCGAGCAGGCCCATCGACCTGACGTTTCTTCCCAGCAGCTTGAGCATCAGCTCCAAGGACTGGGTGGTCGGGTTGATTGAACAAAATGCGACGTTCCGATGCCCGATCGCGATATCGGGTCTCAGCTGCTTGCGCGGTTTCTTGCCGGGCCGCCAATTTGTCGCGAGCCACTTGACACAGTCGGGCATCTTGAGAATTCTTCTATTCAAGTCGGACACAACGAACGAGTCAGTCCAACCCTGATAACAACTAGACGAAATAGTTGAAGGATGCGAGCCTTGTGTAGTTCCGAGTCTTTGTTGTGTCGCTTCAGTTGATCCACGGCTTTGAACTGCCGAGAGCAGAGTAAACAGGCTAAAGCCTCCATATCCGAAAAGTCGTGCTCTTGTCCTGCATGGACCGATTCACTTGGAGGAGAAACGACAGGGGCCTGGACAGAGCAAGTGCAGTGAGAACGGAAGCCTCCTCAGGATGCAACAGCGTTGTCGGAAAGAATGTATCACCAGATTAGACGAAGAAGGTACGGCGCTCGACAGTTCTTCCTGGACTTGATTCCATTTGTTGATGTTGTTTGCAGTCTGGAAGTCGGGTGAGTGGATGTAAGGAAACAGAAATGCAGGTCATACTTTCTTGTTGACGATGAGAGGAGTGATCTTGTTCGCGTTGAATCCTACCCATGTGCAGTCGGGGCCAGCGCCAAAGAAAACAAGTCCTACCAGTGTCTTTCTCTTCCTGATCCGGAGAGTCGTCATCATCATCCAAAGAGAAACCCAGGGTCACAGCAGCCGGTTTGACTGGCACTGTCGCGGTCAGCTGGAGAAGAATCCGGCCACGTGGCAGCTTACCAGGCCCTGCCCGACCCAAGCCCTTGCCGAAGCTCAGCGTGACAGGTTTGTCAGAGACGGGTAAAACCGAAGGAGCAGCCGGTGCATTTCGCGGCGTTATATCAGCATCATCTGAGATAGAGCTTCAATGCGAGTTTTGTCTGTGCGGGGAACGACGGACTTTTTGGTTTCTTCTTGTCCTTTTTCTCTTTCGTTGGTGCGACAGTCGGAGCTGGGACTTCGACTTCGAACTCGAGTTGGGCGATAGTGGAACTTTCGTCCCAGTATCGAACCAGTGTGCCCTCCTCACCGCCCAGACTGACTGAGGATGAAATGCAGGCATCGTCACGGATCATCAAATCCGCAATTGGCTGGAAGGAGTACGGGTGAGCGAAAGAGACTGAAACCGGCCGGTCTGAGATGCGGAAACCGTTCGGATGAATCTTTGGTGACATAGTTGCACTTAAAACGATGGAAGCGGCCTGTGTTACGGTCAGAGCAGTCTAGGACATACTGAAGCACACCGACTGAAGCATCAACGAATTCAACAAAGGCGAACCCCAGACTCCCCAAAGTGACTTTGTCTTTGATCAGGAGGATTCGTTTCATGCCTTTGGCACCTTGAATGCTGGAACCTGAAGATGATAGCAAGGCCTGGTATATTGCCTGAGGGCCGGAAAGCGGGTCTAAGCCCCGGAAGAGTAGCACGGCTGCAGGCGAGTTCCCAATGTCCCGGGTGCCATCATTGGAATTGCTCCTAGTGTTGCGCCCTTTGTCATGAGGATTCGCGCTCTGCGAATAATCGATCTTCACCCTACGCCCGGTATGTGGGGCTCCAGTTTCCAGTGCTTTGTGGAAAGCGGCCGTTGCCGAAGCACCATGAGATTGTGGAGGGGGGACTTGAATGAAGGGAAATTGAGGGCCCACAAAAGAGCGCGCGTGTTCGATGGAAGGGAATTGGGCAAAACCAAAACCTTTGGAGGCACCTGACGTTGCAAGACAGGTTAATGCCATGATATCTAGGACATGAATTCGCAAGTGCCTGTTGATCGTTCCCGGATGATAGTCACTGTTTCAAGCGTGCATCCTTGCGTTGTGAGGTAATTTTGGAGCTGAGGACCATCTTCAGTCGATGAGAAATAGTGGAGTGGATAGAGGTTCAGACATCGGCTTCAGTGAAGTCAAGATCGAGCCCCAAAAAGATGACGTGAGGACTGGGTTCTGAGGGTTGCAGCCGTTTCTTCGGAGGTGCTCCACCAGCGCCCCGTTCACCGAACGGCGCAGCATCGTAGCCATAGTCCGAGTAGCCCTGAGAAGAGTCGTAGCCCTAAAGGGTACCCATGAGAGGAATTTCCGATAGCGTAGAACTTGATCCTCACTCCCATGGTTTTCCGACGTTTGCCATCCCCTGCGTAGTCGTCCTCTCGCATATGAACCGAAGAACCATTCCAATGGGATCCTGAGTTCCAAGAGCCTTTGCCTTGGTCCCATTCTCGACTGTACGACATTTCGGGCTTGACGGCGGTGATGATGTGGAAGGGGGTGAACGAAGATGATGTCGACTGTGTAAACAAACAAACATCCTCTGTGATTCGCAACCATGGCAGGCCACGGTCAGCTCGTCGACCTTTACCCGTATCAACGCTGAACTCGTTTCTCTAGCCCATGTTAAGGTCATTCTCCTCGTTGCTTCCGAGGGACCACCTTTCACCCCTTAATAGGTTGAAGATGCAGCAATTGAACGTCAATCGTTAATGGTCAGTCTCCTCCTCTACTGCTTGCATGACTGACAACTTAACGTGCTTCAGCGCGAGAACCAGTACAAGTACTTCCGCTGGACGAGCAGGACTTTGCGTTCCACTTTCTGGGCTGGTATCTTTCTTCCCGCCGGGCTATTCGTGTCGATCTGGGCCGCTAACGTGAGCTCACCAAAAATTTATTGCTACTGCAACACAATAAACTCCGTCAGGACAAATGGAAATGGACTGGCAAGGGGCGAGATCAGACACTGTCCAAACATGCATAGATTATGGGATAATCGAAGCGCTCTCAAATTCTCTTGCATATTTCTATCGCAACTTTACATCCTGCCCCAATGACACTGCTTAGCAAGGCATGTGCTGGTGCTCGTTGTGCATCGTGATCGACTGCAATGTCCAAATGTTCAAGCTCGTCGTCTCGGAATTCCCGAACAATATCGCGAAGAAGTGGAACACTGGGATGGTCGGAGGGCAACAATTCCATCTCCTTCAGTTGACTGGAGTGCCGAATGAGTGTCGAGGATGATGGGGCTTCACATCGACTTACTCGTCGTAGTGCTCTCCGATGACGGTCTCTACTGCCTCGGTGCAAGCCATTGCCGCCTCTTTACCCATCAACGCCGTCGCAGCACCCAGTCCGAAGCCAGCTACCTTGGCGACCTCCGAAAGTATTGTCGGGCGTACTCGGTGCTGGATTTGCATCTTGTCCATGACGTATAGATGTTTCTTTTCTTGGTCCCACATTTCCTGACAAAATGATGAGACAATCATTCCCATCGAAAAGGGGGCCTAAGTGCAACTTGTAACAAGGGCTTGAGAGTAGGGCTTCGACCCAAGACAGCCATTTGGCCCATGTAGATGTAGTTTGCAGCAATTTCCCCAGCCTGGTCAACCCGTAATGCATTATGCAGTTGCTCGCGTTGTGCCTCAGTAAGCTGCGGGGTGGTGTTCACTGCCGCCTCATGGCAGCGCGAAGCGTCCAAGTATATAGCCGAAGGAAAGGCACTGTATGCGCGTTTGGAGGGAGATGAAATCCGACTTGACCGTAGCAGTCCAGCCATTGCCACTACGGTCTCGTGACGTCTGACTTGGTCCTCTTATAGACGATCCCGTGACCCACTCTCACCTTCAGGTTGTTACTGCTAGTCCCACTCCCTACCTTGAAAGACCGATGGCTTCGTACGTACGTTTGGGAATCACCCAACTTCACTCACTCGACGCCAGATTCACGCCTACTTCGCCTATCAACATGAGCAATGAAAAGGATTGGGCTGCTAATCTAGGAATGCTCGATTGGGACTCGACCAACATCGTCTTCACCAAACGCACCCTGATAGAATTCCTCAAGTCAGTTCCTCCCCAATGTATTTGAAATGATTTCCGATATTCTCCAGGTACACGGGTACCACTGTGGACACCAACTTCGCCAATATTCAGAAACTTCCCAGTAACTACGGATCCTGTGGCCATCCCGTTCCAGTGCTAACATTTCAACAGAGTACGCGAAATTTGGCAAGATCGAGGGTACTGGTGGATCTTCTCCTTCAAGCACCGTGCCTAGTGGTGAGTGATCCGTCTATCGACGCGTTCTTTCAATGCGTATAGGGTTCTCAGGCAACGCGGCCACCACCACCATTTCCGCTTCCGCTTCTGCTGCAGAAGAATGGAAACCCACACGACGTGTTCGCGAACTCCCTGGTGGAGCGCGCACGAACATCTTTGCAGATGAAGATGTGGAGGACGCGTTGTCGCTGGCACCGCCTAGACCAGGCGATGATGAAACCGAGACTGGAGGAGAAACGAAGGATCAAGCTAATCCGCTTCCCCCTACCGGAATCAAGCCCAGCAGGTATGTGCTCGCATTTAATGGTGCAGGTCGTCTGGTGAATAATGTCTTTCAGACGTGTAAGAGAGGCTCCAGGTGGAAACAGCTCTCTTGGGAATATTTGGGGCGGAGACGAAGATGTGGAAGAGTTCAAGCCCACTCGGCGGTGCGCACATGATCACATTTCTTCCTGCTACTTCTGAAGCCCTCCAGCGTCCGACAACCCCAGGGGGTGGCACTTCGAGCGTGAGCTGAACCAGATTGCAGATCGTGAAACATACTCAATGGTTACTAGATCTTCTGATGTTTTGAAAACATTGCGATTGTGGGCACACATATGTTGTGGGGAACGTCAGGGGTGCCGTTAGGTAGACAGACCGATAAGTTGCAATAAGTCCAAATTTCAAGCGTCGAAGGTGTATGTACATGTCTTGAACGTTCAAATAGGGTTTATGGTCAAGTCTATATACATAGCTTGTTGGGAAAGTGTCAAGGCATTGTGTCCGAGCGGTTAAGGAGTTGGCCTTAAGAAAGCTCCAGCTTCGAAGAGATCCAATGGGCGTGAGCCCTCGCGAGTTCGAACCTCGTCGATGCCATTCATCTTTTGTCATAAAAACCTAGCTTGCTGTATGCTCCAACGATTCCTCTGAGCGCGGGGATGCACCAACAAGTTCCCGAATAGCAGCGGACAGCTCAGCCTGTAGTGGCACTTTGCGGCTTCTTCCTCACAATGAATTCGGCACGTGAAATCTCTGAATCGCCAGTGCCTCGCCCCGCTGCTTTGGAACAAGAGTTGGAGCAAAGGCGCGGAATAGAACGGAGATCGCAAGCTGATTGTTCGCACGTGAAATGGATTTCTGTGTTTTGGTGTATTCTAGTGGAACAGATTTGACATTAATCCAATGCAATACTTCAACGCTTCCATAATAGCAAGCACGTGCCCGCGACGGTACTGCTACTTTCTCAGCCTCCGGCTTAGGCTGGCTGCTTCATTCGGTCAAAGCAGACGATTAGGAAACATTACATATTTTCGAGGATCTTAGCAGTTGCCGCGATTGTCCTCGAAACATAATGATCGACTTGTCGCACTGTGACGTAATACTCATAGTTCTTGATCCCAGTTTGGCAACTCACTCTTCCTTAACTCAAGGATATGCGCGCCCGTCACTTCCTTGTACTGTCCTCGCTGCTGGGCCCTGCAAGCGCTTTGCAGCTTCCCTTCAAAGTGCCCTCCTTCTTCGACCATCAAGCCAAGGTTGAGGCAAAACCCCGCATCGCAATCATTGGCGCTGGAGCAGGCGGTAGCAGTGCAGCGTTCTGGCTCGCAAAGGCTCAGGCGCTGGGTGTCGAGGTGGAAGTCGATTTGTTTGAGAAGGAATCCTATGTCGGCGGGCGTATGTCGTCAGGACAGGGTTCCTAGATTCCATGCTGACTAGACTCGCAGGGAGTTCGTGATTTGTTTTGTATGCTGCCTGTCTCCTTATTGTAACTGCAGGCACCGTTGTTTATCCATATGACAACAAGAGCTTTCCCGCAGTCGAATTGGGAGCGTCGATATTCGTCAAGGCAAACAAGAATATGTGGAGAGCTGTGGACGAGTTCAACTTGACGAGGCGGGATTTTAAAGAAGAGCAGGGCCTCGGCATCTGGGACGGGGAGAAAATTCTCTACACTGTGAGAATTATTTTGCTATCGAACCCGCGGCTTACTTCACAACTGATTCCAGGCCAACGGGGGCTGGTGGGGCTGGTGGGACACAGCCAAAGCGCTGCTTCGATACGGAATACAATCGCCTAGGCGAACTCAGTCCTTCGTGGACGGCATGATCAAGACGTTCGTTTCTTTGTATGCTCCCACTGCACCAGTATGGATAGTGTTGGAGATCTATCTGCCAAATTGGGGTGGCATGTATTGACGAACGTCACGATCGCCGAGCATTTATTGCTCGAAGGTGTCTCGCAAAGGTTCATTGACGAACTAGTTGAAGCATCAACGCGTGTGAACTATGGCCAGGTGGGTGCGCCTCTCGGTTGTATGCGCAGGCTCATTTTGGATTGCAGAACGCGAACGAAATCCACGCCTTGGAGGGCGCGTGTTCTCTTGCCCCAACCGGAGCGAGGCAAGCACACGTTTCCAATGCCGCATTTGCATGCCAATGATCCTTCAGTGCGGTTGCGGGCGGTAACTTCCTGGTTTTTGAGCAATTCCTCAACCATTCCCAAGCCAATGTGCATCTGAACACAGCTGTGAGTGCCGGAAGCTGTTGGACTGGGCTTGCATTGACTGCTCTTGTCAGGTGACCTCTATAAAACCCAAGTCATCCGGGGACTGGGTCGTGACTTCCTCTGAAGGCTCCCAATCTTACAAGGCGGTCATACTCGCCGCACCCTTTCACTCGACGAAAATCGATGTCCCAGTTGAGATAGCGTCCGCAATCCCAATCCAACCCTATGTGCATCTTCACGTGACTCTGGTCTCCACGACGGCGCCGCGTTTTTCTCCGGGCTACTTCTCGCAGTCGCCGTCGGCCAAGCTTCCCGCCATGATGCTCACGACCGCTTCAAATGCTCGGCAAGGCGGGCCGGAACCCGAGTTCAACTCGATTTCTTATCATGGCCGTATTTCAGAAAGCGAATGGGTCGTGAAAGTGTTCTCCAAGACTCGCATCACCGACGAATGGCTCTCTGAGATGTTCGATGGCCAAGTCGGCTGGGTGTATCGCAAGGAGGTACGCAATATTTGTCAGTTTTGGTCCGCAGATCTCACTGTCTGTGTCAGTGGGATGCATATCCAGAACTGCCGCCCACTTCAAGATTCCCCGACGTGATGCCTGCCCCTGGTTTCTACTATGTCAACTCATTCGAGCCGTGCGTGTCTCTGCCATGGGATCCATTTCTTTTACTGATCTGGATTTGTAGATTCATCAGCACGATGGAGACCGAGGTTCTCTCCGCGCGCAACATCGTTGACTTGCTGCTGGACCAACACTTCGAATCTGGTATCTGCGGAGGCAAACTGGCGAGCCGGACTGTTGCTGATGACTTTGAGGATTACGTTTATGGTTGGGACTGCTGAACGATACACTAACGAGGCTAATTAACAATACACTGACAATGTTGCGCACTCATTCGTCTTCTTTTTCTGTACTCTTCTCCGAAGTCGGTGCTCCACTGTCCTCCTCTTCGATGTCAGGAAGCCCGTGGCGATCACCGGCTGCTGCGGGCGATGGTTTCGTGTCGAATGAGCCCATTCCATCCATAAAGTCGCGACGGATCTCGATGTAGTCATTGGCAAACTCGCCCACCTGGAACGGGGTTGGCGCACAAATATACGGGGCTTGGTGCCAGTACTGACCTCGACCTCGTCGATTCCGATGTGCTCCTCTTCGGGCCGGATGCGGAGCCGTAGGCCAGACATGTCTATGACTTTTGCAAGACCGGCCGTGACGACGAAGGTGTAGCTGGCGACCGCGACGATGTATGCGAATTGAATGTAAAGCTGCTTCCAGTTGTGGTCGAGCCAGCCTCCGAGTGTTGCCGTGTTGACGTCGTCGAGCGAGATGATTTCCTGAGATGCAAACAAACCATTGCAGAGCAAGCCTATGACCCCTCCGACCGCGTGTTCTGCGAAGAGGTCGAGTGCGTCATCGACGCCTACTAGGAACTTGACTGGAAGAAGGCAGGGTTAGCAATTCGTCCGCAATCGCCTTGTCGGCCCTCACTCACTTTTGGTTGCGAAATTGCACAAGGCACCGGCCACGATTCCTACAACAAGACTCGCCCAAGGTGGAATAAAGCCACTGCTCGGGGTGGCGGCCACCAGCCCGGCGATGGTCCCTGAGCAGAAGCCGACCATGCTCCATCTCCGCTCGAGACGGAAGTCGAGAAGCACCCACGTCATCCCCCCGAACGCGGCTGCAAGCATCGAGTTCCAGATCGCCATGATTGCACGCAAGTTTGCACCGAATGCGGAGCCTCCGTTGAAGCCAAGCCAGCCGAGCCAGAGGATGAAGGTCCCGAGATTGACCATCGACACGTTGTGAGGTCTGAAATTGAGCAGTTCCTGCTTTCCTCTGTGGCCGAGCACCCAGGAAAACGCCAGTCCACCCACGCCGCTCCCAATTTCGACCGGTCCTCCACCTGGTCGTGCGTGTCACGCGATCAGGCCATGTCGTGTCATGTCAGACGGGCTCACCGGCAAAGTCGAGCACCCCCCATTTGAAGGCCCAGCCGTTCGTGGACCATGCCCTGAGAATCCAGTCAGTGCCAAGACGAGACATGCCACTGTGCTGATCACCAGCATGCCACTGAAAGAAGAAGTGAGATCGGGTAAGCAGCAGGCAAAAGGCGTCTGACCTGGGCAGTACACTAGAATGAGAGAGAAAGAGAGATCAACACTGCATCGAGGAGGGTCCATCGTCTATACATGTACTCACCCAATGTAACCCAGAGGAAGATGAACACCATAGCCGGAAAGAGCCGACCCCGCTCAGCGATACCGCCCATCAGGATGCCTGCTGTGACACACGCAAACTCCATCTGAAAGAACGAATAGAGCAATTCTGGGATGAGCTGCTGCAAGTCAAAAATACGAGCACAGGTCAAATCCAGGGATGACCGACTGGAGACCCTGGCGATGGATCGCCCAACACCTTGCGCAGACCAAAATTACGAAGATTGCCAATGTACCCATTCGTGGCGGTCGACGAGAACGCCAGGGAGTATCCCCAGAAGAACCTGTGACGGACTGAGATCCCATGAGAGTGTTAGGCAAGCTGCTCACCATTGGAAGACTGTGACTGCGTTTGCGCCAGAAACCGCCCATATGAGCGAAACTGTCGACCCTCAGTCATGCGTGGGATGTTGGCGGCGGATGGAGACTCACGGGCACTCTTTCTCCGCGCCAGACCAGAGTACAAAAAAGCTGCAGCGGTCTATTCAGCCAATGCTTGCCGAGTCGATGGGAAGCGAGTACCCAGTCCTGGGACCATAAACAGCACAAAGATGCCCGCGGTGACGATGAAGCCAATGTCTCCGCGATCAAATCTATGCGGGGGATCATGTCATCTGCTTCCAGCAGCGGCGACATGGACGCGACACGACGCACTGGCTTGTGTTTGCAGCGCCGACCGAAAGAGTTCTTGGAGTGGCCATGGTCGTATGACGGATCGGAGAGAATGCGGTTTCTGGGGCTCGTCTTTTTCCGTGTGGCATCAACTTCTTCCGCTCCGACTTTTCTGTGTCACACTCGTTCCGGGTCCTGGCGCGCCAAGCATAACCGGAAAAGGAGGTGCACGGGATGCGTCAAATTCAGTTTGTGTCACCGGAGCGCCGAGAGCCAAAGCGTTCAAGGTTTGAGAGCACAGACATGAGGAGATGGGGGATGCAAGAAAGTGTCACGAGATCTGATTTACAACGCTTCTATAATCGAGTATTTCACATTCATCCTCCAAAGCCCCAGACGATGACATCCCAGTCGTCACTGCCGGAAACTATTTTGTCCTCCCCCAATGCCACGCAGCTGACAGCAGCTCGGTGACCGACGAGAGTGGCAGTGCATTTTCCTTCGTCGCGGGACCAGACCTGAAGGCGCGATCAATGAGAGGCTGATAAGATAACAAGAGACATGCTTGCCTTGATGGTGCGGTCGTGGCTGGCACTGACCAGCCTTAGCTTGTCACTCGCCACAGACCAGACGCCTTCTATGTGGCCAAAGAACGTCTTGGTCGTCTCCCCGGTGTCGATGTCCCAGGTTTTGATGGTGTTGTCAAGACTGCCAGAGATCAGGAGCGGCTTCTTGCTCTTGCTCACCACCTTGTCGCAAGGGGCATCCGCGTCCTCGTCCGTAGGCAGTGGCTCTGTCTTTTCGTCGCTGTCGCACTCGTCGGGAAGCATGAGTCGCATGGTCTGGACCTGTCCAACATGGCCAGTGAACACCCGAACTAAACTCCGCAAGTTCAGATCCCATAATCTGATGGTGCCGTCGTCCGAGGCGGAGAATAGCATCTTCCCGGGATCGATGTGGGGAGCTCCGTTACACGACGGCGGCAGCGACGAGCTTTCGGCGACTGGCGCCATTGGCGAGGTAGTCTGCGAGCCAGTCGAATCCCAGAGCTGCACGGCATTGACCCAATCGCCGTGTCCCCGCAATGTGAAAGCTCCCCCGGTCCGCAGATTCCAGACCTTGATGGTCGAGTCAACACTGCCACTGGCAAGCACATTCGAGTCAAAGTTAAGGCACACGATGCCCTCCGAGTGACCAGACAGCGTGCGGATGCATTTTCCCCGTCGCCAGTCCCAAACTTTGAGGGTGTGATCCATGCTTCCCGTTATCAGCTTCACTTGATCAAACTGCAGAGCTCGGACGGCCCGAGTGTGGCCTTTCAGACAGTGGAGCTCAGCCCCCGTCTCGAGATTCCAGACGCGAGCAGTCCGGTCGTACGAACCGGTGATGAGGACGGGGAAGTCGGGATTAGATAGCGCTTCATTGAACTGCAGACACATCACACCGTCCGTGTGGCCTTTGAGCACCCGGGTGGTATATCGTCCCCTGCGCCAGTTGCGCTCGATCGTCAGCCTTTCGCTGTAGACATCCTTCCATGGTCGTGTGGCCGATTCCACCCTTGGTCCCAGTGACCAATCCAACAGAGAGCCCGCGTCTTCCTCCTCAACGACTGTCGCCGGATCTGAGCGCTGCCGCTTCAGTGGCCGAGGGCTACTGCATGACGCTTCGTCACTCGGTCGCTTCTGAGAAGTAGGCCCATCATCCCCTGTCGGTGCGGGCGACTGCGACTTGCTGTAAATCCGCTTCTTTTCCAGCAGGGGAAGGCCCCATCCGCACTTGTGGCACTTCTGCCCGATATGCTGCTCGCAGATGCCGCGCCAGAGAATGTCGTCGTCCGCCAGACATTTCCACTTCCTTGTGACTTGAGCAGCTCGACACAGTGACGTAGCATCGAGGTATCCCAAAATCTTGAGCGAAACTTCACGGGGAAAGATAGCGAAGGGGTCGATGCGAATGATATGAGCCAGTTGTTCACTCAGCAGCGAAAGTTGCGAGAAACAACACATGGTCAGCAGCCCATGGAGAATGAGCTCTCGGCGAGGGTGTGAGGACGAGGAGAATGTGGACCATATGTTGCTGACGGTTTCTCGCTCCTCAACCGGTAGCGCGTCGAGAGACTAAATGGTATGAGCGTTGGCGTGGGTTTCGCATCCTGCTCACGCACCTGCTGTAACTTCAGGCTCGTTCCTTCGTCTGCCATCCTTTGGTGTCGAACGCATAACTTCCTCGACGGCGGCCCGGGCCAAGCTGCTTGGGGCCGGCTTTCCGAGTGCAGGTCAGGGTCAGTCTCTTCAGTGATAGCGTGCAGCGGTCGGTCGGGGTCCGCAAGACGAGGAGGAGGGATAGTATCGCAGACATAACTCGTGGATGCCATGGAAGGGGAATGGGAATGTGCCGAGACGGGATACATGGTTGTGGGGGTAAGAAATACCAACTCCGAGTCGGGGTTTCGCCGAAGGCACGCAATCTGATCGTCAACCGTTCAATTCCGTTGCTCAGATGGCGTGCGTTTCTGCGTTCGATTGCACCATTGTCAAATAACGTTGGATGAATCCCACAGGATGAAACAGGTTGCTATGCATTCAGACTACAAAAGTTGTGTTTAAAATCACGTCATGAAGCACCCGGGTCGGCACAGTTGCTCCACACAAGATTCCGTTATTCAGTCAAGCGTGATCCTCATTTCCTCCAGAGGTATGGGCACAAATCCGTCCAACACGATCCCTCGAGATCCGAGCTCCGGTTCGCAATGGACCGGCACCAGCTTGCGGTTCAGATCCGGACGCACAGAAAGTTCTGAGGTGGATGAGCTAATATCGAGGACGAGACGACGCAGATGCACTGACCCTCCCGAGTAAAGTCGAACAGCCGGGGTAGCGATCGACCGTTAGGCATACGGGTGCCCTCCACACGCAACTCGTCGAAGAAAGGGTGGGCCATGGCCTCGATGGCACTCAAGCGCGAACTGGGAGTGTACTCGAGCAACTTTGAGACTAGGTCAATGGCCTCAGGGGCCGTGCGGGGTCGGAAAACCTGGAACATGTCAAACACAAGTGCGTCAGAATAGTAAACAGACGCACCTTGTTGAAGGGATGGGCACGGATCTGCGGGAACTTATGCTCCATATAGTTCGGATTCATGGTCTTAATCTGGTCTCTTGACGGCGTGCCCAAGATTTTGATGATTTCCACCAGCTGATCTATGCCGCTTTCACCCGGAAACAGTGGGACGCCGAGCATTAGTTCAGCCATGACACACCCGGTTGACCAGATGTCTGCATGGGCCGTGAGCACGAGGCAGGAACTCAAGGCAGAAACTTGCCGATGTTGGTCGTGTAGTTCGTCGCACCAAAAATCAGTTCAGGAGCACGATAGTAGCGTGAACAGATATATGAGACGTTGGGTTCGCCCTCCACGAGGATCTTAGCGGAGCCGAAATCGCAAAGCTTAAGGATGCCCGACGCCGGGTTGAGCAACAAGTTCTGGGGCTTGATGTCACGATGACAGATGCCTACAGAATGAATGTAGGCTAGCGAACGGAGAAGTTGGTACATGTAAAGCTTGATTTGCAACATGGGCATGGGCTGCTTGAGCTTGGCGTAGTGGCGGCTGGCGCGGTAGACCGTTTCAGGAACATACTCGAGGACGAGATTGAGGTACACCTCGTCCTTCTGGGCCGGCTGGGACAGCGATTGATACAAGCTGTCCTGTAAACATCGAGAAACGGACCTTTTCGCCGTTGAGGTAGAAGAAAGCTTCGAGGTCGACAACGTTGGGGTGAGAAACAAGACGCATGATTTGAAGTTCGCGATTCTGACATGAGACAAAAGGATAGTCAGAACAAGGGAAGGGACCGCAAACTGGCTAAACGCACCTTGAAGCGCTTATCCTGAAGGACCTTCTTGATTGCGATCTCCTCGCCTGAGGGCACCAGCTTGGCCTGGTAAACGACACCAAAGGAACCATTGCCAATGACTTTGTAGTTGGTGTAGCTGATCTCCCTGGCGGCACCAGACTTGCCATCATTGGCAGGGACGGTCGTTATACGAGATGCTTCATCGGCGGCTAAGAAGTGATCTGAGACGAGAAACACAGATCGGAGGAACAGGAAAAACAGACAAGTCTTGGAGGACATGGCAAGTGGAAAGGGCGGAAATCGTATGCAACCACCAGGGAGAGAAATGAAGGAAGAAAAGGCGGGTAGACTCGGAGGATGGGCTGGGAGGGGAGAAGGTTCGAGGTGTGTTGGCGAGCGTCAGCTGAGCGTTATGCTGTGTTGCATCGTGACACGTCGTGACATTGTGACCATCAAAGAGCTTGACATGACATCATTCAGTCTTCAGCTCGATTTTCTTCGTGGACTCTCTCATTATCTCTCTGTCGAACGTGCTTGAGAAAAATCTCGAATCATGCTCTGTGCGCCTCTGAAATTGCCAACTTTCCGTAGTTGACTGAGACTTTTGATTGTCATTTGGAGAAAAGCTATGATCCACTCATCCCTAATAGGCTAGAGCCTTTGATCGCGCCTTGGTTTTGACACTTCACAATGCTCCGCGTTGACAGATTACCAACGGACAAAGAAAAACTGTGGTGGGCCAGAGTCTGCTTCTCTGTGCCACTCCCCGCCCAGCTCGGACATCTGTACTTCGGCGCGCACCCGCGTCGCTTCGAGGTTTCGTTCTAATGAGCGATGGAGGTGCGCCTCGGCACGCTATCCTTCTTTCGGAACCTTCCAAGGACAACCTTAATTCCGCCCCAGTCCTTCACAACGCCGTCGTTCACATCCGCGATCTGCCGCTGGTAGTGGCTTCGGACTCCATTCCCCTGTGCTCCCATCGCCCCGGTCAAATATATACCGGACGAAGAACGCCCATCGACACGTGGCGTGCTCTCTGTGAATCTCTGGTCGCGCGCTCAACGGCCTCTAGATCGCGTAGAATGACCCACTCGCAATTGAACACGCGTTGAGAAGATGCGATGTATCATGGCTGGCCTGTTCAATGAATTGACGGCGACATGACCTCGAGGCATGAGTCTCCACTGGATCGCCCAGCTGTGTTCTTGCGTGAGCTTCTGAGAATTCTTGTGAATTCGGGTCGTTGTCCGCCTGCTTCGCTTGGTAGGGATGGTGCCGAGAAGAGTTTGGAGAAGCCAAGGCCCGCGGCTTGTGCAAGCATTTAAATGAGTCCCCCCGCATCTTGTTTCGTCAGCCACTATGTATCCCGAGTGGGACTCATCTACTACTGCCTGCCCCCGCGACGCATCTCTCACCAGATATCGTGGCTCAGGTGTCCGCGATGACCCTTACATCGTCGATTGGGACACGCATGATCCGGAGAATCCCCTCAACTTTTCTCTGTCGCGCAAGTGTGTGATCACCACTCAGGTTTGCTATCGCCTGCAGCGTCTAGAACCGTTCCTAAACTAAAGCCAGCTGGCGTTCGCAACATGGACCGTCTCCTTCGCATCAAGTGCGGGCGCAGTCTCTGTCTAATCAAGCGGGTTAAGCAAATCACAGGTGTCTATTCCAGCGGGCTTGCAGACATGGCTGAGGACCTCCACATCTCGGCAAATGTTGCCATTTTGGGTGCGTAGCCAGTCCCATGTCACTGGGACATTTCATCAACAGCGTCTGAAGGAATATCACTATATGTGCTGGGTTTTGCACTTGGGTCAGTCCGATTGAATCTCCCGTGTGCATAATCCAACTCACCGCATGCTAGTCCACTTGTAAGTGCGTCATCTTTGGCTCAGCGAGATTGCTGCTTACCCAGTACAGATCTTTGCTCCAATGAGCGAGATGTATGGACGAGTAAGCTCGTCCGCTAGAGCTTGTTCTGTCGTTGACCTTTTCAGCGACTTGTCTTCTTCATCAGCCTCGGCACCTACACTCTATTCCAATTGCAGGGATGCTTGAGCAAGAACAACATCTATGCTATTCTGGCAAGCCGCCTTCTCACCGGAATCTTCGGATCCTCTCGTAAGTGACTAGCCACTCCTCGTCGATCTTCCCTGAATGTCTTTCAAGCTTTGACGAACGCTCCCAGCCAAATCTGCGATATCTGGGATGTAAGAGAACGTGGACTGGCGGCAGCAGCTTACTCCATAATGCCTTTCTTGGGTCCTATTACTGGGCCGCTGGCGGGCGGTCTCCTGGTCGCAGCCGACGGCTGGCACATGAGCTTTTGGCTGATGTTCATATTCGCGGTTCTCGCTTTGCTGTCTGGTGCCGCTCTTGTTCCTGAAACTGTACGTGCCACTTTTGATCTGTATGTCAAGCAGTACAGCTCATGTCTGCTTCCAGTATGCTCCTGTGCTGCTTCGGAGACGTGCTCGCCAATTGCAGAATGGCCCTGGTGCAGGGTACTATGTCTCGGTGCACGACTGCAGCCAGCCGAGATCATTGGGGCAGGTGCTAGCCAAGAACTTTAGTCGTCCGTTCTGTTCGTTGTCTCTCACGGCTTCCATTTCTCCCTTTGACGAACATTTAGTGTTTCTCCGCACTGAACCCATTGTACTGGGCAGCGCACTCTGCATCTCTCTTGTCTATGGCACTCTCTATGCCATGTTTGCTGCTTTCCCTGTCATCTTCACCCAACACCATCACTTCACGTCGATGCAGAACGGCCTGGCCTTCTTGGGCATTGGACTGGGGCTCATGATAGGACTGGCCACGACTTCAATCCAGAACCGTATCTATCGTCGCGCCGCACAACGAAATGCTGGATTTGCACCTCCTGAAGCGTAAGAACATCATTGTCTCCCAATGGCATGTCTGACCCGGCCTTATCATCAGCCGGCTGCACCAAGCTATGTTTGGGAGTGTTCTTTTTCCTGTGGGGCTGTTTTGGTTTGCGTTGTGAGTTGCCTTTTACGAGCTGTCACCGTCAAATTCACAAGGTACCAATTTGAGGACCGCGTCGCCTTCGATACACTGGATCATTCCAATTACGGGCAGCGTCTTCTTTGGTACCGGGATCGCACAAGTTCTAACGGGTCTGACGATGTACTTGACCGATACCTACAATCTCTATCTAGCCAGCGCAGTGGCATCTACGATAGTAATGCGTTCATTTGTTGCCGCCTTTCTGCCGCAAGGGGTTCCTTCTATGTTCACCCGTCTCGGAGACTCGCTGGCGCTCTGTGTTTTTGGCGCACTCTGGCTTGTGTTGATGCCAATCCCATTCTGCTTTTGGGTTCGTTTGCATCTCATGGCGAACTTTTGTTGCTCATTCTTTTTATAGAAGTTCGGGGGCTTGATTCGCAGCAAGTCGGGCGCAGCACTGAAAGATCCATCAACGCCCCGCTCGCAAGTCACCTCTCACTGCGAGACCCTGAACGAAAAGCACCAGGCTCAAACTTATACGTAGCGAAGTTGTAGCTAACATCAAGTGTGCTTGCTTTCTTGAACCGCTGGAATAGCCACACGCATAAAATCCCAAGCTGCTATAGCCTGATGTCCCGATCCCCATGCCTCCGTAGCTTGCCGTTCAATCTCATGCATAACTCTTCTCCGCTGATCTCTCTCATACCGAGGAGCAGGAAATCTGAGACCGGTTAGAAAAAGTCACCCATCTTTGGTTTTCCGGACCTGCTGCCAATGTGGTTGAGCACTAGCCTCTCGGCACTGACTTTCTTCGCAAATTCGCCTGCCATCGTGGGAATGGAGTGTCCTCGCGCCAGAGCTGCACGCAAAACGGTTTCTGGTGTTCTGCGGTGCTGAGGCCCCAACTCGCGTGGGATGTGTGCATCGGTGGCCTCGTGCACAACCAACGAGGGACTAGGATGTATGCACAAAGGGACGATGGAAGAAGCATCGTAAGTATCGCCCAACACAACAATTTTGCGGGCGGAGCCGTTCGTCTCGCGAAAGACATAGCCCAAACAAGGATCTGGACATCGAGCAGCGTCAGCCAGCCGAGCAGGAAATGTGAGATACGACGCACCGCGATGAGATATCGGGCCTGCATCCACGACAACATCATGGCTGTGGCCGGCATCCTCCGTGAAGCCTTTCCAAAACCCGTCGCCTGTGCATACAATATCTCTGCCCGCTACTTCACTCGAATGCATCACTTCAGAGTCGCAAGATGTCAAAGCATCTTGCTGCGTCAACAACTCATGCACCACGTATCTGTGCGCCGTTCGCGTCAAGGTCATTTTCATGATGGATCGTACAAAGGTCCGGATGCCAGCCGGTCCGTATATCTCGATTCGGGGCTGGAGAGATAAGAAAGTGGTCGGAAAGGACACGTCAATCAGGATGTCACCTGTGGGCTTATGGACACTACTGCAGTAGGATCGATGGAGGGAGCGAAGAGGATATTTCTTAGCAGAGGAACAATTCCCATGGTGTGATCGGCATGCATGTGCGTCTTTCAGGGTTCGAGCTAATGCAGGACGAATGATCTTCGCGTAAACTTACGACAAACATCTTGGACACAGAGGCAGCCTTGAGCCACGGTGAGCCCTGGGGTTGGAAGGCGAACTGACGCGTCGTTCCCTCTGCTTCATTTGATTAGTCTTTCTTGCAGTGCAACTGTGGCAAACCAGCGCAGTCTACCACTGGATGACGTGTTAGCGACTTGTCGACAATAGAAGCAGGGCCACAGCAGAAGCAAATGGCGTACTCCACAGCTTGCCATCGCGCAGTAAACAATCCAGCACCAGCGAGCTGCAATTTCTCGATTCTGACGGCCCTCCCCCGGAGGATGTGCCCAAGAATGTGACATTCATAAGTTGATCGTTGTTATGTGCGGGTTGAAGAAAATTCAGCGAGAAACGTCGGCGAACAAATGGATTGTGAGGTGCCACCGGCCAGGACAGGCTGCGGAAGACAAGAGTCATTGAGTAGATCACGTGAGAAGGCCGCGGCACGTTACGTAATATTGATGACGGTTCCGGCGCGAAATCCCTGATCAAAACAAGCTGCTATCATGCCCACGCACAGTTCACTCCTGCACTCATGTCGACTACTGAGTCCTTGGATGAGAAGCACCCGCCTGGCTACTCCAAGTTCCCGTTCTTCTCTCGGAAGTCAAACAACAAAGAGAAGGCAGACGCAGACTCGGAGGCCACAGAAGTGACCACTGCTGCCGAACCGGCTCTTGAGCCTGTTGGTTTTCTTCAACTCTTCCGGTTCTCGACTTCCTACGAAATTACTTTGGATGTCATTGGATTGATAGCTGCTGCTGCCGCTGGGGCTGCCCAGGTGTGTTGGGTTGCGTACGTTTAAACTCTCAAGGAGATCAATATTTTGCAGCCTCTCATGACCATTTTATTCGGCAATCTGGTCAACCAATTCGTCAACTTCCAAATCGTCATTTCTGCTATCGATGCTGGCAGTACCGAAGCTGCAGCTCAACTTCCTGCGGTCGCTGCTGCTTTCAGACATGAAGCAGGTCGACTGGCCATTTACTTGGTTTGCATCGGTAAGGATGACTTCCTTCCGTGATATCCGGCTCTCAGTCTAGTTTCAGGATGTGGCATGTTTCTCTGCACCTACATCTACATGTCAGTTTCGTCCCCCGATCAAGAATAAGTCACTCAAATCCGGAACAGGTATACTTTCGTTTACACGGCTGAAGTCAACGCGAAGAGAATTCGCGAACGCTATCTCAAAGCTGTCTTGCGTCAAGATGTCCAATTCTTCGACAAAGTCGGAGCTGGAGAAGTTGCCACACGAATTCAAACAGACACTCGTAGGTTACCAGTCCTCGCTGCTTCGGCTCAAACTGAGGTTCCTGCAGACCTCGTGCAGCAAGGCATATCTGAAAAAGTTGCTCTTGTCGTCAACTTCCTGGTGCGTGTGGTTTCTGAATCTGGACAATGGATTGACGAGATTCAAGTCTGCATTTGTCACCGGTTTTGTTGTCGCGTATGTGAGGCAGTGGAAGTTGGCCCTCGCCATGTCTTCAATCCTGCCGTGCATTGCGATCACCGGAGGAGTGATGAATAGGGCCATCTCGCGTTACATGCAGTATGTTCACATTCCCTCGTCTGACTTTCCTGACACGAAGTCGCAGACTTTCGTTGAAGCATGTCGCTGACAGCGGCAGTATGGCAGAGGAAGTGATCTCCACTGTCAGGACTGCGCAGGCCTTTGGCTCTCAGGGTGTCCTGTCCAGCTTGTACAACAAAACCATCGAGCAAGCTTTGCACGCTGATCTCAAGGCTGCTGTGTGGCATGGCGGAGGATTGTCGGTGTTTTTCTTCGTCATCTATTCGGCCTATGCTTTAGGTTCGAACCTCTCACGACTTTCAAGCCAATACTGATGACGCGCAGCTTTTGATTTTGGTACCACTCTCATCGATGCCGGACAGGCCAATGCTGGACAGGTCATCAATGTGTTCATGGCAATTCTGATTGGATCGTTCAGTTTGGCTCTCCTTGCTCCAGAGTCGCAGGCAATTCAGCATGCCCGCGGCGCTGCAGCGAAGCTGTTTTTGACAATCGATCGCGTTCCGGAAATAGATTCGGCATACGAAGGAGGGTTGAAGCCGGACGCCATCTCCGGCGACATCGCTCTCGACAACGTTTATTTCAGTTATCCGTCTCGTCCTGGAGTGGTCGTTACCAAAGGCATCTCTCTCTCGTTCCCCGCCGGCAAAACTGCGGCCCTTGTTGGTGCATCCGGTTCAGGCAAATCCACCATCGTCTCCCTCGTTGAACGGTTCTACGATCCCACGAGTGGCACTGTGACTCTCGATGGGATCAATATCCGGGATCTCAACCTCAAATGGCTGCGTTCACAAATCGGCCTGGTCTCGCAGGAGCCAACGCTTTTCGCGACGACGATCAAGGGCAATGTCGCACACGGTCTAATCAACACCAAATACGAGCTTGCCTCCGAGGAGGAAAAGTTTGCCCTGATCAAGGATGCTTGCGTTAAAGCGAATGCCGATGGTTTCATCTCCAACCTCCCTGATGGCTATGATACTGTCCGTGGTGTTTCTTATCTTGATTTAAATCGTTTTTGAATCTCTCCTAGATGGTCGGAGAACGCGGATTTCTACTCTCAGGCGGCCAGAAACGTGAGCTGCCACCATGTCCGTGCTTGGAACCCACTAATGCAGGAGCAGAGCGAGTCGCCATCGCCCGTGCCATTGTCTCCGATCCGCAGATTCTTCTGCTGGACGAGGCTACTAGTGCTTTGGACACGCAGTCCGAAGGGGTTGTTCAAGACGCGCTGGACAAGGCTGCTGCTGGCCGGACTACGATTACCATCGCACACAGGTTGTCGACAATCAAGGATGCTGACACGATCTTCGTGATGGGCGAGGGACTGGTCCTCGAGCAGGGCACACACGACGAACTTCTCGGCAAAGAGGATGGTGCCTATGCCAGATTAGTGGCTGCACAAAAGCTTCGCGAAAGCGAGGAGCGCAGAGAGGGTGAAGACGAGCCAGAATCCAAAGAAACCGAGGCAGCCGAGATGGAGAAAGCCGTGCGGACTGAGATTCCGTTAGGTCGCAAGAACACAGGACAACGGTCGTTGGCCAGTGATCTGATTGAAAAGCGTTTGGAGGGCCAAAGAGAAAATGCAGGCGAAGACGACTACAGTCTCTACTACCTCTTCAAGCGCGTCGGAGCATTGAACCGCGAGTCCTGGCGAAAGTACCTCTTCGGCTCAATATGTGCTATCGCATCTGGTGGTGTCTTCCCTTCATTCGGCATCGTTTACGGTCGGCACTCCGTCAAGCCTCGATACACGATCTCTGACTTCTCAGTATAGCAAAAGGAATCAATGGCTTCTCAGAGCTGGGCCACAGTCGTCGAGTCGCCGGGGACCGAAACGCGCTGTGGTAAGTACATGCGCTTCTTACTCGCACTTCCACCTGACTGAATCTCATACAGGTTCTTCATCATTGCCATCGCCTCCACCTTCTTCATCGGCTTCCAAAATTACTTGTTTGCGTCGGCGGCAGCTACCCTGACCACCAAGCTGCGACGTCTCAGCTTCAAGGCTATTCTTCGGCAAGACAGTGCGTCACCCTCCTCCCTAACTCTGGAAGTCCCTCTGACCCGCGCTTGCAGTTGAATTCTTCGACAAGGACGAGAACAGTGCTGGTAGTTTGACGTCGTCACTCAGTGACAATCCCCAGAAAGGTACGATCTTTACCGTTGATTGATACTCGGTTTTGATCTGCTTACTAGTGAATGGTGAGTGCCTTTCCAGTCGACTGCAGAACCATGTCTCAAATGACGGTTAAGGACTGGCCGGTATCACCCTTGGCGCGTGAGTACATCGGTTTTCTTTGTGATCTGTCTTTGACTCGTTGCTTCAGCATCGTTCAGAGTTGCTCCACACTTCTCGCCGGTGCTATCATTGCTTTGGGTTAGTCAATCTCATGACTTCTACAACTTTCTCTAATGCCCTCTCAGCGATTGTTTGGAAGGTTGGGCTTGTTGGAATTGGTACCATTTGTCGCACCTTACTCGATTTCCCTGATTTGACCAGTTGACTAGCATGCGCACCGCTGCTCGTGTCTGCTGGATACATCCGACTGGTACGAGCCAACCCTTTCTTTCGATTGACTTGAGGTGACAATTTTTCGACAGCGTGTGGTTGTTCTGAAGGACCAGAAGAACAAAAAGGCCCATGAACGCTCTGCCCAATTGGCCTGTGAAGCTGCTGCGTCGATTCGCACTGTCGCCGCTCTCACCCGAGAGGATGACTGCTGCAATCTTTACGGCGCAAGCCTCGAAGAACCCTTGAGAGAATCAAACCGCACGGCTATCTTGAGCAACCTCATCTATGCAGCATCACAGTCGATGATCTTCTTTTGCATTGCATTGGTCTTCTGGTGGGGTGCTCAGCTTGTTTCCAAACGGGAGGCGTCCACATTCCAATTCTTCGTTGGACTAATGGTAGGCGGTCGTTTTGCGTTTGGGCCCGGATAATAACACATTTCGAAGTGTTCTACTTTTGCATCCATCCAAGCCGGCAACGTTTTCTCATTCGTGCCGGATATATCGTCGGCTAAGGGTGCTGCATCGGATATCATCAAGTTGCTCGATTCGATCCCTGAAATCGACGCTGAATCGCCCGCCGGAAAGTCAATCGATCCGACAGCTACGAAAGGACATCTCCGATTGGATGGAATTCACTTCAGATATCCGACGAGGCCAGGAGTTCGGGTGCTTCGGGACCTTTCGATCCAGGTGCAACCCGGGACATACGTTGCTCTGGTCGGCGCCAGCGGAAGTGGCAAGTCTACCGTCATTCAGCTGATCGAGCGCTTCTACGATCCGCTGGCTGGTGATGTTTACGTGAGAATGGCTTGTCTCTTTCAGTCTACTTGTGCTCAGGCTGCCTTGCAGTTGGATGGCGAACGCATCACCGAATTGAACATTCAAGAGTACCGCAAATCCATCGCGCTTGTTTCGCAGGAGCCTACTCTCTACGCTGGGACCGTTCGCTTCAACATTCTGCTGGGGGCCATCAAACCCATGGACGAAGTCTCGCAAGAGGAAATCGAGGCAGCCTGTCGCAACGCGAACATTCTCGAATTCATCCAGTCGCTTCCCGAGTAAGCTCAAGTCCCGTTGTGGTCATTCTCCCAGTCTGACTTGCTCGCTCCTAGTGGATTTGAAACGGAAGTAGGTGGAAAAGGTTCTCAGTTGTCGGGAGGACAGAAGCGTCAGTGTCTTGTTTTCTGATCATGACTATTCCCTGACTCAATGCGCAGAGCGAATTGCCATTGCCCGTGCCCTCTTGCGGAATCCGAAAGTTCTGCTACTGGATGAGGCCACCTCTGCTCTAGACTCGACCTCTGAAAAAGTGGTACAAGCAGCGCTCGATCAGGCTGCCAAGGGCCGCACGACAGTTGCAATCGCTCACCGATTATCTACCATCCAGAATGCTGATAATATGTGAGCTCCTCTGGCTCTATCAACTCCTCGTGCTTGTTCGCTGACACCTTGCCGCCAGCTATTTCATCAAAGAAGGGAAAGTGAGCGAACAAGGCACACACGACCAGCTCCTGGCAAAACGCGGAGACTATTACGAATATGTTCAACTCCAAGCCCTTAGCAAACACACTTGATACCATGTCATACAGACTTTTTATGATTTTGCATAGACTTTTTTGGGTGCTTCAATTTGGCTTGCCCCTGATCGCAACGATGTATCAGTCTTTTCATTAAAGAGTGACGTAAACTGGCAAAGTGGCAACCCGCCTGGGCCAGTCTCTCTTATTTTCCTCCGTCACACTGCACTTGTCTACGCTCTGGAAGCACAGACTGTCTGTCCTTCCCGACAATCGCCGCTCGCTTATCACATCCCATCCCTCCACTCGTTGCAATAAGTATGTCCTGGAAGCTCGGGAGAAGCAAGAAGTCGTCGGTGGTCAACTTACGTGCTGAGGACGTCGTTGACCCGCGCTCAACAACTCCTACCCCCGGAGCTCAATCCCGCTCCGGTGTACTCTGTAATTCTTTTCCACCGTCGCTCCACTTCTGTGCGGTCGGCTTACTCTCCGTCCAGCTATCCGCGTGCTTTCGGCCGAAGGTCTCGCCGTCCCAGCGGGGACTACCATCCCCGCGGCTGTTCAGGCAGCCCTGAACTCCCAGCAGGCCAAGGTTGCAGCCTCCGTGTCGCCCTCCAGTGTTACACAACAGCGACTGGCCAAACGTGGAAACAGGGACTCCATCCAGCGAACCCAGGCCTGCTGGTGGCTTCCTTACGTGGTCATGGAATACGAAGTGAATCAGGTCCTAATTACCCCCTTGGGTGGCGACCTGGACAAGCCGGTGTTTATGTACCAGGCTCATTTGTGAGCGGACTTCCTCGCCGTTTCTGCCCGTCGCCCGTCTCATCTTCTCCAAGCGACGTATCCCGCAACTCTGAGATCTCACTCCAGTGCTATCTCCGCGCCAGTGAACCCGGTGGTGACACTACCGAAGACCTCGGGACGAATCATGACATCTTTCTCGGGGGCATCAAGGTACAGACAATCTGTAACAGCAGTGGTCGCACACGTTTCATACTTCCACAGTTTATTCCCAACTTTGATGAAGGAGGGACCCAGGATCAGTGGTATGATATGCTGGGCGGCTCGGGCAAGATGCAAGTCGGCGTTGCTTACCAGCCCATGCTGCAGTCCCTGTCCATCGATGATTTTGAGCTCGTCACTGTTATCGGGAAGGGCAGTTTTGGGAAAGTGATGCAGGTCCGCAAACGCGATACGTCGCGGATCTATGCTCTCAAGACCATCCGCAAGATGCATATCGGTGCGTCGGCTGTGCTGGAACTCTGCTGGTACTCACCACTCCAACAGTGAACCGTAACGAGATTACGCACACCCTTGCCGAACGGCTTGTTCTCGCCCGGGTCAACAGTCCTGTAGGCGCCGCCCCCCACTCTCACTCAGAACTCACGATCTGATTCAACTTCCAGTTCATCGTGCCTCTCAAATTCAGTTTCCAGTCGGAGCAGAAGCTGTACTTGGTTCTTGCCTTTGTCAATGGGGGGGAGCTGTTCCACCATCTCCAGCGTGAACAGCGCTTCAATGAAGAACGCGCCAGGTGCGCCAATCACAGCGGCTTGCACCACCAACCTGTCCTAACATGAATCCAGATTTTACAGCGCAGAACTTCTGCTTGCGTTGGAACATCTGCACGAACTCGATGTGGTTTACCGCGATCTCAAACCTGAGAATATCCTCCTGGATTTCACAGGCCATCTTCTCCTGTGCGACTTCGGGCTTGCCAAGCTCGGCATGAAGGCCGACGAGAAAACGAACACGTTTTGTGGCACACCCGAGTATCTTGCTCCAGAAATCCTCAAGGGCCAAGGCTACAGTATGTGATCAGAGCATCTTGTTACATTGGACCGGACTGATGTAAGGCATCCTCTCACAGCGAAGACCATCGACTGGTGGACGCTGGGTGTGCTGCTCTTTGAGATGTTGGCTGGTCTGCCGCCATTCTACGATGGTTAGTCTCATTCTCCCGAATCAAGTGGCACCAGCGTTCAACCCTACCTTGCAGAGGTCACCGATCGCATGTACGAAAAGATCCTGAACGATCCACTCGTCTTCGGTGCCGAATTCAGCCCTGAGGCCCGGGGCATCTTGACAGAGCTCCTGGACCGGGACCCTGTCAAACGCCTTGGTGTCAATGGTGCGGGCGAGATCAAGAAACACCCTTTCTTTGCGTCCATGGACTGGAAGAAGCTCATGGAGAAGAAAATCCAGCCACCCTTCAAGCCAAATGTGGCTAGCCCAGTGGTCCGTGGTTCCTGGAAATGCTCAATCTACGCGCACCTGATTTTATTCTAGGACGTCTCCAACTTCGATACGGTCTTTACCGTGGAGCCACCCGTCGACAGTGTGGTCGAGAACTCGAACTTGTCGCAGACTGTCCAAGAACAGTTCTCCGGCTTCTCATACAACGGAGCCAACATTCCCATTGGCTCCGTTTCCAGCTAAACAAGCTTTGCTTGCTTGTACTAATCCACCAGACTAATCCCCTTCATTTCTGTAGAATACATCCCCTCGCTATATACTGCTTTCGCTCTCTCCATGGAATCGCATACTGCATCTCACTCATTATCATAGCTCACACATTATTGTCATCTGGAAGGGTTCATTCACAATCTAAATCGTTTATGTAAACATAGGAATTGTGCCAGCAGCACCGCCACAAAATGTCATCAATCCTTCTCCAATCAATGCATCAGCAAGTTGAACCCTGGACGCGTTGAACAAGCATACCTAACGACCCTTTCCAAGACCACACACTCGTTACCTCCATGCCTTCGCGCACAATTGCTACCCCCGCCATGCCGCATACCTCTCCTTTATTCTCACCGTCCTTTCAAATCATCGTCGTTCCCCCGGAAGAAGATCTGGAGCCAGAACAGGTCGTCTTTCATACAGACTCGCTTCCTGAGCCAGATCTTGCGACGTCTCCGGACTTTGCGTCTCTTGACCAGGCGCTCGCACGTATCAAAGGGACTGATCCCACCCCGTCCACATCCCGCGGCAAGATGAACGAAGAAATTCAAGAGGCTTTGCGAGAGGGCGATTCGGAGATTGTCGAGGTCGTCAAAGTGAGGCGAACATTTTCGCCTGACGCGGAATCTGCTCCTCCGCTTCCTGAAACGAAGACAAAGACGAAATCATTGCGGTCGCGCGCTGGCAGCGCGTTCCGCTCGATCAAGAACCTTGCCCGTGCTACCTCTCGCAGTGCTACTACTGCTGCCAGCGCCGACAGCAGACCTTACACGCAGGAGGTTTTCGCGTTCAGTCAGAGTACCCAGGCCACTTTTGCGACGGCGCCCCTGCCCTCTGCGCCGCCCCTCTCTCGTCGCGGATCGGTCATACTCTCCAATCTATTCCGCAACCCATCACGCACCAGCGACTCAGTCATCGCGACGTCCTCTACGTCGGACTTCCAGCGCATGCGCTACTCCGCGGACTTTGAAGACGATGAAGACGAGCTCGAGGAGCCCATTTCGAGAGCCCCCTCTCCGTCTCCTTCTATGCAAACTTTCACGTCTACTGTGCGTCGCCGACTGTCGATTCTGTCGTTCCAGCGGAAAGCGCCTCCTCGACCCGTTTCTCCTCCATCCCTATCCCGAGGCTCCACAGACCCATCCACTTCGTCCGCTCCTCAGACACCGACCGAGGAGACGCATCCTCAACCTTCAGCTGAACGTTTCAGCAAAGAAGTTGCTCCATTGGAGGAAGAAGATCCGGATCGCACGATCGGAGAGATGCGACTGGATTCGTTTCACTTCGATGGTCTTTCGTTTGATGCCGAACAGTTTTAGGCGCATACATTCTTAGCATTGCATTTTTGACTTCCCATACTTGTGTATAACTACTACCCAGAGCAATTTCAGTACGTCTCGGAGAGTACTGTGGAGTCTGTCAATGTTGCGCACTGAGAGATGGAAGTTTGCACTTACTGAGTGTGACAAGGGAAGTCCAGCCAGTGAAAGGATGGCTGACCGACAGATCAGAATACGACACCAGCGAAGCGAGAGAAGAAATACCTGCGTTGCCCTTTGCCTGTTGTTGCATCGTATTGCTCCCAGACATATCCTGTAAGTTCGTATTCCTGCGGCGCTTTAATGACCGCTTGGGCGAGAGAAAGACGGTACCGACTTTGAAAACGTTGTCAACGATGTTTTTGCGAAGCTGTTGATAGATCTCCTGGGCCCTCAGTTTGTACGGCCCATCTTCCACAGAGTATTTCTGTTACAAATCAGTGTCAGACACTCATGCAACAGGATTGGGACGGACGGTGTAGAGAGATCGAAGAACGAGGTAGTTCATTTGCAGCCAGACAGGACCTTTCCAGTAGTTCTCTCCCTGCCCGAACTCGGGGTGCGAGAGAGATAGACTGCGGAGACCGAACGGAGACCAAAGCTGCTCTGGATCAAGCAGAGCGTCGAACATGGGCCCGAGATGCGGAGATGATGGAGACAGAAGACCGAGGAAAAGAGGGAACATGGACAGGTATCCCTGATGGCAGACGTGATAGGATTCGTCTGTCTGGGTTTAGATTGTGAGGGGACACCAATTGAGCGGGACACACCCTCGCTATCAACATTTGCATCGCAGTACATGTTGTGTTTCTCGCTCCAGTGCAAGTCTGAGAAAGTTGAAACCAGACTAGACAATAATCAAAGACGAGGACAGACCATCGATGTTGCCAAGAATCGCTTGCTCGATTTCACCATACGAGGTCGCATCTTCCGTCTCCCCAACAAACTCGGCGATTTCCCGCATCGTCTGGCTGAAGAAAGCCATCCAGGAGATGAGATCGAGGTGGAGTTCACCGGCATGCGGTGGTCCACGAGGATAGTCGTCCATTCCACTGGTCAACACATGATGCTCGGAGCGGCCCCGCCAGCGATAACCTTCAGTGCGAGAACGGGCTTTGCGGGCATATTGTTTTATTTGGCCTCGCTGAGTGAGCCTGAACCAGTTGTAGTGTCGCTTCAAGGGGGCATAGATTGACTTCAGGAACTCCTGAGCCATTCCAGGATCTAAAAGCTCGGAGCCTGGCGCAGGTTGCGACAATGGTACCTGCATTCCCATGTCCATTCCGAGGACTTGATCGGAAACACCGGACGCCATCGATTTCTTCACTCGGTTGATGAAGGCGGTCACGGCCATCGTCAAAGTAGGCGGGTTGGCATAGTTGGGAACCTGCGTCTGGAATTCGGGCGGAACCTGCGCCAGATCAGCATGGGACGAATCAAAGAAAACTAAGGGTAGTCACTTTGCTTCGCGCCTCTTCGCCTAGAATCTGCTCGCGGGCAACCCAGCCGTCCTCATCGATCAGGTTGATCCAGCTCTTGAGAATCTCCAAGCTAAACGAGCCGTGTCGGCGACAATGGTGTCTGGGATGACTGGACACACCTGAAATCGTTATCCCATTGGCCGATGTGCAACAGGTGGAAACCTTCATCCCAATAGAATCCACGAGGGAAGAAGCTTCGGCTGGGTGTCGCCGTCAACAGAGCCCTGGGTTCCGTTAGCCGCGCGCCCGTATCGGCTTCGGTTTTCGTGCTACTGTCATCTTCCTCGTCCCACTCATAGGCAAACTTTTTGTTGACAATGGACGTCCCGTAGAAGTAGCCCACACCTCCAACGAGATTAGACGTGACAGCCCGAGAAAAAGCTTGCATCGGTTCTCTGCGTTCCTCGGGATAATCCGAAGGGAAAGGGAAGGCATTCTGGAATTGTCTGTGGTAGGACGCCACCATGGCGGGAATACCTGCGTCTAGTGTTGCAGCTGGAGACGGGTTAGAACCAACGCAAAGGCCCGGGACGCAAGACGAACCGCTCAATTTCTGTTTGGAACTTGCGCTTTCGAAGAACACGTCGAATTGGAATTCTCCGTCAAACGATTTCTGAACAGCATAGAGATTGCTGCCCATGTACACTTCGTCTGCCAACTGCAATACGAAAGAAGGATCGGGTGGTCCTGTCGGGGAGTCCTTGTAGCCCCCAAGAATCTCCTGTGCTCGCAGAACGATGTTCTGCATCAGAGCCTCTATAACGCGTGTGATATTCTGCTCGCAGTGCAGTGCAAATAATCACCTTTTGCTTGCCAAACGTTCCCGGGAGCCAATTTTTGCCCAAGGAAATGCGTCTTGCCTATGCGTTCTTGGAAATTTTGGGCAAAAGGTCCAGCAGTGACAACGCTATTGTCAGGACCTGCCATTGTTTGAGTCGTTGAACTCATCCATATTCTTTCCACATACCATCCACGATCCGAATGGTGAAGTCATCAAGTTCGGGAGTAGAACCTGTGAACTTGACATCTCCCTCCAAACCCTGCAAGAATCATTTAAGCTTGTGCAGAGATGGTATCGTGACACGACACACATTCTCATCTTCGTCATTCTCCATTTCCATTCCACCAATACCCTCCAGTCCGAAGTAGAAGATAAGAGATGAACGCGTCGGTTTAGCTGAACGGTGGAAGTTCTCAATGTGCATATCGACCTGGCCTGACCGAGAGAACACCTACTGGGGTCTATAGGCTCTCCCTTGATTCTGGTAGCCCAGCTACCCCCATGGTCACCGCCCGCGACTTTAAGGAACTCCGTAGTCAATTTCAAATTGTTGAAACCATCCTTGATGACTTGAACGCCGCCTTCCCGAGTGTCGTACTCCGTCCAGGTGTAACTGTCAATCTTGTCGCCTTGATCACAGGCATGCCGCGTCTCTAGAGTCGACTTGAGATTCATGATACACTAGAAAACGCGTCTGCGCACTGCTAATAGACTGGTAGTCATGCGTCCCGAACCACATGAGACCAGTCATGAGGGATTGGGGAATCTGAGGCCGAAGTCCAAAGTAGAGATTGGGTCGATAGGCGCCCCATAGTAGCGTTCCATTGAGCTCTGCGGCTGCGGCTGAACCCAGCGGCAGCAAGAGCCAAATGAGTTGCATGGGAAGTAAACGTGGCGAGCCGTGCGAATGTACGATCGTGGCTGTGATACCTCTATCAGATCTTCACCACTCCGTTTCCAAAGAGGGAAACCTGCTGACACACTGGGATGACCTGATCGGTGTGCTAGAATCGCACTGGACACTTGCTGGACTGGACATCCTCAATATCCAACGATTTGTTGTCTTATCAATCACCGGCCGTTCAAATGTATTCAATAAATTCCTCTATGGCATCACGACGAAACGGATGGTTCGGTGGCCAAGTGAGTCTGTGCTGGACAAGGCTGGACATTTGTAAAAAGTGACTTTGACGTCATGTCAAGAAAGCTGTTGAATTGATCGGATCAGTAATCAAATCTAATCCCCAAATCACCTGTCAATCATGATGCAACCCTTGGCGGCTTCGTCTCACTACTCACCGTCTCATTTCTTCAGCACAATCTAACCCGTGCGGGATCCTCTTCTCTAATCGCTCAAACTTGAAGGGAAGATGACCCTCAAAAACGGACTCTGTTCTATCACGATGGAAAAACACTATCCGCGTCTACAGCATATGCCGCCCACCTCCTTGACTACTGTGCGCGATCGAGGTGGCAAGCTGTATGATTCCAATCACCGCCAGAGTTATGAATGGTGCATGTGCCTGATTCGTATCTCATTGGGTCTGGCTGAAGTTCGAGGCTGTGTCTATCCTGCACCGTCTATAAAAAGCGGCTGAGAATTGGGCATGTCAATCACACACACACCTTCATGTCGGTCGCAGGGAACACTACAGTATTCGACGACGCTCCTGCTGCAATTAAGAAAGAACAGTTCGAATCATTCAACGGTCGACTCAACGAGAAGACTGCTATGCCCCAAGCGACTGCCAAAGCGGAAGTGGGACCCGGAAGTTTCGTCACAGACGACTATCTGAAGGAACGGCCTTTCTATGTACCCATTGGTCACGGTGGATTGATTGCTGCTCTCGAGAAGCTTGATCGCCAATTGATCGAGGTCGGTGCCTCTGTCGAAGCTCGATCCGTTTCTCATTGAGGAACTCTAGAGCGGAAGACCGAGTATTCTTTCCAAGAAAGTCCCAGTCAACTGGACAGGCAAAGAAATACATCCCGGACAACTCGGCCTGATCAGTCATGGTGGTTCTCCCAAGATCCTCATCCGCCCAGGTCGTTATCCGTGTGTGATAGCCTTGCAATCCTGTTGCAGATTACTTACGTGCAGTTCTGTGCTTCAGTGCGTTCCCGTTTCGCAACTGGTGGGGACGAAAATGGGTGGGAACCCACGGAGGTTCGAGTTTCTTGTTCCTGCCTGAGACGCGCAGATCCTCAATATGTTATAGTTTCGGATACTGTTATTGAATTTCAGGGTTTGACGGTCGTTCAAGTGTCGCAGAACCAAGGTCGGCTAGTTCTTTAACGCCTGTCGTCGTTGTGCCTTGATATGCTCTCCAGCGGCCGTTGTGAGCGATCCTCAGAACCAGATTTTCGTGGTAAAGAACTCGGGCTTTGTTGCCTTTGCCGTCGAAGGGAGCTGGGATTGCTTGGGTGTGACTGATATGACCCATCTGGAGCACGTCGTCGTGGACAAATTGACCAATGTCACCCTGGGATGGACGCATGAAGTTTCTATGAAGAGTCAAATCGGTTATGGTTCTACCAAGAATTACGTCGTCGCCCTTTTGTACGCCATGTTTCATCCCTTTTCTCGTCCTGTCTGTGCTCATTTACTATCAGCCTCAATATTCCTGCCAACAATTGTGCCATTCTCCAACGTGGAGATGAACTGCAACTTCTCGGCGCTGGCCAGTCTGTAATCACCAATCCATCGGTGACTCTGCGTGGACTATACACTTTGGGCGAGAACCAACTCGAGTTACCAACGAAGGACATGTGTGTTCTGTCCTTCCCGTGTATACTTCGTGTCTTACGATTCTCTTTAGCTTCACTCGAGATCAGGTCCCGGTCTCTCTCAGATTATATCTCAAGTGGCAACTCACGGAGCCGCTCAAACTTGCGACACATGGCTACAACACACCGTCAGTGTTTTCTGTTCGGCCAGGTCAAAGAGACCTCATTCTGCTGTCCCAGATACGATGCACTGCGTGACAAGACACAATCGATTCTCACCCAAATTGTATCGCATCTGGACTACTCGTCGATGGTCAGTCGTGTCGAGCGACCGAAAATGATGGTGAATTCATTGCTACCAGGTCAAGCAACGCACGCTTGGTCCAAACAATATAGACGACAACAACGACCCTTCCTCGCAATTTCTGGTGTGCAGCACCACTATGTGCCCAAAGACTGATCTGAAACGGTTGACATGCTCAGGACTCGCTGAGAACACAGGCGATGGACGAGTGCGTACTTCTGACTGATGCATGCGGTCGATTCTGACTGTTCGTAGAATGCATGAAGCTGCTCTGGAGTATGGGATTGTCTTGAAGGATCTCGCTGTGATCGACCGGCAATTCAAGGGCGAGATTGCCAACACCATGGACAAAGTGAGGCAACCCACCGACTGGTGCCAAGTAGCTCACGCGGTCTTTCCAGCTTACGACACGCGCTCTCCACACCCAAGTCGAAGCAGCCAATGTGGATCGTGAAAATCAAAATCATGTGAAGCAGGAGGAAGGTGCTCTGGCCGTGTCTCGGATCAAGGCCCAATCTCAGAATGCGCTTGCGGACTCGGAGGCGTACAAAGTTGTTGCAGCCGCCAAAGCTCAGGCCGAGAGGCTGAAGATAGAAGCAGAGGCTGCCGCGCAAGCCACGCGCATGACAGCCGAGGCTGAGGCTGAGGCCATCCGGATCAAAGCCGAGGCCAATACTCGCGTCGTTGACCAGTTCGCTCGCGAAATGGAGTTGCGGAGATTGGAGGTACTGCGCGTTCAAGCTTACGGAGACAAGGCTGTGTTTGTGCCAGAAACTGGATCAGGCATGAGTCAGGCCATGGCGATGGGCATGGCTGCCGGACTGGGTGCTGAGGCCAGCCGGAGATAGTGCTCGCCATTAGTACGTCGTTTTCAGTCATTATGTATCGTCTTGCATAGCAATAAATTCGAGTCATTTGCCCCGCCTATTTCCCGAACCGCGATTGATTTGGCACATTGGTCATGTTTGGCTGCTCCCAGAACGGTACAAACGCGTGTTTCTACCTCTGTCCTTGACCACCACCCTCAGTTCACGTCTGCACTTACCCCTTCCTCAACACCACCACCCAGAATTGCGAGATGAGATCCAAGTTCAAGGACGAACATCCCTTTGGTGCGTGCTACTACCGCCTGTGGCGACCCCACTTATGAACCTCCTTTTCCCCGCAACAGAGAAGCGCAAGGCTGAGGCGGAGCGCATCCGACAGAAGTACCCCGACAGGATTCCCGTCAGTCGCTACCTCTTTCCTTGCCCATTTCCCGCCACTCACCTATCCATCCATCCACTCGTTCTATAGGTTATCTGTGAGAAGGCAGATCGCACAGACATCCCCACCATCGACAAGAAGAAGTATCTCGTTCCTTCGGTGTGCAACTTCGGCACTTTCTCGCTATCGCTGTCGTTTATGCTCTGTTTCAGGACTTGACCGTTGGACAATTCGTATACGTCATCCGTAAACGAATCAAGCTCGCGCCGGAGAAAGCTATCTTTATCTTCGTCGACGAAGTTCTTCCTCCAACAGCAGCCCTGATGAGCGCGATCTATGAGGAGCACAAGTCCGTACTCGTTCAGGTGCACATTTCCAGTATCTAATCTCTGTTGCAGGGATGAGGACAACTTCTTATATGTCAGCTATTCTGGAGAGAATACGTTCGGGCAACAGGGATGGACTGAGCTGCGGTCGGATGCGTAGTTGCGAAGGGTGACTGCGGAGGCCCATCATATGATCTGCATGCGCCGCCTGGACTCTTTCGCGATATACCCAGCCCACCTCACGCCCACGTCGTTAATCTTGTACCTTTAATATCTCACTCTCTCTTTCGCTATCATATGAAATGGAATGTACGATGCGTTTATACACACATATGGCCATTGTTCAGATCCGCACCGCATGTTCGAATTCCCCGATGAGGCAACGTTGGAAGATAAAGGCGTATGAAGCAGGTCCTAATGAGCCAAAGAAGGGCTCAAGCGCGACGGATGATCCAAGCACAATGAAGGCCCGTCAAGCATATAAGAGGAGACACTTCTCCCATATAGCCACCCATCCCTCGCGACAATGAAGCCAGCCACCGCTATCTCATGTGAAACGACATTCATTGGTGAGTTTACTACTTGTGCTATCCGGTAGACCGAATGAGCAACTTTCAGCTCTCGTGCTTGTTCTTCATTTCATTACAATCGTATTGTGTGGCATCAGTCTCAGCAGCAGTGGCAAGTCTATTCTCGACCGCGGACGAGTGATTGGATCATTCACACTCCTGCATCGACAGCTTTTCTGGGGATCCCTTTCACATTCTTATGGCTGTCCTCGGCATGGATGCTGCTGTATACTCTTATCAGAGGCAGTCGCCAGAATAGCACCCCACACGATTTCTCGCTTGCCAGCATCTTCTTTGGCGCAGGCTTTTGCCTGTGCATCAGTGCGTACTCTCCTTGCTGGCAAAAGTTTATTCGCGTAATCAATGCAGTAATATCCGTTGCATTCACGATACGATCTGGAAAGGGCTCGCTCCTCTGCGCTGATTTCCGTCCGGAGCCCAACTCGTGCGCTGCTGCGCTCACAGCCACATCTCTGGCTTGGCTCGCGAGTGCCGCAGGCGAGTCTTCCTCATCCACTGGTGACTATAGATCCCTGAGACATCCAACAGCGCTCTCTGGTGTAGTAGTCTCCGGGATGGCCAAATCGTATCCTGCTCGCCAACGACTCCGAGAACGGTTCCGCCGGCACAGAAGAATGCCATCGCGGGTGGAAATCGAGCTCGTAACGCACATCGAGAGGGACACTGGTAGAAAGGAGGATCACTGGTCGGATATCCCTGTCTGAAAAGAGTAGTACAAGTTCATTCCAATGTCTCCTGTTGTATGAGGTCCGAGTCAGGCTCGGGAAAGTTATCCCAATACAAGTCATCTGCATCTTCAGTTTGCAGCATATCTTCAGCAGAGGAAGCAATATCCAGCGGATCAATTTTGAAATGGGAAAGTCCAGCGACAGTGACATCGCTTATCGGACCTGTAGTCTGCTGCGCTTGGTCCAAGTCTTCATCGTCGTGCAGAGCACAGATACCAGCTTCAGCGACAATAAAATCAAGAGAGCAGGGTGGTCCAACGGAACTGAATATGACGCTAAGCCGTCGAATTAGTACGGCGCTGTCTTCTACTGTCTCAGTTGGTTGTGCCAAGGGTCGTCCATCGGCTGACTTGGAGAACTTGGCAGACTGAACGGTGTGCAAATAACGCCGGCGACCAGTCCTTGAGAGCATAATACGTGCATTGACTTGATTTGCCCATACCAGCCCCAACTGAGCCTCTTTCCTGTTTTGTCCCAGAATGCTTGCCGAAGTTCCAAACCATCGGGCCTGCTGGCGATATCCCAGTTCAGCTCCGAAAAACTCCAATTCCGCATCTTCATGAGAAAACACGTCCGTGACTTCGTTGAGAACCAGGACAGCGACGTTGTGTTCGCTTGCTAGACTGTGAAGCAAGGATGATATTTCCACCACACTCTGGGCACGTTCAACAAGTGTGGTTGTCGAAGTCTTGTCTGATGTGTGAAAAAGCTCGGCCAATGCGTCAAGAACGACCAGTTTGACGGGTTTGCATCCCGGAGACGCCGCTCGTTGGGCGATGAGATCAGGTAGAATCTTTGAAAGTATTTGAATCAGGAAGGGGATCGTCGGGCTTTTGATGGTGTGTATGTCGTCTAGTCCGCATACTTCGAGAGAGAGATCTGGACGCGCGTCTAGCATCTGCTTTAGTCTCGATGTTTGCAACCGGGACTGGGCAGAAAGAGAGATGTAGCATGCAGAACCAGTCACGCCACCGGTCGATGGAGGTGTTTGAACGAGTAAACTGAGTTGCAGCGCCAACTGCGTCTTCCCTGCAGCACTAATAAGAGGTAGGTAAGCTGGCCCAGTCTTATACATTGGGTCGCCAAATACCTTTCCCCAAACACTTCCCACACCATTCCCGTCCGTATACCTCCTCCCAAAGCAGTATCAATCTGGCTATCTCCCGTTGAGATCATTTGCTCGACATTGCTGCTCTCTTCAAGGGATACAGCTCTGGGAGCGCTGTTGAGACAGACAACTTCGAGGATTGCTTTGGCTTCGAGCGGGGAGATTCGGCACCGGCGGCCAAGATCTGGCACCGAGAGTAGAATGAGATTGGAGACAGTCAAAACATTGCCTAAAACTGTTGACGATCGCAGCAGGAAATTTATATATTGACGATTACCTTTCTTGAGTGCAGTCTTTTGATAAAAGGTGAGATAAGGTGCGTTCGCCAGTGCAACAGAGTCAAGCGGTTCCATGATGTTGGGACATCAAGCGCGTCATTGGCTAATGCTGAGGAGGTTGTGTCGTGTTATTTATCTCACAGGCGATCAAGAGATCATCCTACTACCCGCTCCCATGGCGTCCTCGAAGCAGGTCGCCCTAGCGCGTGCACCGCGCACATCTAACAACGACGGACAACTGACGAGGATACCGGCATTTCTTAACAAAATCTATGAGTGCGTCCTTTGAATAGTGTGGGTGCTTTTGTGTGGGGACCAATTTAGCTGTGCAGGATGGTCAACGACGACAGAACGAACAACCTTATCGAATGGTCTCCTTCGGGGGATACGTTCTATGGTGAGGAGCCCACCTTGCTCGTTGTTGCAATCCTCACCTCCGACTAGTCTATGATCAGGAAAAGTTCGCCATGGAAGTCCTACCGCGCTGGTTTAAGCACAAGAATTTCGCCTCCTTTGTGAGGCAACTCAATATGTATGGATTCCACAAGATTCCACATTTGCAGCAAGGCGTCTTGAAGAGCGAAACGGAGTCGGAGCATTGGAATTTCGTTCACCCCAATTTCAAGCGCGACCAGCCCGATCTACTATGTCTCATCCAACGAAAAAAGTCCACCACGGCGAACGAGGATGAGAGGAACGAGATCGTTAACACGACGACGCAAGTGACGGGGAACAGCCAGCTTGACATACAGTCTATCGTCAATGGTATCGCCGCCATTAAGCGACACCAGACGACCATCTCAACCGAACTGAATGAGCTGAAGAGGAATAACGAGCTCTTGTGGCGAGAGTCGGAGGCAGCACGGACCAGACATCAGAAACAGCAGGACACTATCAACCGTATCGTCAAGTTCTTAGCGGGCGTCTTCGGACATGCGGGCAGCCCGGTGCACAAAGAAGACGTTGGGAGCGCTTCTCCCTCTCGAGTTTCAGTCGTACCCGTCAGGCAATCTCGACTAATGATCGAGGGCAGTACTCCCACTCGCACAGACTTGGCCAGCGACGGAGATTCCCCCGGTATGTCCCCGAAACTTTTGTGCGGAAGGCACTCATCGTTGGTCAGCTGCCTTTGCATCGATTGAAACCCCGCCGTCAATCGCCTCCCCTATAGACCGACCTATTTCGCCCAGCACGACCGCGTTGTTCAGTAGTCCATCGACGCCACAGACATTAGCGACGGAGCCCTTACCTGAAAGCACCGACCTCGGAACCATGCAACGGACACGGTCTCCGAGCTCGAACCCCGACTTGGATGCCTTCTTCCAGGGGCTGAGTGGGATGTCGCCCGCAGAAATCCAGCAGCTGATGAATTCCATGACGGTCCCGACTATCCCGGAGTTCCCCGCCTCTGACCCAGGGTCTTCATCTCTGATGCAATATTCGCCTCAAACACCGGCATTTGATCTTTCACAATTGGGCTCGTTCCCACTCCTTTCGCCTTCGCCACCACCACTGGATGATGTTGCCAATCAAGTGGGAAAGTCGTGGGCGGCAGCGCACGACATCGAACAGGATGTAGACGCGGTCGATAACAAGATCAACAACTTGATGGACCAATTCCAGATCCCGAATGCATCGTTGGACTCGCTGACTCCGCTAGACCCAGACGACCTGACTGCCGACTTGGGGCATGGGCCAGCAGTTGACTCGGACAACGATCTGTTCCACAGCTTTTTGAAGGGTCTGGGTGAGGATGGGGCTTTGAATCTGCACCCAGACGTGCCGAATACGCTTCTGGAGACCATTCCGGAAGTCAACGACCTGCCAGACGTCGAGCCACCAGCACTACAGCGCCCGACAAAGAAGCGGAAATCAGATGTCGCCACACCCGAGACCCTTCCAGAAGCACTCGCGAAACGGAGGAAAGGTAGATGAAATATCCATCTTCTTGCATTTGTACCAACGCCTTGTACTAATACTCTGCACTGTATACATAGCCTGATATAAAATGAAATAAAATCAATGAGTGTGGTATCAATATATATGTAGATATATTTGAAAGATATTCCAGAGATTATTCAGCCAGCTTAGGCGGCAAAGGTGGCGGAGGGCCTGGTACTCTGGGGTCGAAGCCAGGTGTGAAAGGAGTGAAAGGGGCGAATTCAAGCCCAGGAGATACTGACGTTTTTCGTAGGGGCACCTCGTCTTCTAGAGATGGCACGACGTTTGATGTCACAAAGCGTGAAACACGGGCATCCTCCTCCTGCGTTTCTTGAATGTATTCTGCCGGCGGTCGTGGCATGAGGGGAGGAGGAGTATTCGGCATGGCCGCCATGATTCCGTTTCGGGGTACCGCACCGTTCACCGGAGGCTGTACGCCATTGACGTGTGGCGGTGCGTGATTGGCGGGCGGCTGTGCTGCTTCCTCTGATGCGTACTTGGCTTTCAGGAGAGCCTTCTCCTCGAGCGCAGTCATGATCTTGGTTGAACCAGGCCCTGTCGATCCACTGCGCGGGGGAGGATGGGGTGGTCCATTGGTCCGGCGAGCTTCAGCGTCCTGGGCATCGAACCTGCGCTGCAGTTGTTCCTTCTCGGACAAACTTCGTCCCAAGAATGGCGGCGGTGCCTCATGGCTCTGATCGACGACGGCGTCTTGCGAAGCGTACATTCTCCGAAGCCGTTCCTTCTCAGACGGGATCGAAGAGCTGTTCGTACTCGAGCCGGAGGGTGACGGATAAAGTGAATCGTAAGCTACTGGCGCGGAACCCGATCCATTCTGGCCTGGGATTTCATCTGCGTTACCCTGCACTCGATCCACGGCTTGTTTTGCCTCGTGGTAGCGTCGAAGAGCAGCCTTTTCCTCTTCTGCAGAGAGATATTGCGGAACCCTCGAGCTGGCCTGCGATCCTCCAGCAACCGGCCGGCTGCTGGACTCACTCGTGCTTTCACCGTGAGGTTCCTGCTGTTCGGTGGCCGCGTAGTAGTCCATGCCTTGTGTCCGCTTAACAGCAGCTTGTGCCTCGGAGAATAGGCGTGTCTTCTCTTCCTCTGCAGTAGGCCATCGCTTTCTGATTGAAGGAGTAGCAGTTGGCCCCGCTGGCTCTGCAGGCTGCGTCGATGAGGTCAGCTCAGCTATCAAACACACATCGGGACGCACCGGCGGACTAGCTCGAGCTGTAGCCATAGCTTGGGTCCGTTCCACATTGTTCTTGGCCTCTTGATAAAGCCGCTGCTTTTCTTCTTCAGCAGACATCCAAGCACGATTGCGAGCAGCAGCGGCAGCGGCAGCATTCGTCGGCGCTGTTGTGCTGTTCGCAGATGGCTGTCGACGGGCAGCAGGCTGTGACGGTGCTTCTGAATTGTGGATAGTCAGCCGGTTCCGGTCAGAGCTAGGTCTCCCGCTGCCTTCGTTACTGGATCGTGACGCAGTCACCCGATGGGCGGGTCTTGAGGCTCCGAACTCGTCGACGGCATATCCATTGATAGCTGAGTTCCCATTGGGCAGGGTGTTGTATCCGATCGCCGGTGGGCTGACTGCCCGAGTATCCCGTCCGGCAAAAGTCGCTGGTTGATGTGTCTCAGGCTCGGCTTCGCGGATTGGCAGTGTCGAAAGGGAGAGACTAGGTACAGGTCCAATGCGTCTGACAGCCTCAGCCGAGACTGACCTAAAAATCTGTCGTCAGAAGAGATCATGGAGGAAACCGAGTCCTATGCCATACCTCTGCCAGTTGGAAAGGACGACAGGTAGATCCATGATCAGAGGCGCGCCAGTACCCATCTGAGCCTTGACGCTGATGGTGTAGGTGATGTCGATATGTCGAGCCGCGTTCAGGGTCGTCGTAGTATGCTCAGGGGAAATCAAACAGCTCAACTCCGTGCTGTTTTCAGTCCCGCCGTATAGTGTCGCATTCACAGGGAACTTATTCTCGCTGATGGTGACGACACGGACCTGCGGGGAGGTCTTCCTGCCCGACGTATAAGGTCCCGCACGGAAACTCGTCGATTCTTTCAGGGTAAGCTCGAATCCACGAAGGATAACCGTGTGCAGCGCGTCCGACCTGACGATGGCATGCAGAGTGATACGATCTCCGGGTCCGTAACAAGTAGCCTGACGCTGCACCACCAAGGTCACTCCTTCCTGTGCGATGTTCCGAGCTTCGGGTTGACAATATACGGGCCACGTCGAATGTAATTCGTGCTTGTCGATTAGGACGTCAGCCTGAGTTGAGACGACCACAGACTTGCGCTTGCGCAGGAACCCTCTGTACGTGATGCCAATCAGCACAAAGTATCGAGTGGAAGGTTGATAGCGCACTTTTTGCCTTTGGTACAGATGCTAGCCACCAGCTCATAATTTATGCCCGCTTGAGAAGCAGTTAGGATTCCTTCGACTCTTCCCAAGCAGTCATGCTGACCTCGATTCTGCAAGTCAATGCTGGGTGGAATGGACTCTGGTATTCGGATGGAAAAGGGAAAGTCTTGCTGGAAGTTAGATGAGCGCCCTTCCGCATGGATAACAAAAGTGACAGACCGAATGGAGCAGGCCGTATTCTTCGCTGCTAGACCATAAGTTGACTGGGCTCGGCCCGACAAAGTCATGAAATGTATTCGAGGAGCCACCACCGGGGAGAGTTTCCACTTTGCGCAACTCAATCCGCACCCATTTGGCTTTCGCGCCCTGGGGTCCCGTCCGAACCTCGATGGCCTGATGTGTTCTCGTAAGAAGCAAGGCATAGCGAATGCACGTATTTACGCACTCCTTTGACGGCGGCTTGAGGCCTCTCGGGACCGGGCGGTATGCCAGGATACCCTGTGCGAAACGTGTGAGCCGAAGCACAAAACCGAGCTAGCGTGTTAGGCACCGTGAACGAAATCGACGTTGGGAGGCGGCCGAAGGGTTCTGACGTAGCAATTAGAGATCCATGAGCAGGAAAGTACGCTGGTGCGCTCACAACTTGACCTGCGACGACGACATACGAAGTTGAACGAATGAAACCTAGGTCTGTTTCATCCTGATCACAGTGATGATATCATTTACATTACATAAGATCATACTAAGTCCTGGCGCGTATCGGCTCGGCAGTTCTCCCCCATAGACCACCCATCACATTGGTCACAGCCTCAGTCAGTTGGCGCTGCTGTGTCGGAGCGTGTTTGACATAGAACAGCCGCACGTTCGTTGCATTCCAAATCCCGAGCGGAGTCATCCCACGTACGTATATTTCGCCCCAAATCAGGGAAGTGAGCCAGATCACAGACGAATCCGACCACTGGTCACAACTGTCAGCCCCAGCGCATCCGACATATGGGCATAAAACGGACCATGAATCGTCGAGGTGAGAGCTCCGGGGCTGCCGGTAAAACGTTCTCCAAAGAGACTGCGCCCAGATAGTCCACAATAGCTGAGGTGGAGGTCGTGCGATGTCGATTGGCCTGCAGTTCCTGCACTTTCGGCATCAGTTCGGAAATGAGAAGCATGACTGTGTCCAGAGGCAGCCTGGATGGGGGTGTCAGCGCTGGGAGAGATGAAATGGGCGTGGAGAGGTTTCACCCTTGCTGCCAGGATGTGACCTGATCGGAGGGAGGATCGTGAGACGGATTCAGTCTGGGAATCAAAGAACACACCCATTCTTGAGTGGGCACGAATCCGTTCCTACCCACTCCGGCAGCAGCAACTCGATCCAGGGGCCCATTGACATCGAGAGAATGCGATCGCCGCGCCTTCATTTTCCCTCGTGCTTTCTCAGAGGCCAGAGGAGCTGACTCGGATGTCGGAGACGCTGGCACCGACATCTGAGCCGCCGGCAGGACCGTCGAGATCTCCGGCTCTTGACTTGTTGCACCTTCATCTTCAAGCGAAAGTGTGCTTTCCAACGGTGCACCTTCTGGAAGTGTGCTCTCGCTCTCTGAGCGAAGTAGTTTTGCCTTCTCCTCGTGTGGCTGCAGGTTTTCTCCTGACCCCATCGGACGCTTGCCCTTTGCATCGATCTTTCGCGCCTGTTCTTCTTTTGCCAGTTGCATTCTGCGAATCTCGCGTAGCCCGCGAGACAACGTGAATGTGCCCAGATCTTCGAAGGTCTTGTGCGACGATATAATCCCATAGATTAAGTTGGGATTGGCCTTCAGATTGTGTAGTATCACACCATTGAAAACTTCCAACCTGTGGTTCATCGTTGTGACACGTCAGTTATAGTCCCGGTGACCAACTTAACGCACATGAAGAAAAGAAGGCGCGGATGCCCTTCGTCTGAAAGCAGAAACATCGGGTTGGAAAACGACGCAAATAGTTGGATGAGCCGAGCCGAGGCTGTGACCGTCAGGTTTTGAAAGTACGGAGCAGAATTGGATAAGGCGATGACGAGTGCAGGATAGAGAGAGTTGAGGGCTCCAGATGTAGTAGCTACAATTGCATAGATAGCCTGGAAAGTTCAGAACACGCACTCGTTTAATCCGAAGACCGAGACCCACATTAATTAGAAAGTCGGCAGCAGTGCCTGGGGCATTCCACTTAGCAGGCAACTGTGCCTTCACGGGTCTGCTCAAACGAGCACCGAAGCTTGGTTCTGCAGACAAGGTCTGCACGATGTAGGACAGGGCACGACATAGACCGTGTTGCTCTGACTGTTCAGCCTCACTGGCACAAAATCAAAATGGACTCACGAGGCTTGTCTTTGATTTCAAGCGTGTAACACAGTAGATATCCAACCAGGTCCATCCCCTTTTCAGATTCTAGTAGGAAAGCGCGGAATTTCTGGTCCTAGTCAGTACCATCTAAGACGGGTCTTGACAGAGGTGACCTTATTCAGCTCTATCATCTTCCAAAAGAAGAGTACTGACAACGATGTCAAGATCATCCGGGTAAGCAGAGAAAACTGACCAGTTTCATTAATATATGGGATGGATTTACGTGCGCCGGGCAGCAACATGTTCATTGTGGCCATTTGTTCTTCGAAAATTCCGGTGATCCCATTGAGTACGAAGGTGAAATCCTGCGTCCGGTGCTAGACTCGACGTCAGGAAGTGCAAATAGACCACGCAAGAACCACATTGACCAGCTTCATCAAGAAGTAACGGAATGCATTCGTCCGCGCCGTGGGAGCAGCTAGACTCTCATCATTGGACGTGGATCCGTCTCGTGCAGATCCGCTCTGGAAATCTAGCAAGACGACTAGGACTTGGAGGCAGAGTCCAACCAGATTCGAACGCAGGTCGTCCCCTTTGAAAACGAGATGGTTGTACGGCAGCTTTCCGGCCATTCCGCCAAGAGTCATGGGCGTGACTCCAGGCGAGTTCATTGCCGTGTTGAGCAGCGAGCAGAGGACAGTCAATACATCACGCCGAGGTAAGTTTTGCACGGCATGTAAGCTGTACAGTGATGGTTTGGAAAGGAGAGACCCAGGGGAGACGTAGATCTGTCGGGAAAGCAGGACCAGCAAAAGCCGGAGGACTTCAATCTTGTTATTGTCATAGGCTTGATTGGGACCTCCGTCGGTCGTAGACCCTACCCCCTTCTCCCTGTAAAGCCCATACAGTCATGGCAACAGCAGTCCAACGAGTAGCGTACCATATAACGTGATTGAACTTATGATGATCTCCAGGTTGCTTAGCAGGCAGTGTGAAGCCGTAACAAAAGAGAAGATCGAGAAGACTAGTGAAAAGTTTCTCTGCCAATGAGGGGAGCTGCTTTTTTGAGGGTTTTGAGCCTGGTCGTGGTGACGCGTCTTTGGTTTCAACATCGCTGTCGTCTTCATCATCAATAACAAACTGAGGGGTCTCCGAAGCCGTGCCAACAATGTCCTCCACGCTTTCTCCTCTGGTCCACAAAACCTCGGTTTCAAACGCGCTTCCCTCTCCTTCAAGATCGAAAATCACAGGAAACACGCGCCCGAGTATCCTCAGACAGTTCAAAACCTCCTTCGTCGTGTTGCGCTCCGTCCCTGCCTGCATGAACGAGCTTGCCAGTGCCGCAACAGAGGCATTCTGAGAAGTGGGGAATGTGTGATCGGACATGAGGGTGTTCATTCGAGAGGTGATGACGCGTATGAGCGTGGCGACATTCTCTGGGGCCTCGAGGAGCGCGCGGCGGACTGAAACTGATTCAGGATGTGCTCGTCAGATCCAGTTGTGGCATTCACTGTCATGAGGTGTTATGAGAGAGAAGACATCCGAGGCCGAATCAAAGAGCACGGTGTACTTGCAAGCATTCAGAGACAGAGCGCCGCAATGACCGTAGGACACGCACTTGGTCCCAATATTTATCGTTATCCGGTATGTGCTACAAGCAGATGAACGCGAGGTTGTGCCGTGAGAACAAGTGCCTACGCGAGCTGAGGCGAGTCTTGCAATACCTCCTGGGCTGCTTCGAAATCCTAGTTTGTCGGCGTCAGGCAGAAGTCTGAACGGAGTGGGTAACTTGAACATCGGGACTGGAAGAGAGCGGTAGTATCACAGCCACACATTGCAACGGACTATCGGTCATCTAGGCTGGATCCAGAATACCCGACATTGAATTTGTAAATATATATCTCTTAGAACATCAAAGCTGGAGTGGTCTGGAATGGAAATGGAATTGTGCGAGTTTAGTGCTAAGGCATCAGCTTTTGAATACGTAGCATGGCATTCATGAAGTGTAGTATGTAATCGTACTTAGAAGTATTCATCAAAGTCAAAGCAAGGACGGTCAAAAGATCTAAGCCAAGGCGAAGAATGCACTGATAAGACTGAGCGCAACAGCGCCGACGGTGATTCCTGACTTGGTGCCTGCTGAAGGTGTTCCGGCAGTTGTAGCTGCCGGAGCGGCACTTCCGGTGTTTGAGGGACCGGCACTGGCGATAGCATTGAAGCCTCCGGTTACCGAGCCCGAGGGCGGCTGAGCGATGGATCAATGAGGGACGGGAGATCAAACGAGCAGTTTCTCACAGAAGGAGCGGAACCACCGACGGACTTGGCTGCTGACATGAAGGCGTCGAAAGTGTTGTTGGTGGTCTGGGCATTGATGCTGCCCACCATCCCTGAAAAATGTCTTAATTGCCTGGCCATTGTCGTGAAAAGAATCGTGATGGCTAACCAGAACCGCAGTGCGTCACCTGGAGGCAACAGCTCAGCGGAAGAAACAACATCGAGTCGCATGCTCACCTGCTTGCAGAAGAACCAGATTGCTGAGGAGAACTTGGTCAACCCAAGCGGTGGACAAGTGAGACCTTGAACGTACGTTTCGTGTCATCGGTTATGATGATGGTGAACTGGTCGGAATCGGCTGGAAACGGTCGGTCAGCAGTTGTATGCGAGTGAACGAGAGGGCGAGAGTGCTCACTGAGACCCGAGTCAAATCCAGCAGTGTTATTGGACGACGCCGTGAGATACGTGCAAGGGTTCGCGAAAGAGCTCTGTGTGACTGAGTGCTGGGTCCCAGGTCTGCGATGCGATTGTCAGAAAACGGCCTGCGCCGGGAATCCAAGCACGCACGGGAACCAGAAAGTCACAGAAGTCCCGTTCGAAGCGGTGACATTGGCCGGACTGAAGACGAACTTTCCCCCGGGAGCGACATTGATCTGGAAAAATGTGAGAGACGACAACGACGACGGTCAGGGGGCTTACATTGACATGGCCAGTCGTGTCTGCCGGAGCAGATGGAATGGCCGCAGCAGCCGCAGTGCTCGAGGTGGTCGCTGGGGCAGGGACACCACCGCCACCGTACTGGGCGGCCACAGATGCAGCGAACAAGAAGGTCGAAGCGAATCGCATGATTGCTGGGATAAATTGGCTGACTGCTCGAGTACGGACGTGCAACGGTCTTTAAGTGTTTCTGGGTGCTGCGGAATCCTTCCGACGTGAGAGCAAACACCACTTTTGGTGACTCCGTTCACAGGCATCGCGGCAATGATGACTGATCGAGGGAGTTGCAACTTGAAAGTGACAGAGGCTGTTTAACATCAACCCTCTAATTAGAACGCCAGATCTCCCTGGTCAATAGCCCAGATCCATCCAGTGGCCCATTATATCCAAAAACCAGAGCTGGCGCGGAGAATGACATTGCACACGATGTGATCGAAAGGGCGAAGTTCAAAGAGAACCCGATCTGAAAGCCAGCAGGAGACGCGTGAGATGGAATGGATGAATGGAGACATGCTAATGGGGAACGGCGGCCCATTAGTACATTGGCATGAGTCCTGTCTGATAGGAAAGGGAACAATGACCTTTTTCTGACCCCCCAGTCCCAGGATATGTCGCACAAGTGTCGCAACTCAAGCAGTGCAGGCGGAAGCAGGCGACCGGCATGCCTCTCGTAACCGGTGATAGCTCCTCGGGTATTTAGGAACGAGGATGTTTGCCACCGTGTTTGTGTCGTTGCAGCCATCCTCCATTTTGGCACGTTGAGACTAAACAGGCAGTTGAAGAACATCGAGATTCAGTGCAGACCTGGGTGACAAACGTGACCGAGGAGACCCGGCCATCGATAGCCATCAATACTACTAGTATGATCCTGTCATCATCCAACACTGTTGACTTGCCCAGGACATGCGTCGGGGTGCTGGACTTGCCGCCTTCGATCTGCAAGAACAGTCCAAGCGCTCCTTCGCCCAGCTCTCGAACCAATTCTCGCAATCTCAAGTAGACAACCTTCACGCCCAGCTCGCTCAGTTTCGATCAGCTCTGAACCATTTCGCTTCTTCTCACCGGGACTCTATCCGGAAAGACCCTGCTATTCGACATGCCTTCCAACAAATGTGCGCGTCTATTGGTGTAGACCCCCTTGCCGGGCCCCGAAAAGGTGGCTTTTGGGCGGAGATGCTCGGACTCGGAGATTGGCAATATGAACTTGGCGTCCAAATCGTTGACGTGTGCGTGAGTACGCGAGAACGGAATGGGGGTTTAATCGAAATGGAAGAACTCCTCCGGATGGTCAGAAAGCTGCGCGGTGTGGAAGGCGATGAAGTCACGGAGGACGATATCATGCGAAGTATCAAAACTCTCGAGCCACTGGGGGTGGGTTACGAGGTCTTCAGCGTAGCGGGCGGTCAAAAGATGGTGCGGAGCGTGGTCAAGGAGCTGGATGAAGACCAAGGGGTTGTCATGGCTATCGCTCACGAACAGGGAGGACGGATTGTGGAAGCCATGCTTGTCGACCGTAAAGGTTGGACCCACGCTCGCGCTCATGCGGCACTGGAGAACATGCTGCTGAGAGATGGCTTATGCTGGCTCGATGAACAGGACGAGCAGTGTGGGAGAGCATATTGGGTCACATCAGCAATGAAATGGGACATGTAGACACTGTAAATCACTATGTAACATTTCTGAGATACTGCAAGGACTGAGATTTATTGTTTTCCTTCCGCCTCGACTGCTAAACCTGGAAGTAAATTAAAGTCCGCGAACCGAAAGGAGAGGGGAAGACATACTCTCCGCTACCGAGGCCGGGCCAGCCATCCCCATGACGCTGAAGTTAATGCACTTGACTTGCAGCGATCGTAAATTAACCAGAACCAGGATGCCCGTTTGCGAAAACCGGGGGATCAAAACGACGCGGCATCTCCTTGCCCCTTCGGAAACCACCTTGGTTGCGAAGTGGTCCTGGGCTCCGACAAGATAGAGATCCGGTGTTTCTGAGAAAACGAAGGGGTCTGCCGAAAAGTACGGATGACACCACAGTGTATCTGGAGCCGTGGGTGCCATATGCCTCCATTTAAGAGTTGAGGCGACCAGTGAAAGGGGTGTACTTCGAGAACTGGGGACATATTTGAGCATGTCATTCACCGGTTGCCCTGAGTTGATCAGGAGAGTTCTATGCGTCGGCTCTCCACCAGACTGTGAGCCAAGTCGCAGGTATGTGGGATTCGTTTCGCAAAAAAAAGTAGTGTAAGAAGCGGCTTTGCCAAACATCGCCCGCGGAAACGGCTGCTGAGGTAGTATTGTCCCGGAAGGATCCGATTCGCCAGGCAGGATGTGGACAGGCATAGTCCGCGCTATATCCAGCAGATGCGCAGAGAGGGTCATCGTCGGCTGTGCTGAGAATGTGCCTCCATCGTAACCATATCTTTTCTGTGCGCTCGATTCAGCGGCGAGATGGAAAAGATACGACATACTTACTCCTTTTCTGGCTTCCAGGTCGTCGTCCTCCGATTTCAGAGTGGTAAGCACAGCTGGAGCCAACGAATTTCCCGCAATGATCAGACGAGATATTCGCGCAGACGATGCCTGTTCTTTGGCCCCCCCGCTTTCCCCAGTGAGGTACTCAGCGAGCATTTGAATCTGGGCATCAGCTGAGCCATCCGAGCCAATGTCCAGGCCGGACGTGACTGCTATCCAGCCCTCTGCCTCTGGGTCAACTGTAGTGAGATTGAGCAACATCCGCAACATCAGAATATCGCCGCACCGTCAACATCCATCCCTTCTTCAGACACAGGCTGCTCTGACTGAGAGGCAAGACCAGCGGTACATATATCCACTACTTCAAATTCTCCGGTCGGGGTCTCGATTCCAAGGACAGCGATGATGACGCCAGTCACGAGACGCGCTTTGGTTACTCTATCGCCCACCAGCTGTATTCGCCCTGATTCATCCTCTAGCATGACACAGTCATCTTCAGAGAAGAATTTAGACAGCGGAAGAGGAGGTGGTATAGAGCTCTGTCGTTGGCAGTCATGGTGCTGTCGATGAGGAGAAGGTTGTCGAGAACGCACATCTCGGGCTATGTCCTCCATGACATTGGGTTTCAAGGGCATGTCCATGTAAACGGTTCCGAGAATATAGGAAAGTTTAGACTTCTCTACTTCCAGAACCTTGGGTACGAAGACAGGCTTTCCTGAACGCAGGGATGTTGGTGAGAATCACACATGCGAAATGGTTCTGACCCTTGATGCCATCCCACCGCTGCCGCGCACGTTCATAGACAGAGTCGCGTAACAGCCGTAGTCGGATGAAATATATGTTTGCGTATTGATGCTTGTAGGATCGATTGGCCCCAGTGATGATGAAAGAAGGCGTATTTTCAGTTGGAGGTAGGATAGTAGTCAACGGGCGGGTCGAGAGTTCGGAAGGGATAGATCTAGAGTCAGGTGAGTCCCGAGAAAGTGTTTCAGTGCAGAACAAACAGCGAAGCAAGCGGTGCCATGGCGTTTGAAGGGTTGGTGGCCCGTCTTAGGACGCGTTATTGGGTATTGTTTGCAAACGATTCGCGATATGTCACAGAAAGTAACACTTTGATTGTATTTGTACAATGGTAACTGTCCTTCATGATTTATACAACTAGCATGTCTTTGCGTAGGTTCCCGAGGAAGCACTGCCGTGCCCGTCATCAAGTTTACTATGTGCCTTCTCGTGATGTTGTTTCGCCTGGGAAGCACCGAGAATGTCCAAAGCATGAGTCGGCGAGTCGCGCTTGATCAGATCCTCGGTAATATCGATCAAGTCGTTGATGAGACTCTCAATAAGCTGGAATATCTCAGAAGCAATGCTAAAACTAAGGAGCAAGTCACATACCACTTCAGACAAATTCTCGCGCACGACGACCCGGAGAATCTCCACGTCCTGCATGCTTGGAGGGAGCTCGTAGTTTGGAACAATCCTGGAGCGTGTCTGAGATGCGTCAGAGCAAAGTGCATACACTCACCATCCTTTCGAACGGAGCAATACCTGAATCCACTTTTGCTGGAGCTCAGGATGTTGCTGCTTCAGCTGATCTGAAAATCGGAACGCTACCACCGGAAGACCTGGCATGTAGGACTCGACGTTGGTTTCATCTAAAGCGGCTTTGACGGCGGATCCCACGGATCGCTCAGGGTTTGGCCGATGAATATCGCTGAGCACCTTGTAGTAATTGCTGTTTTCCAGGGCCCGGCTCAGGAGTCGAGCGTTCTTGAGATCTGCAAGAGCGACGTTGCGATAACCTTCAAACCCAAGTGAAACGAAGTTGAAGTACTGCGCAATGATTGGTGCGGCAGGACGCGAGAAATTCAGAGAGAAAGAATATTCAACACTGCCCCTGCAGCGAGTTAGTGTGAGACATGGATCATTACTCTCGAATGACGCACAGGTAGTGAAGTTCAAAGATCAGGTCCTTAGGAAGATGCGCTTTGTCCCGCCAGATGACCCAACCGACGCCGACATAGGCCAGACCGAATTTGTGGCCACTGCGCCCGTGTAAATTTGGTTTGAAGATAAACGAATCGAGATCACGCACGAAGTGTTGATGCTCACAACACGAGGGATTTTGAAATCCCATTCGAGTCCTGGCTATGAGGAATCAAGTTAGTTGGTTCGCAAGAAAGACGGATTACTTACCGTAGCAAATGGAGCAACAAAACCACCGGATGCACCATCGACTATAGAACAGTCAGGTCCTGAGTCGGAGTTCATTGATTGACGAACCGTGGATAGGCACAGAGACGCCGGTCTTTGACTCATATTCGTCCAGCAACGTAGCCATCTCTTTCACAGGCTCATAGTGACCGGTGTAAGTGCTTCCCAGGATGACCTGGCCAAAATTTGAGTTGCTGAGAATCACAGCGATGTATGGTCACTCACAAAGACACCGATGGTATTTTCATCCACATATTCCATCGCTTTCTTAGGATCGAGTCGGTAATGGGATTCCTCCGAAACCGGAATCAGTCTGAATAAAATGAAGAGCTTTCACAGGAAAAAAGAAAACATCGCTTACCTGCATTCGACATCAAAGTACCGAGCCATCTTTTCCAGAGCAACCTGGGCATTGGCACCCATGACGATATTGGGGCTGTTCTTGCGTGAGCATATACTGATATAAGTTGAATTTGGACTCGAACCCTGGTTCGTGGATGCTCTTTCCAGCAGCTTTCCGCTTCTCTTGCCAGATACGCTGCGATTTCGTCAGACGACAGTCGAACTGGGCTCTGGGATGCGACCGACCTTCATTGCGAGTCCGCCAAGTTGGATAGCTTCCGAAGAACCCGTAGTTGCGGTTCCGATCGCATTGTGAGAGGACGGAGCGTTCCACAGATTAGCCAAGATCGAGATACAACGATTGTGAATGATTTCTAAAGATAACTGAGCATCGATGGAGAGGAAGCGATAGGTTGCCCTCACGCGTCGCAGGGTATTCGTCGGTGTCGATCAAGTTTTTAGACATGTTTTCCAGCATGAGCTTATCGGCAGCCTAAAATAATTAGACGGGAGCATGAGATAGAAAGGAAACACACTGGAGGCATCCAAGTGTGAACGAAAGAGGCGAGATTCAAGACGGGTGATCCATCGAGAGCCAGTTCGTCGCGAATGACTTGAGCAGCAGATTCTATACGCCACGTTCATCAGTGAGTGTTCAGTACGGATCCTTCCTGCTAATACGCACCGGGATCAGTTCCCTTGGACGCCAAGTGGTATTTAGGGATGGGATTGGTCCCATAACGCGCCCCGTACGCGTTTGTGATCGTGTTCCCGCTCAGCTGAGTGAGTTTGTTGTAGTGGGAGACGTGTTTTTTGTCCTAGAAATGATGTGAAGGGAGCCGCTGTACTTGTCGAGGACAACCGCACCTGAGACAGTTTGATGAGGTGATCAGGGTTGACGTGCTAACGACCAGGGTTGGTCAGAGGATTTGAGGAGCAAAAGATCCTCGTACCTTGGAAAGAGACATGGTGGGTCGTAAGTGGAGAAAGAGCCTGGCTTCGCTCACCTATTTATGCATTTACCAATGGCTCCCGGTTATTTTAGTCCACGGAGAGTGCATCATCGACTTCTCCCAATTTACTTGTGACGTCACTCATATTAGCATTACGCGCTCTTTTGACACGTTTGTCTCAAGATGGGTGGACCCAACCTCGAGGTTTTCAAGTTTGCCGTGTACCTGTTCGTTCCCATCGCCTCTTTGGTTTATTTCGGGGACCCTGCGTGGTACAATGCATATGTAGTCCCAGTAAGCCTCTCTTCTACCGGCCGAAACCGTGTAACTCTTCCGAAACAGTATCGAAACAAAATGTTACCTCCCATCGAAAAAACCGTTCGGGTACTCTATTCTCACTCCACCGCGGGGAACGAAAACCGACAGTATTTAGGACATTCCCTTCGAGCAGCATCGCGTCCGTGAAGAACTGGAACGGATCAAGCAGGAACGTTCCGAACGGGCTCGTGCGCGCGAAGCTGCAGCTACGGACGAGAAACCAAAACTGGTTTGAGCATTGGGAAGTCAATTCTCTTGCGGGCCTGACTAGTGATACCTACGGGAAGTCCGCTTTCGTCGTTGGTTTTGCCCATGTGTCTATGCTAGTGCTAATAATAGCTACCCCACACCCCGTACACGATTCTAGAACTTTATTTTCAATTCCTCTCCGTCGCAGAAGGCGTTCAACGGGCCGCTATATGTCTGCAAGTGCTGTGCATACCCTGCAAGGTCTTCGAGCGAGACCTTGAAGCCACCGCACACGACAAACAAGGCTGTTCGCCGCTTTCCATCTTGAGGAACGATACGATCCAAGAGTTCTGGATTGTACGCCGCGACAAGCGTTGTGCTGCATGCCAGTTCTACCATCGTCTTGTGGTCATCTGTGGGACTGTTACTCCACTAATATCGTCTGACACGAAAGCACGACACACCTACGAATGCACAGGCCGCCTGCATGCTTAGTTCATCCGGAACCGTGACACAAAACACAGGACCGCTTCTCTCCAGCGCCATTTTTACTACCCCAGCCGCGGGCTGTGAGGCTCCGAGAGAGCCTGATGCCTTGGAATGGAATGAACTGAAATGAGCCAGGTCCACGTTGTGAATCTCATCGTGCACGACAGTCACTCCAGGGGGCAAAGCAGCCTTGTCCCCTCGTCTGTTCAAAGCCATCGTATGGTAGAAGCAGTCCGTGCCAATAGCCTCCAGAGCCACGATTGGTACAGAATCCCAACCAACTTGAGCGCAACCTCAGAATCCAGTCAGGCACTGCCTGCCGAGGTTCAAGTCGGGTGCGTACCGGCGATTACACCACCTAGCAAACCTCCACCTCCAACAGAGCAGAGGATGACACTGGGCGGTTCAGGCAACTGTTTGACAGTTTCATGAATAAGACTTGCGTGTCCTTCCCACACGACAGGGTCATCATAGGCAGGCACCAGCACGCTAAGAACAGGTTGCTCTGTCAATGTGACCTGGGCCCAGATGGAGAACCTCACGCATTCACGTCCTGGGAAGCTAGCTGCTTCGCAGCCTCCAAAGCATCCGAATATTTTACCCCGCCCACTACAGTGCGGGCATCCTGGTTCTGCAGAAATTTTACAATAGCTGGAGATGCCCCTGCTGGAATAAACACAGTGCATTTGACGTTCAGCGATCTGGCTGCACAAGCTGCCGCGATCCCAGCGTTTCCGCCAGACGCAATGACTAGATGAACAGTTTCTCCGCGATCTTCTTTCGCATGCTTCGCAAAGTTGGAGATACCCCGAGACTTGAAGGACATGCCGGGTTGGACTGTCTGAATTCGTCGAATAGTACGAAATCAGATCCGAGAGCAGTGGACGCACCTCGAATTTAAGGTAGACTGCAAAATCTGGTCGCGATAAGGCATGAGATAAGATGAGTGGAGTTTCCTTGTATAGTTCGGACATCGCGGTACTAGTGGGCTGAAATGCAAAAAACGGTATCAAACTTGATCCAACACGTTGAGCACTTGACCAATCACTTGACAGACGGTAAACTTGGTAATCTTCACTTACGCACTACTGTAGGTGGCGGTAGCGGTACTTTGGATCTGTTTACTCCTTATTGTTGATGATGCGCGTTCACGAACGACTACGGGCGCGCGGCCCGACTATCCAGGCTCCAATCATCTCACTCGGTGCTGCGCACTTGCCTCGCCCCTTTGTCCTCTGTGCCTCTTTTGATGTTGTTCCGCTTTGAATCAGATCACCGGCATTTCCTCGGTGAAACAGTTATCGGCTGCACGCGGGCCGGACCACTTTAAAATCTGGGGTATGCGGGGGAACTTGGTGCGATTCGCCTTTCCGTAGAGTGAAAGAACCCGAGGCCCACGAATCTACACGATGCGATTCAACGATGGTTTCTGGCTTTTGCGCAATGGGGTCAAGCCCTACTATGGCATGCAGGTCACCCAATCGAAGGAAATCGACGGGGCCGCACAATTGGTCGTCGCGACCAAGCCTATCCGTCATCGTGGCGATACTTTGGGAGGTCAGTTTCTTATATCGCAGCGCTTGATTAATACAGATCGAATCTTCCAGGACCTCTCTTGACCGTCACGGTGCACTCTCCGACTGAGGGTGTTATCGGTGTCAAGATCGACCACTTCGTGCACATCAAGCCTACGCCTGAGATCACACTCTTCCCAGATGATCCCGCTGTCTTGAACTCGTCGCTGAAGAGCACTGAGTCCGGCTACACGCTCACCACAGGTGGACTGACCGCCGAAATCACCAACAACCCATACTCGATTACCTTCAAATCACCAGACAAGACGCTGACGTTTGCTGGGCCGAAGCATCAAGCGATGTTTGATGTTCCCTCTCGTTGGGCTGCGCTTTCCGCGTCCAACAGCTCTTGCCTGGCTCAGGATCCAAGCTCGAACCCGACTCCGGCCCCACTTCCTACCATGGTCCGGTACATCAACTCCGAGCTCAACATCTCCCTGGAGAGCTCATTTACGGGTTCGGTGAGCAGTTCGGCGCGTTCGTGAAGAATGGTGGGTGTCTTGTACTGCGTGCGGTTTGCGATGGCGGTGCTGAGATGTGCGCAAAGGACAGTCAATCAAGATCTGGAATCAAGGTCTGGGAACATCCCAATCCCAATACGGCACATAACTCAATCGACATCCAGATGGTGGAACTTCCAGTGACCAGGCCTACAAGTGCATCCCATTCTACATGACTAACCGCGGCTACGGAGGTTCGTACTCAAAACGAGTCATGCGGTCACTGATTGACACTGTGCAGTGTTCATCAATAATCCAGGCGAGATCGAGGTCGAAGTCGGGAGTGAGAAAGTCAGCCGTGTCGGTGTCTCGATCGCAGGAACCAGCCTCGAGTACTTCCTGATCTATGGGCCGACACCTTTGGAGGTCAGTCTCGTTGGACATCGTCGGCATATTCCGAATGAAACTGGCGGTAGATTCTGGAGAAATACACTCGGATCACTGGCCGACCCGCGCTTGTTCCACAATGGACATTCGGTCTCTGGCTGACGACCTCGTTCTTGACTTCCTATGACGAGAAAACGGTCTCTGGATTCCTCCAAGGAATGGCTGACAGAGACTGCGATGTGCGGGTGTTCCACATCGACTGCTTCTGGATGAAGCAATACGAATGGTAGGTCCAGCCAGCTACAGCGAAGCCTAGACTGATCTGGGTCAGGTGCTCGTTCACGTTTGACCCGGAATTTTTCCCCGACCCAAAGGCCTACTTGACAGACATCAAGAAGAAGTATGGGGTCAAAATCTGTCTATGGAGTGCGTGGATCAATCACACATACTCGGTGTCAAACTGATCCCATGTTCCAGTCAACTCGTATATCTCTCAGCTTTCACCCATCTTCCAAGAAGGTGTCGAGGGCGGTTTCTTTATCAAACGGCTCGATGGAACTCCTTGGCAGTTCGTGACTATTGCGCTCGTTTTCCATCGCTGACTTTTATTGCGCAGATGGGACCTGTGGGTCATGACAACAGAAAATGGGCGGAGTGCTGATCTCTTTTCAGCTGGCAGCCCGGTCTTGCCGTCGTCGACTTTACTAATCCGGCGGCATGTGACTGGTATAAGAGCAAGCTGCTTGCTCTGATGGATCTTGGTGTGGATTGCTTCAAGGTCGGTCAGTCGAGTGCGGCGGGTTGTTCTGGACTGACAGATGATCAGACCGACTTTGGAGAGCGAATTCCTCACACCGGCGTCGTTTACCACGACGGCTCCGATCCGATGAGAATGCATAACACGTATACCACTATCTACAACGGCCTTGTCTTCAAGATGATCGAAGAACGCCTGGGAAAGAACGAGGCTGTGCTCTTCGCGCGATCAGCTGCGACTGGGGGTCAACGGTGGGTGGTTTGTTTCCGTTTTTCTTTCTGTGAGTGTGAGCTGACGGGTGCAGATACCCTGTGCACTGGGGTGGTGACTGCGAATCTACTTTTGAAGCGATGGCTGAAGCGATGCGCGGTGCTCTTTCGTTGACAAGCTCTGGTTTCGCCTATGCCTCACACGATATTGGTGGATTCGAGGGCCACCCAGATCCGCAGATCTACCAGCGCTGGGTCGCATTTGGTCTTTTCTCGAGCCACAGTCGACTGCACGGCTCCGGGTCATACCGTGTGCCCTGGGTGTACGGCGAGGAGGCTGCCGTGAGCATGGCCAAAGTACTCGACGCCAAGCACCGGCTGATGCCTTATCTCTACAACTTGGTGGGTGGGACTTCTGTTCGTCTTTTCCCCCCGCGCTGACCATTCGTTGCAGGCGATCCAATCCCACACGACGGGACACCCACTGCAACGCGCCATGTTTATCGAATTCCCTCAGGATCGTAACACACACACACTCGACCGTCAGTATATGCTCGGTCCCTCGCTCCTGGTTGCGCCTGTGTTTGTCGACGTCAATGAGGAGGTCGAATACTACCTTCCGGCAGGCACGTGGACTTCTTTCTGGCACCCTGAGCGTGTCGTCAAGGGTCCCGTGTGGCTCTCCGAGCTCGTTCCCATCGACGAAATCCCGGTCTGGGTCAAGGACGGCACTGTTCTGCCCTTGGGTCCGTCCAAGATCAAACGACCCGATTATGACTATACCCAGGGCTTGACACTCTCCGTCTACCAGCTTGCTGACGGCCAGTCCGTTGATACCATCATTCCCGGATCAACAGGCGCCGAAATTGCCGCCGTCATTCGCACAGAGAAGAAGAACGGGGAGATCAAAGTCTCCGTCATTTCTGGCCAGCTCCAACTCAAGGCAGTTTCCTTACTTGGAGAAAGTGTGAAGGAAGTCACTGGCGGGAAACTTGAAGCCAACACTATCATTGTGGACGGAGCATCGGAAGTGGTAGCCAAACTGTAAAATCAATTATGTAATGAACCTTCCTTTTTCGGTTGACAGAAGGTTCTCCACTGTGACGTTCACAACTGCCGTCATCTGATCGTGTCCAGGATTTTAGACACAAAAACAAGTTTAAGCTACGAATTGTAGAACCTACTGTGAAACCTGAAATTAGGACTGCAGCCCACTAGATACGACAGGATACATCTGGTCTGTTCAACTTTTCTCATCCCACGGCTCTTGACACAGCACTGCCTCAGATGATCGCGTACATCCTCCACGAACATATCATCTGCTGCGGCATCCGCCACACTGCGGTTAAACGGATGCCACAAGCTCCTAGGAGGAACAGGGAGGATTAAATGCGGTGTCACGCTGATTGCTCGCGTACTATCGCGTCTTTTTGCAACTTTGCAGTGGCTCCACGTGAGAACACTATCGCGCCCGTCTTGGCGGCTACGTGCGAGCTTCCGACTGAGCTCAAGACTCTGATTCGCGCGGAGCTGCCGATCCGCTATGGACAGCGGATCTGGTGATGGCGACATGGTTTGTGCCGATCTTCGCCAAAGGTCTGATGTCTAGCGAACATCCGACCTATCCGACCCCAGGGGCCTTCTTTGCCACCGCGGTCTTGGCGCTGACCAAGTGGTCAGCGATTGGGCGTGTGGATCCGCTTGTGCGTGCAGCGAGGTCAGGATTCTCGTGGGTTGAGAATGCTTTTGACGGCAGCGAATGGGGATTGCCAGATTTGGAAAAAGCGATGCTCGAAACGGAATGTTTATCGGGCCCCAAGGACGGATAGATCGTTAAAAAGCATTTGAGGTCAGTTCTCGGCGACCAACGAGGCAACCGAGGGTGTTTCTCAGTACGTCTCAACGGAGAGCTTGCGACTGCTCGGCCTTGGTAGGAAACACACGGGATGTGCAAGCGCAGAGGTGATCAGGCATATCAAATGTACTCACGCTGAAAGAGTCAGAATTGAAATAAAAATCTTGGCGCGAGGTGGAAATAGAGTATCGCAGGATAGGATTGGGGCTCGGAAATCGAAAATAATTGGATAATCGTCGGAACACAGAAGGCTTGGAGTATGCGACGTATAGATCTTGTTGTTTGTGAGTCTAGTCACCATGACTGATCCCGAGACTTGACAGCTTATTTAATTCACGCTAAGCTCTCCCCACATCTTTCGTGATCAAAATCACGACCTCGGATCGGCGACATTGTCAAGATTTCGGTCATTTGCGAGGAACTGTCAAGCTTGCAGGCTCTTGCAGGTCGTTAGAAGTCACTTATCTCAGTAATCATCGATCGATATCATCGATTATAGATTCTTAGCTTGGATCAAATCGGACTGTATACTGATGTGCACATACCACAACGAGAATGCCTGACACATCTCAAATTCCAACGGACACTGCGCCAATTTTCATGGCATGTGAACATAATTATGATAGCCAGGATTGAGGATCTATTAAGCATTGGAATTAATTCCCATCGCTGAAACAACTACTCTCGCTAATAGTACAATGTGTCCGATCCGGAATTACTTTTCAAGACAGACCACTCTCTGCTGCACAAACCGCAGCAGCGAGATCTATGTGGAAAAAGGGAGTCTCCGATTCCAAGACAGGCGCGAAGCCCTCGGATGAGAAACCAGATTTGTCGTTGGGCTGGGACTCGAGATCTCCTCCAGCCAGATCGGGGCTGTCGTCTCGCTCGGGTCCAGGCACAACCCGGGCAATTTCGCGGTGTGCATTTGCTGACGGCTGGCCCGTACCGAACCCGCCAGCAATCAAGGCACGACGGATCCAGGGGGACAGAATCGACGAAAAGTGGAAATCAACTGGGTGGTCGGCCCATCTCTCCACTTCGTTGCGAGTGTCAATCAGGGACTGAACTGCAGTGACATCGATGTGGGACCTGAGAGAAAGTCAGTGGCCCGTCGGGAAAAAATAATTCAGATCACAACTGACACTGCCGAAAAGTCGATAACCACGGCCCGCAATTCGGGCCGCTGCAGGTTCTGCTGCTGCTCAGCCTCAGCACCGTTCTTGGGGCCAGGATCGTTCCATGGCCGGTCTCCTGGAGCGAGGCCCGACAGATCCTTGCCACGGCGCATATTGGCCTTGACATGGGAGACGATTTCGGAGTTGAGCACAGCTGCATTCGGAAACACGGTCGATTCCTCGAAGCGGTAGACGATTACACCTGGGGCAGGCGGCTCCACTTTGATGTCCACGTCGGTAGCACCACTTCCGTTGAGTGGGAAAAAGACCTCACGTGAGTTCTTGTTGTCCAAGCCGCCGTTGCGGACGGTGACCTTGCCCAGGAACTTATTGCGAGGATGGGCGATACGGATAAGCAAGAGAGCGACCGAAAGGCATATTGAGACATAGATGCCGTTTTCCACGGACGAAAAGACTGGATATGCGTGAGCAGCCTGCAATCGATTGCAAAAGAAGACGGACCTGTCACGAGCACTGCTGTAAACCAGATGACAAACTCGAAGGGGTTTACCCGCCAGTAAGTATAGACCTGAGCAGGAGAAGCGACCAGGTTGATGACGGCAGAGATGATAACGGCAGCCAGTGTGGCATTCGGAATCCAGAAGAAAGCTGGAGTCAGACCATATAGGGCAACGACAACGACCAGACTGGTGGCGAGACCGGCGAGAGGGGTGCGAACACCGGACTTGGCCTTGAGAGCCGAACGCGAGAAGGAGCCAGTTGCAGGGTAGGCACCGAAGACAGATCCAACGGTGTTCGTCACTCCGATTGCAATGAGCTCCTGGTTCGGATTGATCGTATAGCCGTTGAGACGTCCAAAGGCTGTATGGATGGTCAGGGTCGCTCGCCTGTGGTTCGGATGAACTTACACTTCGAAATAGCGATGTGCTCTAAGAGAAGAACGATAGTCGCCACCGGCAGCTGGCCCGCCAGAGCCTTGACAAGGCTGGGGTCTATCGTGGGAGGGCCTGGAGCAGAAGTTCAGTCGTCGCAACCTGCGCTGTGTGCTGCTGGACGTACCGATATGTTGGAAACCACGCGGTACGGTCAGTAGAATCTTGATAGGATATGTACCATGACTGGATCTGCGATCCCGGCAGTAAAGCCAGGCAGCGATGGTCATGACAAGGATGACAAAGGCATTCCGCATAACAGACAAAAAGAAGAACAGACGCGCGTGCCGGGGGAATCGCTTAGCCAGTCGGTCGCACGTGTACTGAATGATGTACAATGCAGCTGTGATGAATTGTCATCAGACTGGGCTGGGATCGGAGACAAGGACATACCCAAAGAGGGTAGACCCCAGGCAGCGTCTAGGGTTGTGCGAGGTAACCCTTTCAGGAAGTTGATAATCACATGGTATGTGGCAGCGCGGGTACTGGATGTCACGGGTCAGAGAGATTTCAACGCAGAAGGCGGAGGCACGGACTTGAACCCAGTGATGCCCATTAAACCTGGAAGCTGTCCAGCTGTAATGCCTGCAGATTGTCAAACAATGTCCAGGCTACTGACGGATCCAGACATACTAAGAGCAGATCCAGTCATGAAGCCAGAAACAGCAGGAGCAGGGATGAATTCAATGATCCAGCCTAACCGCAACAATCCGACTCCGAGGACGATAAATCCCGAGATAAATGCGATTGTGGTAGCGATCTCAGGCCCCGCCCATGCACCAGGGTGGGCATGCTGGATCTTGCTGATGATCTGCGAGGTGAGAAGACTGACAACGGCCACGGGGCCGATGGATACGTCTTTAGAAGTGGCGAATAACTGATATATCTATCAGTACAAGGAACATTGTACGAAAAATCGCACTTACACAGTAGATCGTGACGCCGACGAAGGATGAGTACAGGCCGTATTGGGTGGGCAGAGTCGCAATTTGAGCATATGACATTCCCTGGGGGACAAGAACCATTCCGACCTTCATAGTCATATTCAACGAAAGGTTGAATCAATGTGCTTGAGAAATGCGCACCGTTAGACCTGAGATTAGATCGCCAAGTGCCCAAGTAGGATTGTATCGAGAAATCCATGTCAAGATGGGGAACAGGCTGAGTAGATATTCCTGGATCTACAGAAAGGTTAGCCTTCATTAAGCCATAGAGCGCGTGCTGAACACAAACAGAGCGTCGAGGATTCGACCCATACGGCCGAACAAAGTCTCGCGCAGAGATTGTAGAAACGGAATCATCGGGGTACCGCACGAGACGTTTGGCGAAGCGAGTTGCGCTATCCATGACAAGGGAGAAGGGCAAGTACGACGAAGGCTTTGCGATTGATCATATTTATGTAAAACTGGATGAGCCGAAGCTGAGGTCATATTGCGTGCTTGGCACGTTGATGGCGGTGTGGCGAGCAAGTGGCGAGCGTGTCAGCGGATAGCCCGGCCGAAATTGCTAGAGAGCATTCACTGACCTTGGCAATAAGAAAGAAGGTGATAGAGAGGTGATAAGTCCTCTGTGACGCTCGGCATGCACACGGGAAGTCGTATGTGTCCAAACGTTTCGGATTAGCGAGGCAGTCGAGGGAAAAAGATCCACTGAACTGAGCTCGCTCACATGTCCAGTACGCCCGAGCTCCTCAACAAACTCAGCATGCCCACGTTATCATCTGCTTTCGTCAAGCTTGGCTTCGCAGCACCTAGTACGCATCACATTGACCGCAATGCCGATGTGAGAGAAAGAAGATTGGGCCTGCTGCTCGTCGGTTTCAATCGGGGCTCTCCTTCCCTGAACAGATAAGGTCGAACTCTTTGGTACCTAGTCTAACCAGTGCGTATATTTTCCATCTCTACCATCCTAGATGTAAGAGAATTGAGCCCTGAAAATAAGAGCCACTGAGACAACTTGAGAAATGATCTCCAAATTGATGGCTTCAATACAACCCAATCAGCTTCCATCCTCTTTCTAAACGGCCAGTGCGCGGTGCGCCTCTTCACGACAACAACGACCAAGATCTTCTCATGTGAGACACATGTCTATCATTGCGACATATCTTTCTCAACCCCTCAAATCCTGCAGGTCCGGACCCAAACCTCTTGTCGCCGCTGGCCATACCCGTCCCGTCACCCACCTGTCCTTTAGCCCCATTCAAGAGGATGGAACCTTCCTCCTAGTGTCCAGCTGCAAAGATGGCAATCCTATGCTTCGTGAGTGGACCGGAGATTGGATTGGAACGTTCCTTGGTCATAAAGGCGCGGTCTGGAGCACCAAGTTATCGCCCGACGCATCGCGTGCTGCTTCGGGCAGTGCCGATTTTACCGCGTACGTTTCACAGTGCGGTAGCCGTTTCATTATGTCTTATCCGACCTAGTAAAATCTGGGATGCTTACGCTGGCACGCCGCTCCACTCGTTTCCTCACAACCATATCGTCCGAAGTGTCGCGATCTCACCCACTTCATCCCATCTTCTCACGGGCGGTCAAGAGAAGAAAGTTCGGATATTCGATCTTGGTCGGCCGGACGCAGAGCCCGATTTCCTGCTCCCCGATGGCAGTTCTCTGTCCCACGAGGGCACTGTCAAGAGTGTCGTATGGGTAGGAGAGCACACGGGTGTCACCGCTGGCGAGGATGGCATCATCAAGTGAGTCTCAATGTCAGAATGAGAGCGCACCGCGAATCATAATTTCTTGCGTCCCAGATGGTGGGATCTCCGAACGAGGAAGTTAACAACAAGCATGACATTCCCCAATCCGATCACTTCCATGGAAGTATCTGCCCAGACCAAGCGTCTTGTTGTGACGTCGGGAAAGACTGTTGCATTCATCCCCGTGCTACCCAATGGGACCGGGACACACTCGCTGACACTGCCGTACGCGCCGTCCTCGGCTTCGATCCATCCGCTGTGGCAAGACCGCTTTGTCACGGGGAGCACTGGAGACGAATGGGTTCGTGTTCATGGGATGGATGGGGAGGAACGCGAGGTTCTTAAGGGCCATCATGGGCCTGTGCACTGCGTGGAATTCAGTCCGGACGGCGAGATGTATGCCAGTGGAAGCGGTTTGTGCTATCAACTCTCACGACTACGCGCGCTGACAATCTGCTCCATTGCAGAGGACGGCACGATACGTTTATGGCAAACGACTCCGGGTAAATCGTACGGTCTGTGGGAAGGCACACAAGGGTAGATTATCATATCTGTGTTCTAGTGTATCATGAAGCCATCTGTGACATTATCAAGAAAGGCCAGCTCAAGCTGAGCATCGATGAAGAATGGAGCGCTTGAGCGCTCGCTTGAATCGATGGCTGGTGTGAATTCTGTCATCGTAATTCTTCTAACCCCGCACAATCGACACTGACACCGATGAATTTGAGCTCTTATATCAATGGGGGCCGACTTCTGGACTGACGATGAACCTATCTCGTGAACCAACGACGCGCTGCTCTCAACTCCAGGTCAGCGGTTGGCTGGGAATCGGCTCAGACATGACGGGAAATCATCCCAAATTGTCATCGTTAGACTAAAGCTCCCGTCAGCCGTATGTGCCTGCCCGTTTCAGCCTTGGGTAGTTCCCATTGTCTAGACTTTTCGGACGAGCCTGAATCAGGGGAAAGTTGTGGTTGATTAGGCTAGATTGATTCGGAAAATCCGGCAGTACAAATCGTGTACTTACTACTTACATGTTCAATGCAGCGCTCGACAAGCGCACATGTCCTGAAAGAGAGAGGACAGGTGTCAGGGATAGTCACGCAAGACACATATCAATTTACATGGATCAAGGTACTGTTCAACAAGCCCTGCCCGGCGTACGTTCCTGCTCAGCTTAGCACCGAGGGCGAGGGACTATTCCCAGATTGGAGGGTCGTCGCGAACAAGCAAGGTCTGCAACTGAGAGAGAACCTGGCAGCGGGAATTATGGCCTAGGAACAAAGGCACGGTGCGAGCTCAGAGCGAGAGCTCTTAAGTGCAAGGATGTCCTCGAAGATCGATGGCTTTTTGACTTCATGCTTGAAGGCCGTTGCCAAGATGCAATGCAGCCGGGGGACTTGCAGTCGACATGGAACGCACATTACGACGAGTCAGCTCCATGGGAGGGACAAGGGCGGCAATGATAACAGAGAAGGAAGCAAGCGCTATGTGAACTCGGAGTGTACGGTGGCCATATCATATCTCGATATGCTGTGGTTGGTGGATAATTCCCGGTGATGGCGTTTGCCTGCTGTATAAATATGGTGGAGACCATATGAGAGTCCCCAGGGCACAAACAAATGATAATAAAAGGGATTCTTCGTGGAAGGAGGCATTTTCCAATGATTAAGGGTATATGACTTGTGCGCCCTCAATCCATTGCATATTGACCTGCGCGATGAGCACCCACAATAATCTCATTGACGATCATGCCAAAATAGTCTGATAGAAAAAATCAGATCAGTTGCCAAATATGTAATCCAAGCAAAACGTTTACGTTCTTCAGGCCTTGTGTACCTTCCAGCGTTCCGCCTGGAGCGACGCGACCTCAGGAATCATTAATCGGGTCACAGCCACCCAATAGCACGTGATCGCGCTGTGTTTGTCCAGGGCTCTCATTGCTTCAATTCTGAGCAGCGCTCATGGATAGTTTGTTCGGGCGGAAAAAGCCCAAGTCGCGACACCCTTCCGGAGACCTTACAGATCGATCCATACCCTATGACAGGCTTGCACCGTCTCCTCGCTCCCCCAACCGCCCTGCGAACTCCGGATTTATCTCTGCGCCTGTCACCAACCCGACGCTCACTCAGAATGGGACTGAGCTCAATAAATTTCAGATTCAGAAGACGAGAATGGAGAGGGAAAGAGCCTACGAAAACTTCGTCCCAACAGCGTCCACGTCATCCATATCGACGACCGACTCCTCGACACTCTACACCGACTCCATCGCTTCTTCCTCCAAAGCTGCCAACTCACGTCGAAGTGAGGCGTCGTCTCTCTCATCCTACTCCGGCCCTCGCTCTCCCAGCATGTCGGACTTCGGTAATTTCCAGCCTGCGACGCCGAACGGTAGTGGGATGTTTCCCGGGTCGGCTTCCTCTGCAACCATCCGCCCTGGGTCCGGCATGACGACTCGTTCGGACAGCAATCGATTGTCGAAATACGCTTCGTCGCTGTTATCATCCGAAGGTTCACATACGCATCTTTCGCACTTCCATCTACATCGACAACAGACGGATGATTTCAACTTTGCACGGCCGGAGACTGACGAGGAGCTCGAGGCACTGTTTGAGACAGTGAAGAGGACGCGAGATTTGGGCGACTTGCCGAATCTGACGATGGAACAGAAGTGGCATATGGTCTACAACGATTATCACATCCGCTGGAAGGATGAGAAGACGAGGGAGGATCAGGCGAAGAGACAGGTCGAGGCTGGCCAACCGGCGCCTATTATAATTGAGTCGCCGGAATGGTTCATACGCAAGTTTCTGGACAAGACCATTACACCGAAGCAGGCAGGGAGTCTTTTAATATCGCTGCGCGGGAAGGAGATGAGGTACGTCCTGTTTCCATTCGTTCTTGTCCGATCTATGCACAAGCGCTTTTAGCTGGTTTCGGCATTTCATTGCCATACGAGGGACTTCGGTACTGGCACAGACATTGACGCATCTGAGTCGGAAAGGGGGATCCAGGTGCGTTGACCAAGTTTCTTGTGACTAACTTGACCCATCCTTGTGTAGGCGTGAGATTGATATCCTGCTAGAATACGAGGTTGTCAAGTGTTTGAAACAAATCCTCAATAATCCGGTAAGTGAACGCATATTCGGCATTGAGCTCAAACTAATGCAAGCGTTAGTCTGCGACCAAGGAAGCCCTGACGCATAACTTGATTGTTACACAAGTTGCTTCTTCTCTGAATACACCCCATCTTCCGACGCGAAAGCTTCTGCTTGACTTACTTTCTTTTCTGGCTTACTGGAATGACGGCGAAGCCCACCCTCTCGTTGTTTCCGCATTGGAGGCATTGAGCGTGTCCAATAACGAGGGCAGCGGATGCTATAGCTATTGGTTCAAGTCGATGGAGCAGTCTTTGTCAGGACGTGGCAAGATGGGCAGTCTGGTGGGGGCCAGTGAGGAAGTGAGAAAGACGGGGGGGATCGACACCAATCTGAACGAATATGCGGTATGTTTCCTACTCAGAACCAACGACGGTCATTCGCATTGAACTGATTAACCAGGTGGCGAACTTGGTTCTCCTGAACGGGGTAGTTGGGTTCATCGAAGATTTGGATCTGCGCTTGCATCATCGAGCCCAGATGGAGGCGTCAGGACTGCAGAGGATCATTGAGCTTTGCCGCGCTTTTGCAGTTCCGACCATCGACAGGCAGCTGAAGATTCTGCAAACCGTGCTCGATGATGACGAGGCGAAACTGCGAGAGAGAGTGGATCAAGAGATTCTGCGGGACCTCAACAACCCACAGGATGTGTACAATGCCATCTTTTCGAAGACGCAGGACTCGAAAGCTCGGGACTACTTCTTGTCGATGATGCAGCACTTGCTTTTGATTCGGGAAGAGGGCCCTCCAATGGTGCATTATTATCAGCTGATCGACTCTCTCGTAACGGATGTCGTGCTCGACAAGAAGTTGGCGGGGGCTGAACAGAGGATGGGGCATTCTGTGGAGCGCATCATCGCCCAGTTCAACGAGGCAGACAGATATCAGCACGCAGAGGAGGATGCAAGTCTCGCTCGCGCTGAGGCCGCTCGTTTGCGCCTGGAGAAGGAAGCGCTGGAGGAGGAAATATCTCAAGGCGAAGACGGAATGGTCGGTCGACTGAAAAGTCAGCTCGCACATATGGACGAGAAGTTGGGCATCTCGAGGGAGACGGTTGCTCGGTTGCAGGGTCAATTGGAGACGCAGAGACTGGGATACGAAGAACGGATCGCACAGCTGGAGGCTCAGATCTTGGAGCTGTTCAAAATGCTCAAGGAAATGGGCCAGGGCGTCGACAGTATTCTGGACTCCAATTCGAGCCAGATGGACCGCAAGACGCTGGTTGACACTCTCGAAAAGCACTTCCAACGGGCCAAAACAATCGGGATTCTTGAAGGAAATGAGCGCTGGAACAAGAACGCCCCCAGCACCGAAGATGATCCGGAAGCAACACCTGGGAAACAGACCAGTCTGCGCCGGTCAGTGCTTACCAAATCAATGCGTCCCAAGACCGAGGAGAGCAGCGGCGGACGGGTCTCTCAGTTCATGGATGCCGATGATGATGATGCCGAAGAGCAAATTCAGCAGCAGCTGGCTGCCGGTGTCAAGATCGTGAGTCGCACTCCATCGTACGACATATCGCCATCGCTGACACATACATTCAGTATCCTGAGCGCGATGGGTCCTCGTCCAGCTCTCGGAGTGTCAGAGGGACCCCTAAACGGACAGATCGACCTCTTTTGGGTGGTGATTCACCGTACAAATCGAGTGCTCTCCGTGCTCCAAATGGCGAGGAAGCTGATGTCAGCGACTATAGTCGCTCGTCTTCTCCAGGGCCAACTGACGACGAAACTGCGGGAAAACCTGCCGCCGGCTCATTGGCAGAACAGCTCAGCAGGCATTTACTTACTCGTGGAACGCCTGTCGAAAGTGTGACATCAAGTGACACTCCAACCGCAGCGTCCTCGGCGCCGCCACCTCCGCCGCCGCCTCCTCCTCCACCGCCACCCCCGCCGCCTCCACCTGGCTTCACTAATGCAGGAAATGCTCCGCCACCGCCACCGCCTCCGCCTCCACCTCCTGGACTCAACGGATCACCTCCCCCGCCCCCGCCTCCCCCGCCACCTGGAGGCGCACGATTTGGACCGCCACCACCACCGGCCCCGACACCCCGGGATCACTCCCCGGATCCAACAGGACTTCCATGTTGGGATCAAACATTAACTCACTTTTGTCGGCCCGGAAAGAGAGTCCGTTCCCATCAGCGAGCACGAAGATGAAACAACTTCAGTGGGACAAGTTGCCTCAGCAGCAGGTCAACAGGACATTATGGAAGGAAGAAGTGCCTCAGAAAGAGCAAGAGATGATGACCAAGCTCCAGCTGGACGGCGTCTGGATCGAAATGGAGGAGGATTTCAAGGCCAAACAGCTTGTCATCAATCTGATGGGTGAGTGGTCACCGAACTGCACCGCTGCGAACTGACCCAATCCTCGCTCAGCTCGGCAGAAGCGGGCCGAGCTCAAAAGCGTTCTCGATCCTCAAACCAAGAAACGTGTCGGTAAGTATTGCCACTGTCGTGTGTTGCGTTCTTCAACCGTCCATCCAGAAATCCTCATCCAGCGTGTCAAACAGCTACAGCCCGAAGAGATTGCTTGGAAGATTCAACAATTCGACCAGGATCTGTGCACTTCCAACTTCCTCAGCGAACTCAAGCCTGTGCTGCCATCGCCCGAACAAGTCGGAAAACTGAATGTCTACCGGAATGCAGACCCCGAAGAGCTGGGCGGCCTCCATCCTTCCGACAGACTGATGGTCAAACTCATTCAGATCGAACGACTTGGTCCCCGAATCGAGGGCATGCTGTACAAATGCGAGTTTGACGAGACCTGGGCTCTGTTAGATCAGGTCAGTGAGGTCTCGATCTGTTGTGCAATGTTCTGACGATTGTAGTCCGCACGCAAATTGGCTGAGGCCAACGAGTCTTTGCTGCACGCAAAGTCCTTCAAAGAACTTCTGAGCGTATGCGTCATTCTTACTTCGCTGGAAAGATCTTGACCGTGTCTAGCTCATTCTTCTCATCGGAAACTACATGAACGGCACGGGAATCAAAGGAGGAGCGTTCGGTTTCCGCGTGAGCAGTATCAACAAGGCACGTCTTCCCTCCGAAAAGACAGGATATCCAGCTGATCTCGTGATAGCTCGTCGATACCAAATCTGTCAACAACACGACACTGCTCCATTTCCTTGAGAGGACCATTGTGAAGCATTTCCCTGATATGGAACTCTTCCTCGACGAACTGTCCAAGCCCGCCGAAGCCTATCGAGGTCCGAGATTTGGCTGTTTTTCTCCTATCTTGGGCTCAATGTCTTCTTCAGTGAACCTTCAGGACATACGTAAGGAGCTGGGCGAATTGCGAGATGGTCTCAAACGGATAAGGAAGGAGCTCGCTGATCACTATGCTGATATGGACCAGACGGAGCGTTACGGGAGACAGATGTGGGCGTTCTTCAGCAAGGCCAATGCTCAGCTAGAGGATCTTGTCGACAACGTCAACCTCGCTGAGACGACTTTCTCAGAAGCAATCAGCTACTACGGAGAAGAAGAGCGGAATATGACCTCGTCCGAATTCTTTGGGATATTCAAGACATTTGTGACGTCTTACAAGGCAAGCCCTTTCAGTGATTCACAAACTCGGTGCCTGTATTCATTCTGCTGCATAGAAATGCAAGTCGGAGAACCAGTCGGTGGCTGAAGAACGCCTTGCAGCCGAGAAACGCAGGCAGGCCGCCGACGAAGCCAAGGCCAACCGGCATAAAATCATCGAGCAGACTGTCAATAACGAGGACGACGACGTCCTGGACAATCTGCTCGAGAAACTGCGCAATGGAGATGCCGTCAGCCGGAGAAATAGACGGAACAGGCTTGCTGGCAAGATCAGCGGATCGGCCCCAGAGGGCGAGGCAACATCGGGCACTGCTGACGTTGCGCGAGACATGTTGGCTCGTTTGCAGTCAGACGGATTTGTCACCCCCGCATCGCCGACATTGCCGGGTAGAAGGAGGCGACGAATCGACATTGACGACAGTTTGACGAGCCCTACGACGCCCAGTCTCATCATGTCGGACTCGGAGACCCTAGAGACTTTTGCAGATGACGAGGACATGTCTATACGTAACGAGGACTGATATTAGCTGTCTAATAAGTTATGTATTTCTAACGCTTTCGCCTATGTACGTACCATCATGGTGGCAGTGACGCGGCATCGAGGCTCCCCAACAAGTAAACACCGCACAATTCGTTTCGCTCAACTTTCCACCGACGACGAGACCCCCAGCGCAGCACACAACGACGCCGGTGCCCCACTCCAAGTCGCCGCACGATGGCGGAAAATATATATACCAAGGGCACGCGCGCCTACTTTGAAGACAAGGAGCTTGCCTGGATTTCGGCCGAGGTCACCTCCGTCACTAGGAATGGAGACGCTATTAAGCTCGTCTTCACTGACGAGCGAGGCAAGGTGCGTAGACACGCCAATCCCATTGTCTCTCCCGTGTTAAACCAATTTCACAGGAAATCACCGTCAATACCACTGTCCAGGACATCCGGGATGGAAAGGATGACCTGCCTCCGTTACGAAACCCGCCTTTGCTCGAGACTGCCGACGATCTCGCGACTCTATCTCATCTAAACGAGCCCTCTGGTGAGTCGCGATCCCGACTAGCTCCTGGCGAGCAAATTGACGCTGGCGTGCAGTCCTGCACACCATTGCGAATCGATATGCGCAACATAGCATCTACACCTACAGCGGCATCGTCCTCATTGCTGTCAATCCATTTCAACGAGTGACGATGTATGGACCCGACATTATTCAAGCGTATGCGGGGCGTCGGCGTGGTGAGCTGGAGCCTCATCTGTTCGCGATCGCGGAGGATGCATACACTGCGATGCGACGCGACGGCGAAGGCCAGACGATCATTGTCTCCGGTGAAAGGTGCGTGGTGGTCTAAATCTGCGAATATCCGGCTGAGCCCGCGTAGTGGTGCGGGAAAGACTGAATCGGTAAGCACATGGGTGGCCTTGTATACACATAATGTTCAATACTCTCTAGGCCAAATTCATCATGCGATACCTCGCTTCCGTCAACCCACCTGACGCCCCCAAGGCCAAGACCAAGTTCTCCCTCGACGAGTCTAGTGAAATTGAGCGGCAGATCCTCGCTACGAATCCGATATTAGAAGCATTCGGCAACGCAAAGACAACACGAAACGACAACTCGTCACGGTTTGGAAAATACATTCAGGTGGGTTTAGCACGTATCGGCACACCTATATGATGCACACTGAGCATTTGACAGATTCTCTTCGATGGCAAGCAAGAGATCGTCGGGGCGCGGATCCGGACGTATCTTCTCGAGCGATCTCGGATTGTGTTCCAGCCTACGACCGAACGAAACTACCATATCTTTTACCAGCTTTGTGCCGGAGCCCCTTTGAAGGAACGAAAGGACCTCGGACTGGATTCTGACATCACCAAGTTCTTCTATTTGAAGCAAGGCGGGCCCACGTCAACCCCGATCAACGGAGTGGATGACGCTGAAGAATTCCGGGCTACACAGCAGGCTCTGTCCACCGTTGGAATTAGTGTCGAAAAGCAGTGGGCTGTGTTCCGGTTGTTGGCTGGGATGTTACATCTGGGAAACGTCAAGGTGACACAGACTCGGTCCGACGCAGTGATCGACGACAATGATCCTGCGCTTCTGCTTGCGACACGCTTCCTGGGCGTCAATCTGGCTGAATTCAAGAAATGGACGATCAAGAAGCAGATTACGACTCGTTCCGAGAAGATCGTGACTGCGTTGAACGGTGCTCAGGCCACGGTCGTGAGAGATAGTGTGGCCAAATTTGTCTACGCTTGCATGTTCGAGTGGCTGGTTGCGATCGTGAACGAGAGTTTGGCTGGAGAGAACGGAGATGCGGCTGACAAGGCTGAGATGTTCATTGGTGTGTTGGATATCTACGGCTTCGAGCACTTCCAGAAGGTCCGATGCGATGATCTCCTCTGCGCGTAAAGGCTAACTATGATATGCGCAGAACTCTTTCGAGCAATTCAGTATCAATTATGCGAACGAGAAGCTCCAGCAAGAGGTGGGTAGATGACCTCATTATCTGACTCACCAATGAAATCCTTTCAGTTTAACTCTCACGTCTTCAAACTGGAACAAGAAGAATACGTCAAGGAACAGATAAATTGGACTTTTATCGACTTTTCGGACAATCAGCCATGCATCAATGTCATAGAAGGCAAGCTTGGCGTTCTGGCGCTGCTGGACGAGGAGTCGCGATTGCCCTCGGGAAGCGACTCGTCTTTCCTCCAGAAGCTAAACACCCAATTGCTGAAGCCCGAATTCAAGGACGTGTACAAGAAGCCTCGGTTTGGAAATTCCGCTTTCACAATTGCGCACTACGCCTTAGATGTCACATACGAGGTCGAAGGATTCCTGGAAAAGAACCGTGACACCGTTCCCGACGAACAAATGGCTTTGCTTGCCGGAACCAAGAACCCGTTTTTGAAGGAGGTTCTCGACGCTGCCTTGATGTCGGCCAAAGCGCCGGAGAGCCCGAACCCGGCGGCTGGATCGGATTCTGGCAGTACTGGATCCCGCCGGTCGTCGGTGATTCCGGATCCCGGCCGGCAGTCTTTCATTGGGAATGCTACCGCCAGCGCAGGGGCAGCGGCGTCTGGGCCGAAACGGGTCGGCGCTGTGGCCAGGAAACCGACGCAAGGGTCTATCTTCAAGGCGTCACTGATCACGCTGATGGAGACGCTGAACGTGACGAATGTGCATTACATCCGGTGCATCAAACCGAATGAGAAGAAACGGCCCTGGGAGTTCATGCCCCAGCAGGTCCTGGGTCAGTTGCGAGCTTGTGGTGTGTTGGAGACCATTCGGATCAGTTGTGCCGGATATCCCACCAGATGGACCTATGAGGAATTTGCTGAGCGGTGAGCACGTTGTCTCCTGCGGGCGACCGTGGCTGACTTGGTGCAGATATTACATGTTGGTGTCGTCGTCAGTCTGGCAGCCGCTCATCCAATCGCTGGATTTACGGACGCTGTGTACCACGATCCTGGAAAAAGTCATTCCCGATAAGGACAAATACCAGAGCGGGTTGACCAAGATCTTCTTCCGGGCGGGTATGCTTGCCTCGCTGGAAGCCCTCCGCTCTGATCGCCTGAATGCGATGGTCACTGTCGTGCAGAAGAACATGCGTCGGAGGATGGCGGTCAAAAAGTACCAACAGCTTCGCCAGTCCACCATCAAGATCCAGACGTGGTGGCGCGGTGTCCTCGCCAAGAAACTCGTCTCCTTCATTCGCCGGGAGGTCTCGGCCAAACGCTTGCAAACATTGTGTCGCCGTTTTGTCCAGCGCAAGAAGTTCCTCGACGTTAAAGTCTCCGTCACTCTGCTCCAAAGCCGTCTGTCTGCAGCTTGGATGCGCTCCGCTTTTGTTTACACACTTGACAGGGATCCGGGGCTACCAAGCTCGCAAAAACTTCGTCCACGGAAAGAGAGCACAGGGTGCTACTCTTCTACAGAGCCTCATCCGTGGAGTGTCAGAATCGTGTCCCTATCTCGGTGGTCTAGTTCTGACCCTTGCATAGTATAACCCGGCGTTCGTTCAAGGCAGATGTCCGGCGAGTGATCTATCTGCAGTCTTGCATCCGGCGGAGGTACGCTCGCCGAAAACTCAAGGAGCTGCGTGCAGAGGCCCGCTCTGTCAACACATACAAAGAGGCGTCGTATCGGCTGGAAAACAAGGTCGTCGAGCTCACTCAGATGCTTCAAACACGCACAGAAGAGCGCAAGCAATTGCAAACTCGGGTCAACGAACTGGAACAGCAGTTGCAACAATGGGTCTCGCGTCATGAAGAGGTTGATTCGAGAGCTAAACAATACCAAGCATCTCTGCGCACGACAGAAGCAGAACTCACGCGTCGGGACGAGCTTCTGCTGACCAAAGCGGAAGTCGAGAAGCGTTTGGAGGATGCGTTGGCCAAGGCAACAGAGAAAGAGGAGACGATTCAGAAGCTGATGGATGATCTGTCCAAGCAGGCTGCTCAGCTGGAGGCTCAACAGAAGACGATCGAGGCAACACCTCCACGGAATGAGGAAGACAGCTCAGTCATCCTGACCCTGAAAAACGAAGTCAGCAGCTTACGCGAGCAGCTCAATCGCTCCAATGCGCTCAATGCACTGACCCGCGGTGCACGTGATCCCCCACTCTCTCCAACATTCGCTCCCACGCTCCGGGCTCCAGAAGCGAACGGTGCGAACGGTGCGGTGCCTGTGGGTGGAAGCCGCCACCAGCGTCGGCATAGTTCGGCCGGTGTGTTCGCGATCGCGCCATCTGATCATCGCACATCGTCGGACGAGATTATGTTCGATGTCAAGAAGAGCCATGCACTCAATCCACGTGCGGTCTCTGTAGCCTACAATGGCGAAGACAACTACTTGCGCATGCGCTCCAACGGGCTTCCCGATATCCGCGACTTTGATGACCCCGCCGAAGAAAAGATCCGTCTGATGCAGGACATCAAGCGTCTCGACGAGGATGTTCTCGACGGCCTAATTCGCGGTCTCAAGATCCCTGCGCCCAGTTTGACGAATCCTTCAGCAGTCAAGGAGATCCTGTTCCCGGCGAATCTGATCAGTCTAGTGACCAACGAGATGTGGAAATACGGGCTGATTCCTGAGAGCGAGCGTTTCTTGGCTAATGTGATGCAGACTATTCAAGGACATGTGATGGTGAGTGATCCCATATTCACCCAGCAGCATGTGCTCACACTTGATATCGCAGTCCTTCACGGGCGAAGATGCGATTGTCCCCGGGATATATTGGCTGTCAAACGTCCACGAGATGCTTTCGTTCATCTGCGTGGCCGAAAGTGACATGCTCCAGGGCATCGGCCCTGGAGAGGAGAACTCTGTGCGGTCATTCGATTGGAACGACTACGAACGACTGGTATCGGTCGTCAAGCACGACTTGGACAGTCTGGAGTATAACATCTACCACACCTGGATGCTCGAGACCAAAAAGAAACTCTCCAAAATGGTCATTCCCGCTCTGATCGAGAGTCAGTCTTTGCCTGGCTTCACGACAAGCGACGGCGGCGGCCGGCTGTTCAACCGGTTGTTGAATGCGAACAGCGCCCCGGCCTTCAGCATGGACGACATCTTGAACCTGCTCAACAAAGTCTGGAAGAGCTTGAAGAGCTATTACATGGAGGAATCGGTCGTCCAGCAGGTCGTCACCGAGCTTCTCAAGCTGATTGGTGTGACGAGTTTCAATGACTTACTCATGAGACGGAACTTTTCTTCCTGGAAACGCGGTATGTTTTCTGTCTCGCATCTACTTGCGACTCAACTCCCCTAGCGATGCAAATTCAATACAACATCACTCGGATCGAGGAGTGGTGCAAATCACATGATATGCCAGAGGGCACCTTGCAGTTGGAACACTTGATGCAGGCCACTAAGCTGCTCCAACTCAAGAAGGCGACTGCGGCCGACATTGAGATCATCTATGATGTGTGCTGGATGCTCAGTCCGATGCAAATACAGCGGATGTGTACTAATTACTACGTGGCCGACTATGAGGTGCGTAGTGCAACAGCCGTTTCCTTGCGTGTCGTTTACCGAACCGCCCAGAACCCGATATCACCGGAGATCCTCAAAGTCGTAGCATCGCGAGTGCAGGCCAACGACCGCAACGACCACCTGCTTCTCTCTCCAGAAACGGAAGAAGTGGGCCCTTACGAGCTGCCTTTGCCACGAGAAGTGTCGGGTCTCGAGACCTACGTCCCAGCGTATTTGAATGTGTCCCACCTGCGGCGCCTTGCTGCACTAGTTTCCTATACATAATGTGCTTACGATCTTGCAAATGACTACACGGATTTTTGGATATCTTTTATCTCAGCGTCACCGTGGATCCATCTTCCACCTCCTCCCCGATGTCTCGGTCGTTGCGGCATTGAATGTCTTCCTTGTACATTCCCAAGGGCTATTGTTAGGGGAAACAGTCTCTGAGTAGCCACAACTTGGGAGTCGAGCAAGCTCTCACCGCTGTCGACGACTGGCCCACTTGCGGCGCAAGCAGATCTAAAACACGGCCAGTCCCTATTGTCTGAGCAGAGTGAGGATATTCAGCCCCTTCAGTGACGGCAGCGCCTACCTTCCTTGCCCAAAACATTTTCTCTGACCCCATGACTTTGAAGTGAACGCGGTCGCTCTGCGGGATGCCGGCCGTCTTGTCCTTGGGATTGACAGGAATGGCTTTATGTCGCATGAGTAGCAACCTCTTAGCCGGATCCGACATCGCTGCGCTTCGCGCTGCAGGCGTTCCAGTTGTCAATTTGCCTTTGGACGCGCCAAAGTGCTTGGCGAGCAGCGCACGCGCGGCCTCGTTCTTTGGCTTTGGGCCAACACCGGCTGCCAGAGTCAGTTGGCAGGAATGCGACTTGGGATGTCGGTGCCTGGCGCGTCATGGGATTTCAAAGGCATGCTATCCGCGGCGTTGCACACGCACACGGCACAGAACGACTCCTGGCATTGGGGACATACTGCAGGCGTCCTTCCTAGTGTGCTGCTCTGGTCGCCGATGAAGCCCTCGAGACTTGGCTTGCCGCAGTCACGGGCTGCACATCGTCGAAGAGAGACCTGGTTGGGCGATGGGCTCGTCGTGGTATCCGTTCGGGTGTAGCTGCAGTTGTGCACATCGGCGGGACTGTGTGCGCGACAGAAATACTGGCCACAGAAGCAAAGAATGGGCAAAAAGTCTATCTTGGAGCAATCTGTGTGGGAGCGCGTCCTCAGTCCCTAGCAGAAAGATGACACACTTGATCACACAACGGCGATGAACACTGAGCACCGATCTCGAGCATCGTGGTGGTTCGGGACAAGTTACAATTTCTACAATTATGTTTTCTTACTTCCTACTTCATTCGACACGGTGTTTCTGATAGTAGTGGATAAGCCCGGTTGTCTGTCGTCGAGGTGAGTGGCGTTTCTTTACACCGGACACTAGAACCTGCACGTACCGAACTATCGTGGCCTGTGACATCGGCGGGGGTGTTGAGCTGCTTGAGGATGTTCTTCGCGAGCACCTTGCCCAATTCGACACCCATTTGATCTGACGAGTCTGATGAGATGAATTCTGGGCAAGTGATATAACCACCGACCGAAGGAGTTGATGCCCCAAACCACACCCTGCACAAAAATCTTGTGCTCGTATAGGGCAATCAACGCACCAAGCGTCGCAGGGGTCAGTTTGGGGAACATTAAGCTGTTGCTCGGCTTGTTGCCCTCGAAGACCTTGCTCTTGTACAACGCCTCGGTGTGTCCGGGGCCGAGCTCCTTTCGGACCTCTTCCTCCGTCTTGCCGAAAGCCAGAGCCTCCGGCTGGGCAAAGAAGTTGGACAGGAGAATGCGGTGGTGTTTGGAATGTCCGATGGGGTTTTGTGTCGTCGCCGGAGCAAGGAAATCGGCGGGGATGAGCTTGGTGCCCTGGTGCACCAACTGATAGAACGAATGCTGGCCGTTGGTACCAGCTGCTCCCCACAGGATGGGCTGACGGCCACGTTAGAGATAACATCGCGGCATTGAGAGGAGACATACACCCGTCTGGTAGTCCACACGCTGGCCGCCCTTGGTCACAGATTTGCCGTTGGACTCCATGTCACCCTGCTGGAAGTAGTCTGCGAATTTGTGTAGGTACTGATCGTAGGGGAGAAGAGCATGTGTCTGGGCGCCTGTTTCCGCGTCAGCAAGACTGTATCGGCAGCGCCTATCGGCCAGCTTACCGTAAAAGTCGTTGTACCAGATCCCGAGGATGGCCATGATCACGGGCAAGTTGTCTTCGAGGGGAGTACTCAAGAAATGCTGATCCATACTGTGAGCGCCCTTGAGCAGCTCCTCGAAGTTTTCGTAACCGATGACCAGGGCGATGGAAAGCCCAATGGCGCTCCACAGACTGTATCGCCCACCGACCCAGTCCCAGAACTGGAACATGTTCGCCTCGGAGATACCAAATGCAGTGACAGCAGGAGTGTTGGTGCTAAGCGCAACAAAGTGCTTAGCCACATGGGCTTTGTCGCCAGCAGTCTGCAGGAACCATTCTCGGGCAGTCTCGGCATTTGTAATCGTCTCCTGTGTCGTGAACGTCTTGCTTGCGATGATGAATAGGGTCGTTTCGGGGTTGCACAATCGGACAGTCTCGGCGATATGCGTGCCATCGATGTTCGATACAAAGTGCGCCGTCAAATCCCGTTTCGAATACGCCTTGAGGGCCTCAGTGACCATGACCGGGCCGAGATCGGAGCCACCGATACCGATGTTAACGATCGTATCGATAGCCTTCCCGGTGTAGCCCTTCCACTCGCCGCTCCGGATCGCATTCGAAAACGTCTTCATGTGCTCAAGCACGCCAGAAACTTCGCTGACACCAGCCTCGGAGATTTTGAATTCGTCGAAATTCCGCAATGCGACGTGGAGGACAGCGCGGTCCTCCGAGGTGTTGATGTGCTCACCAGCAAACATCTTGTCACGGAAGCTCTCGACTTGGGCCTCGCGAACGAGGGCGAGTAGATCATCGATGATGGGCTGCGTGACCAGATTCTTGGAGTAGTCGAGGAGGAAAGTGACATCGGGGCCAGATTTGGATTTGTACTCCTTAGAGAAGTGAGAGAATCGCTCAGGATCCTGGGCGAACAAGTCGCGCAGAACAAGACGCGACTTTTCATCATTGTAGACGCTCTGGAGTTTCTTCCATGACGAGTATTCTGTCCCGTGTTAAGCAAGTCTGGGTATGTAGCGAAAGAGCAGGAACGCACGGGTGGCAGGAATTCCGCTCATGATGTGGTTCAGATTCAAGATCGTGGAGGCTCCGTTTGGCCCCGTGCGATTACTTAAATACGCGCCGATCCTTGTAAATCGCGACGATGACGTTGACGGGTTGTTCGGGTACGTTCGGGGATCCTGGTAATCAAAAATTCACCGCAGCCTATTCATTTTCGTACGAGTCCGTGTGGGATCCTTTGCACCCATCTTTGACCTTACTTGCAACTGGGTCCCACAGCGATGGCGACTCAAAGTCCGAGAAACCGGATACTCGGACCGGTGTTACCCGTTGTGATGCTACCGTATCTAATCACTTGTAGCCTCCTGCCATGAACATCATCGTACGTACATGTGGTTCAGCCATTTCCGACTCGGCTCATGAACGTTAGGAATCACTTTTTGGTCGGACAGTAACACCCGCCGAACGCCTCCGCCAACACCAGCGCTCACTCGCCAAAGCACAACGCGAACTCGATCGCGAACGGACAAAGCTTGAAAGCAGCGAAAAGAAACTGATTGCTGATATCAAGAAATCTGCGAAAGATGGTCAGCTGAATGCCTGCAAAGTAATGGCGAAGGACCTCGTTCGTACGAGGCGGTATGTGCAGAAGTTCTACCAGATGCGGACACAGCTACAGGCTGTTGGACTGCGCATTCAAACACTGCGCAGCAACCAGCAGATGGCGGATGCGATGCGAGGGGCAACTAGAGTATGGGCCGTCAGCATGGAACATCCTCAAACTCTTGACTCAATTCGTGCACTAGGCAATGGCGTCTATGAATCGTGGGCTCAACCTACCCGCCATTCAAAAAATCATGAATGAATTCGAACGGGAGAGCTCAATGATGGATATGAAGGAGGAAATGATGTCTGATGCTGTCGACGATGTCATGGATGAGGAGGAGGACGAGGAAGAAGAGGGTGACAAGATCCTGAAACAAGTTCTCGACGAGATCGGAGTGGGTCTATCTCAGCAGGTGTGTCGCTTTGCCTTGCATATGCATATCGTTCTCATGGATTTTGCAGCTTACGGACGCCCCGACGGGGATCGGCGCGAGCACTTCTCAATTGGCCAGCCGACAACCGGTGGCGCTCGGAGAGGCGAGTGGTACTGGTCCATCGAGGCCGACTGACACTGGTGGACCCGGTGCTGGTGGAGATGCGGACGAGGATGCACTACAAGCAAGACTGGATGCATTGCGAAGGGGTTAAGGTATCTAAAGACCCTACAGAGTTGTGCATGTAAGGTCTTAAACTTTCACGTTTCAAACTTTCAGCGCCGCGATTGCTCGCGCTTCCTGAGTTGACAGCTTCCATGTGATGCCAGATCCGTTGTAGAACTCATCAACATCCTCCTCCTGCAAACAATGATCAGCCAATCCATAGGTCCAAAAGAGATGGTTTCACATTGTCTAGATTGAGAATTGTTGAAAGCTGTTGCAAGCGCACAAACTTCTCGCGAGCGTCTCCAAAGGCGGTATGCGTTGAGAGATACGTCAGAATCGCTCGCAAGTCTCGGTCAAAGCGGATGGCGCCCAACTTGATTCTGATGTGAGCTAGGGATGACCGGACAAGCACAGACCCACCTCCGTGAATTTGAACGTCAGCAAGAACTTTTCCCACGGTCGAACGAGAACATCAAGAGCCAGACCGAAGAAAAGTCTGTAGTTGGCGTCGGTAAACGAGTCCTGTTCGACAATCAGAAACAGAACACGCGAACAAAATCAGGACCTGCTTTATACCCCTCCACGAGAGCCTCCCATGCTTTGATGAACCGCTTGCGTATCACGTCCTGATACTCCGCCGATGCATAAGCTTCTTCATCCAGGACATACGACACATCCTTGTAAACATCACCAATCAAGTTTCGCAGTTTCGGGCGCAGAAGTTGGTTGAATAATTGCTCGATACCAGACTAGAACACGTGAACACTCGGAGATATCAACGGCCAGCAATAGCGCACATACCCGCAGTGCGGTGCGAATTTTCGCCGTCAAGGTCGCAAATCCGGCGATGTGAGATTTCACCAGGGAGGTCTGGCTCTCTGTAAAGTGTTGCAGGGAAACAGGGTTATTTGCCAAATCACGGCTAAGGCGATCCAAGTGGGACATTGAGACGTCCAGGTCATTGAGAAGTATGATGAAGGCCGCCCGGTTCTCCCTTTCTATCTTGTCTGCGCGCATGGTCTGTCCTGTCTGTCCTGAGTTGCGATACACGTCGTCCAGTTTCTTTTTTATGACGGCAACGTATTCCTTGTCCATGACATCCCGTAGCTGCTCCATGACCATCTCCACGGTTTTGACGGAACCAGTCGACAATAACCGCGATAGAACAAGCTTCAGAAGGTAGAAAACGTCGTCGGGAGCCGTTGTGATCACAGGCATTTGGGAAGTGTCTGGGCTGGATAGTCTCTGGGCCCGGTCGATCGTTGTCCTGAAGTACCATACTTCGAGGGGGGTATATTTGGTCTTCAGGATCTCCTCAAACATGTGCTGAGACGAGGTTGCCTCGAGAAGATGGAATTCATCGGTCCGGGAAACCTCGGGACCCTCACTTTTATCTCCGGTGTCCTAGGCAAAGAATCAGGTCAGGTTGGTCGGATAGTGTTCTCTAATCGCACTCGAAGGTTCTCTGAGACGAATTTCTTGAACAGATTCCAACGTCCTGTCATGCCAGCTACTTCAGAAACTACCTTGTCGATATCACGAGGATCTAGAGACTCTTCATCCATTGTGACTGGCGGCTGTCGACGACTAGAGGAAGTCATTGGTATGGGGGGATTCTCTGCAATATCAGACAGCTTCCCCATGATGAGCGTCGAAAATCGCAGGCTGTGAGAGACTTACTTTGCGCTGCAATGAACGCTCCTCTTCCCAGTTTTCGATTAACCCTTTCACTACACGATCGCATTCTTCCAAGAGTCGTTCCACAACTCGCTGCATCTTACCCTGACCGTAATATTTTTCCACGACGGGCTGATGTTGATCAACTATGAGCGCGATACTCTCAAAGAGAGCGGTCAAAGCAGTGATGTAATAAAGCGGCGATGAACCTAAAACCAAAGGAATCAGAGACCTTCCACATCACAGCATGGATTCCATACTTTTGGCGGAAGCTGGGGCTCGAACGCGAACCAGATCAACAACAAAAGCCGCATAGGCTTGCAACCCTTCTTCTTCCCATCCTATCTCAGGGAAAAGCTTGAAAAAGCGACTAGTCGTTGCAGAATCCCGCGACCTCGATGCTTGTTCAAACTGTTGACGGAAGACAGCGAGTAGATGTTCTCGAGCAGCTTGTAATGTTTGAGCCGGAGGAAGGTGACTTTCAACGGTAGGCTATCCTGAATCCATGAGAAGAGCAGAGTGGGAGTGATGATACAGGGACTGACGACAGCGGTCTCAGCGAACGATCCACAGATGACATGTTCGGGTAACGACATGGCCCGCGCACAGTGTCTTGTTGCTGATTCCCAGTCCTGATTATCTATCGCAGATTGAAGCGCGGACAAGGATGTCTTCCTCAGATCTGTCTTAAGAACAACACCATCAAGGGAAATGGAGACGGCCCACCCTCAGCTCCATAACCTGTGAAACACGATCCCCCGCCTCACGGACGCGTCTCATCTCTTCATCCAACGACTGGACGCGTCCTCCTACACGTTCTGCAGTCTTCGCAGTCGCGGAAACCGTGGCCGAAAGTGATAATGCATCGCGTTGGAGGACATCAAGCCTGGGAACTAGAACTTGGAGACGGTTCAAGGAAGCGACAATAGGTTCGCGCGAAGATAGCAGTTCTGTCAAAGAGTTGGACAGTTTTGCTTCCTCCGATTGAAACTCGGAGAGTGTGGACAGGACATCCGCCAGATTAGTGAGTGCACGGGGAGACCTCATGATGTTTGGTATTGTTTGTCCTTCCTCATTTCCGCTTCGCACACATATGGCAAGAGGTACGATATCACTCCTCTGGTCGAGCCACGTTCAAACCTCCTGTGCTCAGGCCATCCGAACCCATTCAGTTTCCTGATTCTTGCCACTGTTTCCTTTGGTGCTTTTGCTCTAGTCCTTCGTAAACGCGAGCAGATCGCACCCGTTGCAGTGCAAGAGCATCGGAATAGCCCGACGCCTTCATCGACCTCCAAATAGTAGGCAGCTACATCATGCCCGCAATCCTCGACAAGATCGCAGACGCTCTGCATCTTAAACACCCCCAGAGCCCCACCTTCAATCAGGAACAAATCACCGTCATCTTCGTGCTCGGCGGTCCCGGAGCAGGTCGGCGTTCACCGCTTATTCTGTGCACAAAGTTTGATGAACTGATCAGGGAAGGGGACCCAGTGCAGTAAACTCGTTCAGGAGTTCGGTTTCTGCCACCTCTCTGGTGTGTTTAGAAGCTCAAGGCAAATCCCTCCTGACATTTGGTAGCCGGAGATCTCCTGCGGGCTGAGCAACATCGCGAAGGCTCGGAGTTCGGACAGTTGATTCAGACCTGCATCAAGGAGGGCAGCATCGTTCCCATGGAAGTCACCGTCAAACTGTTGCAGAATGCCATGCAAGCTGCTCTCGCTGAAGCACGAACGGGCGAAGGATGGATCAACGGCAAGGGAAGATTTCTTATTGACGGCTTCCCGCGCAAAATGGACCAAGCCGTCAAGTTCGAAGAAGACGTGTGTGCCCAGTGCTATGCCGATGGTTATAAGACTCAATTCTATCTAGGTGTGCCCTGCTACTGCTGTGCTTTTTTTCAGCACTACGGAGGAAGTTATGTTGGAGCGTTTGCTCGAACGTGGCAAAACCTCTGGCCGGGAAGATGACAACGCAGAAAGCATCAAAAAGCGCTTCAGTACGTGACCAGCTCTGTTGTAGTTGGCTCCCCCCTTAAGCATCCATCATTTAGGAACTTACACTGAAACCACCATGCCTGTGATCAAGCATTATGAAGCCTTGGGCAAGGTCGCTGAGGTTCGTGGTTCTAGTCAGATATGTTCTCTGTCTGAACCAGTTGCAGATCGATAGCAGCCCTGCCGTTGATGTTGTGTACACGAGGGCTCAGAGTGCAGTCACGAACATTCTGAGCAAATAATACATATATATAGATGATAGATTCGATTTTTTCTACTTTCACACGCATTTCAATCCAGAAATTACACATGCAGCAAAAAGCCGGTTTTCTCTTGAGGTGCCACCGCCGAGCAGACCGCCCTTCCTTCCTTTTCGATGGTCGAGAGAGCACCATCGGTACAGAGGAGGTGGGCATCTTCGTCCTGATCATCCTGGAAGGGGCTGAGCTCGTCATCCAAGCGTGGCTGTGTTGGGTGGACTAACCGGAACCCATTCCCATCCACCACATCGAATGTATTCGATGACAGTTGGGCCATCTCCCTCGATAGTGGCTTCCCCTTTCTCGTTGTATCTCAGATCAATGTGAGAGCCGCCTTGGTATGCTCCACCGAAGACCGGCCCAAGAATCGAAACGAAGGCAGCTCGAGCTTCTGGGGTATCTGCGGAAAACACTGGAGACCGCATAGGTCGAAGGATGACCACGTCACAGACGGCCTCAGACGCTGGGATTTTGGACGCCAAAGGCGTGATCATGAACGCAGGCTCCAGTCGATCTGACAAAACATGAGTTGCAGATGGCAGGGCATGAAGAAAATACGTGCCGACATTCACTGTGGCCAGAAAGTAGGAGAATGGACCTTCCATTTCAACAATAGTGTCGTCATCAGGATCGGACTCTGGGTGAGCGACGAAAGATTTGACTTCAGGGTCATAGATTTGGACGACGTCGGCCCCCGGTGCAGGCAGAAGTTTCACGGAACTCTGATACCAAATCGGACAGTTTTTCTGTGCAGCGACCTTGACACTCTTCAGCTAATTGTAGTACTGTGAGTCTGCGGACCAATCCACACCTTGAACCTTTCAATTCCAGGCATTTCAGCCCGAAGCTCCTCCGAGTCGCGCAGAATCGCTGCATGAAGTGATGTTGAAACTACAACCGCAGAAATGCGTGCTGAAATGGAGGCATGACCTTAGCAATGGTGACGAGGCAATATGTGCACGCCCACCTTGCGGAGCTTTACGAGCTGCAGGCGGAGACGAAAGCGTTGTGATAGCCAAATTCAAAGGGATCGGCACGGAGCCAGCAATGAATGCATGCAGAGATTGGAGTCGATAATCCAGGCTGGACCCATCGGCGTTGGACTGGGGTGGGAAGAAACTCGAAAACAGTGCATTGGCCGTTCCAAGAGGAATCAAAACCAGGACAACTCTGTGTTTCGAGTCCGCCCTGGACCCAGAGAATTGAGCTGCAGCGAGAGATGTGATACATTCGTTGAGGGTACTGTCGCCAGAGCCCAAGATCACCACCACGTCCCCATCATGAGCGCGTATGAAATCGACGAGAATCTCTCCCGCATGACCAGGGTGTTCTGTTCCGACGACCTTATCAACTGTCTTTCCGTGGCTTGCGAGTAAAGGTAGGACATGGTCCTCGAAAAAGCTCTGTGATTCTATCAGCGGTACGTTCAGTCAGCACAAGTTCAATTTACCTTCGCCGTGCCGGCTCCTGCAGCAGGATTGTAGATCGCTAGAATGGTCATGATCTACAGAATGATGGTTCAAGTCTGAAGCTTCGGAAAACTTGCAAAGGGTATGCGAAGGGTATCAGAGCGAGATAGTCGAATGATAATGGCAAGCTCGATATCGTTGACGTCATGAACCTGCCTAATGTCAATCTCAAAGGCCATCAAGCATCACTTTGTGGGGTAAACAAAGTTACATCCTACATTAGGAGATCGATAATCATTTGCCATCCATACTCAACTCACTATGTCTCGTCTCGTTCCAGGCAGATTTCCAGTCCCAGGTGTTTCTCCGATCGCGGATAAGATTCGAGAACGGCGCGGGGCTCGGGGGCTTACCCCGTTGGACGGCACTCTGCTCCATGTACCTCCCGTCGCCGAGGGATGGAATTCGTTGCTCGGAGCGATCCGCACCAAAGGCGCTCTTCCGGGGGACGTGCGAGAGCTTATGATCCTTCGCGTTGCGGCCATCAATCATGCGGCGTTTGAATGGATTCATCACGAACACGTCGGTCGTTCGCATGGGCTCTCGACGACCCAACTCTGGGCCATCCGGGATATTTCTGCTCTACCTCCTGCCGGCATATTGTCGCCTTTTCAAGCCGCGGCACTGGCATTTGCAGAGCACAGCACTGCATCTGTGCGTGTCCCAGCGGAGGTGACGACGAAGCTGCAAGAACAGCTGGAGCCCCTATCCTCCTCGGCGTCACAGGTCGAGGATCTTCTGGTCGAGGCCGCTGCGGTGGTCGCGACGTACAACATGGTCTCTCGTTTCCTCGTCTCTCTCGATGTTGCTGGTATGTCTGACAGTGCGGTTCCATGGCCTGTCGATCGCACAGAGGTGGGAGACCCGCCACGCAAGTTGAATGCTTTGCTGATCCATTCATGCACAGCACAAGATCGCAATAGACAAGGAAGGAGGCCACCTGCACGCTGTCACACTTGTTACTCACGACGATGCCCCTTGGATTGTTTTCGCCAACTCATTGCTCACGGACGAGTCTATGTGGGACTGGTTCGTTCCATACATCTTGGCACCGCAAGGAAGCACCTCGTGGCCCTTCCAGGGAACTTACAACCTTCTGCTTCATGCTCAGCGTGGCCACGGTCGTTCCTCCACCCCGGCTTCCTGCACGATCCCCATTCTCGCGCACGACATCGCCCTGCTTATCAACGCACTCATTCCTGCCAAGAAAGTGAAAAGCGTAATTGGTGTATCGCAAGGTGGCGCCGCGACCCTGGCATTTGGTGCCCTGTATCCCGACCTAACTTCCAGTGCTATCGCCTGTGACACCGGGCCTCGCACTGCTCCGGGCAATGCTGCTGCGTGGCAGGAGCGGGTCGCGCTATCCAAGACGCAAGGCATATCAGCGCTTGCTTCCGTGACGGTGGATCGCTGGTTCCCAATCCCGTCGCCGTGCGGAAAAGATGGATCGCGGGGTCCCCGGCGAGAAGCGGTCAAGGCTATGATCGAAGCCACGAGCATTCCTGGGTTCGAGCTTGGCGCTGGTGCGCTGAGCTCGTATGATCTGCTCAAAACCCTCGCAGAGGACGGTGTTGACCTACTGACCTCCGGACAATCAGTCAAGACACTGCTTGTCGCAGGTGATTTGGATGGAGGAGGCAAGGTGGGAGCCGGCATGAAATCGTTGCGAGACCAATGGAAAGCCACGACACCGGCTGCCCAAGTCGACTATGCGGAAATCCCAGGCGCGGGACACTTGCCTATGATTGACGAAACCGAAAAGTTTTGGGCAGCAGTTGGGCCGTTTTTGAGCACCGTTTAGATTTACTGGTGTGATCCTACAACCTTGAAATGCCCTTAGATCTAGAAATTAGAGATGGCTATCGCCACATGTCAATCTGTATGATTCAATCGTCAAGTTGTTTGTCCCAGATTGGGTTGTGAGCTCAGAACTCAACCATGGCACCCGCTTTCAGGCCGTTCAGACTTGCGCTCATTCAACTAGGGAATGTCACCAGCGTCAAGGCTGACAATCTCAGCCATGCTCGCGAGATGATCCTCAACGCAGCATCGCACGCCAAGAAGCCGGATCTGATAGTGCTACCCGAATGCTTCAACTCGCCGTATGGCCATGTGCACTTCCCAGTCTACGCTGAAAGGATCGGATTCACCGCTGGTAAACCCTACGACGTCTCTGCCTCTGAGAGCGACAGTACGTGCAAGGCCCAATCTGATCATTGCGTTTCGTAGTGTCAATCAACAATACCTAGGCGTCAAGATGCTGTCGAACACGGCGAAAGAAACCTCGACATGGATCGTTGGAGGTATTACCCTCGATGTCGAGGGGGCCAACGGCACCAGGTGATCCTCCTCCCTAGGCTCTATTCCTGAACGAGACGGGGAGAAATTGTACAACACCTGCACTGTTTACAATCCCGCAGGTAGGGGGGCGCAGATCTCTCCAGTGCACCGAATTCAACGATCATGTCAGGGGACCTGGTCGCTATGCACCGGAAGGTTCATCTGTTTGACATCGATATTCCTGGTAAAATCACGTTCAAGGTGGGAGATTGGCCACTCTTCAAAAAATCATAGTAATCATGGCACCGAGTCTGTTCAGGAAAGCGAGACTCTCAGCCCAGGAACGACTACGAATTTGTTTGACACAGGTAGTAAACATTCGAACCTTCTCGCGTCTTTTGCTGTGAGCTTGGATTAGAATTTGCTCGGATCGGCCTTGGCATTTGTTACGACGTTCGGTTTCCCGAGCTTTCGATGATTGCTGCCCGTCAAGGTACATCCTTCCCTCGACCCGGATTCCCTCTGACCTGACCTGACCTATAGGGGCGCACATACTCATCTATCCTGGCGCCTTCAACATGACGACTGGTCCGCTTCATTGGTCGTTGCTGCAGCGTTCCCGGTATTGTGCTGTTACTGTCATTGACCGATCCCCTTTTGACGTCTCAGTGCTGTCGACAATCAAGTTTTCTTTGCTATGTGTAGCCCAGCCAGAGATCTGACGGCTGCCTACCATGCTGTATGTTCATTTTTTTTTTGGCAATACTGAATCGTTCCTGACTGGTGCATTTCCAGTGGGGTCACTCGATGGTCGTCGATCCCATGTCTGTATTTATGTTCTGAGCCGTATCTCTTCCCTAAAACCTCTCTAGGGCCAACGTTTTGGTCGAAGCTGAGGAGAAGCAAGACATTATCTATGCAGACATCGGTACGTTTCTGCGCAAAACTCATTAAAATGTTATCTAATCATAACAGACCCTACTTTGCTGCAAAATGCGCGAGCAGGAATCCCAGTCACTGTGCAAAGGAGATTCGATGTCTATCCCGATGTAAGTAGTTCAGAAAAGTAGAAATATCTACGGAGGTCACTTTGTAAGTGAGCAATCAATAGTTTGGAAGACCCAGGAAAACGCTGGAAGCTACTAGAACTTGAGCGTTGATTACGTACATCGACCGGTGTCATCTTATAGCTGTGTGTGCGATTACTGACCAACTCAGTATTGCTTCTTTCCCTCTCCCTCATCATGGTCAGAGAAACGTTGGATCCTTTCCTTTCTGAACCCCATCGCCGTCTTGACTTTCTCCTCTAGCAAATTTTATGACCTCCTCGAAGTCCCCCCGACGGCCTCTGAATCTGATCTCAAAAAGGCGTATCGTAAAAAGTCATTTTGCTCCTTTTCTTGTGTGCTTCGACTCAATACCTGTCTCCAGAGCCCTGCGCCTTCATCCCGACAAGGGCGGCGATCCCGAACTCTTCAAAGAGGTAACTCACGCGTGTGTACTTGCTTGTTTAGTCGTCCACCGGTCCATCCTGAAATCATGCTAGATACGAAATACTATCCGATCCAGACAAGCGGAACGTCTATGATGCCCGAGGAGAGGCAGGGCTGTCTGAGCAAGGCGGCATGGGTGGAATGGATCCTCAAGTACGTCCGCCCATGACACTAACTCATTTTTTCATATCTGACCTCGTTTTCCACAGGACCTCTTTAGTCAGCTCTTTGGAGGTGGCGGCGGCTTCGGTGGTGGAGGAGGATTCTTTGGCGGTGGCGGGCCGTCACGCAACGGACCTCGCAAGACGAAGGATCTTGTCCATCGCGTCCACGTCACTCTGGAAGAACTGTACAAAGGCAAGACCACTAAACTGGCTCTCACACGGAACCGCATCTGTACGAAGTGCAAGGGAAAGGGTGGCAAAGAAGGCGCAGTCCGCACTTGCAACACCTGTAACGGCCGTGGTGTCAAGGTCACTCTGCGCCAGATGGGTCCGATGATCCAGCAAATGCAGTCCAATTGTGATGAATGCTCTGGCACCGGAGAGATCATCAACGCGAAGGACCGTTGTGTACAGTGCAAGGGCAAGAAGGTCCTCCCGGAGAAGAAGGTCCTCGAAGTGCATATCGACAAGGGCATGAAAGGTGGCCAGCATGTCACTTTCCACGGAGAAAGTGATGAAGCACCAACGGCCGAACCTGGAGATGTTATTATCGTGATCGAGGAGAAACCACACGAACGCTTCAAGCGACAAGACTCAGATTTGATCACCGACGTAGAGCTGGATATGTTGACAGCCTTGGCTGGTGGGGCGTTTTCGATAAAGCATCTGGACGACCGCGCACTCCTTGTCAAGCTTGAGCCTGGGGAGGTCATCAAGAATGGTATGTCGCGTTTTTATCTGTTGTCCTGACATCATTTGAACGCCGTGTAGGCGACTTGAAAGTCATCCATGGTCAAGGCATGCCTGCCCAGCGTCATCACGATCCGGGAGACTTGTATGTCCGCCTCAGTGTGCGCTTTCCCGAAAGCATCGATGTCTCTGCTATTCCCCTGCTCGAACAAGCCCTTCCGCCAAGAAATCCGGTAGAACAATTCCCGAAGAACATCGTAGTGGACGAGGTCACTCTAGACGAAGCCGATACTCGATCTCGGGGACCATTGCGGGACGATTCGATGGATGAGGACACCGAGGAGCCGCGTGTCCAATGTGCTAATCAGTAAACTCTGCTTTGCGTCGCCGTGTTCCACATTTAGAGTTGTATTTTGTTGTCTATATACAATACACATCGCATCCACTGTACCCCATGTCTACCTCAACAGTCCCAACCAGTCTAGGAGGCGCGTTATGGCCAACCTAGGAGTGTGCTCAGACTTCCCACTCACCTCGGGATTTGCTTGGAAATCTTTGTATAGCCGGCGGTTGAAGAAACTGACTTCCGTCTCATTTTCTGGGAACTGGTTCAGTTCCATTGGACTTTCCGGATAAGACAACGAAACCATCACCAAACCCGAGATCAGCTAGCGTTCTACTGTCGTCGTCATAAATCCAATCATCGTGGTCCAAATTGATGATTAGGTTGGTGGTCTGCGGAGATGAGGGTCTTTCCCTCGAGATCGGAAACTCCGTCTCACCTTGGCTCCATGCGCCCGAGTGTACAGCTTCAACGTATCTGCTGATAGTCTAACAATACGGTTCACTTACACACGCGATCGGACGAACCTAGGATTTCATTTCGATATGGCTTCCATCCTGGTTGAGTCCCAACCGCTGAACAGGATGGTGCTCGATGTCTTGTAATCCAGTGCAAGGCAAGGGCGTTTTACCTGACCGTGCCTTCTCCTTCAGGGCACCAATTGTGGTGGTTTCAAGGTTAACGTTATGGAGAACGAGACTCTTTTCCGTCCGGTATGTAAAGGATTTTATGACCCGAATCGTAAGAGTGGCTGAAGTTTTCGGAAGGGCTTGATTGGAGAGCTGTTCCATCATGGCCGTGGAAGACAGGAATGACACCGAATGTACACAGCCACCCTGTAGCGCCCAAGGAGTGATCGGGATCCGGCTATCGTTCACACTGCTTCCTCATACTTCTCTTCCTGCTTGCATCCTTGCTCACTCAACCTTTTTGGCTTTAACAGCCGTCCCTCCTTGTCTTTCTCTGGGACTATTGACTTGTGAACTCTGAAACTACGCTCGTTCTAATAGCCTCTCCCACGATGTCTGTAGCGAGTGGTTCGGACGTGGCCTCCCAACTTGAAGTCGCCAGCGACATGGAAGTTCCAAAGTCCCCCGTGTACGGCAACGACTCCCAGCATTCGTTACGCTCCCGTTCCAAGCGTTCACTTCATGTTCATCATCCCATCGCCCCACCTCTCGGTCGTCCTATCGACGTATTCCGGCGAACAGTGCAGAAAGTCATCGCCATGCAGAGGAGTACCACCATTCTCGCGTCAGCAGGAGCCGGGGCAGAGCCAGGAATAGACCCCAGACGTGCTTCCATGGAAGTACAATACCGTTCTGTGCACAAAGACTGTACCATTGAGGTTGTGGACTACTCCGTTGTCTCTGCCAATTTCTACAAGATGAAGAATGCGGAATTCGTTGACTGGATCGGTCGGTCGAAACGGCCTCATTGGGTCAAAGTTCGATGGATCCATGTATCAGGCCTGAGCTGGGACGTTATCAAGGCCTTGTCGCTCAAGCATGGTGCGTAAATACTCGTTTTGGACTGGACCACATAGAACGACCTTGGTTTCTAGAGCTGCATCCCTTGGCCCTTGAAGACGTTCTCCATACTCGCCCCGAGAATTTGTCGAAAGCCGAGTACTTTCTCAAGCATTTGTTCCTTCGAATTCTCATTCACGAGGTGGAAGACGAAAATACCAAGCGGCCTGATGAATTCACTTCTGATCTTTCAGCCCCGTACTCGAAAAATGTAGGGAATACTGGATCCTAGGTTTCAGTGTTGCTGATTCAGTAGCAGGCGGTCAATGAGCGGCAAATCGAACAGGCCAAGATTGATGCTCTCAAGCAGGGTGTGATCAAAGTTGCCGCCAATCCTTTGTTCATATTTCTGCTTCGAGACGGCACGTGCCTCTGCATCGGGTACAATTCGTTGAACTTATGGGATGATTAGGTACTGTGATATCGATCGCACAAAACTCTCCTGCAGATCTCACCCTTCCCATCGTGGAACGGCTGAGAAGAACGGATACTATCCTCCGTTCTTCCTCTGACCCGAGCTTGCTCGTGCAGAGCCTGATCAGTCTCAGTAAGTCTGCGAAGATGTCGTCTGTGTTCTCAAGAACTGATGGGCCTAGTCGTGGACAAGGCTGTGCAGGTCATCGACGCGTACCATGACCAAATCTCAGAGTTGGAACGCCAAATTCTGATCAAGCCGAAACCTAACACCGTGCGAAAACGTGAGCTACCAGCCCGCTGAGTGCCGAGTCGCTGAAACAAGCTTCGAGTCCACATCGTATCTGGAGATTTGGTGCTTCACAAACGAACTCTGGACCCCATTAAGACGCTCGTCTATGGCTTACGACGATACGATGTTGACCGTTGTGCTGCTCTTGTCGACGAATCGGATCCACGCATGAAGGGCAAACCGATCGTCGGCTTCATGAGCCACAAGAGCAAGATTTATCTGGCTGATGTCTACGACCACACGGAATACATCCTCAGCACCCTCGATATGATTTCTGGCATCGGAGACAGTCTCACCGACTACAGCTTCAACGTGCGTGTGTGAAATTTCGTACATTGGGGGGCGGCTCAACTCTCGCAGATGGCCTCGTACTCCATGAACGACAGCATGTCAGTGGATCAATCTTTCTCATTGGCCGTTCTGACGCGCATCCAGGCGACTGCTGACAATGATCACCATCATCTGTCTTCCCCTCACCTTTGTTTCAGGCTACTTCGGAATGAACTTCACCAACAGTGGTTGGATCTTGAATCCAAATCAGTCCGACTCTCTGTGGGTTCTCTCCGGTCATGTTTATCCTTGGCTTATCCTCGGAAGGTTCTGGATTATCTCCCTGCCTTCAGTGGCAGTCATATCCACTCTGTTCATCATTCCAGACATCAAGAGGATGATTGGGTATTTCAGAACTCGGAAGCTGCTTCACCTCGCTGCCAGGGTCTGTTGTGTGTTTGTGTGAAGATGCTCCGTGTTTCTGACTCTGCTCCAGCCTATTGACTGAGGGACTGACCTGGTCACGATTAACTGTGCTGTGATCTTCGGGTGGACGGTGGATGGAAAGGCTTATATATATATTCTACATTTCACGTGGCTTACATGCTTCCGAGATTAACCCGCCTCCAGCCATGTGCTGGGCGTTCGAAGATGATATTTAATTTGAGTGCCAACCTACTGATCAAGGCCTTGTTCGCTCCCTCTGACCTTGACCATGGATGAATCCCGTTCTTTTTTGGCTGCCGACATTACGACGCTGATCCAGCGATTGACGATCGATGAAAAGATCGCTTTGTTGGGGGCACCAAACTTTTGGAATACGACAGCTGTTCCTCGCTTGGGTATACCGAGCATTCGAATGTCCGATGGTCCAAATGGGGTCAGCATCTCCCGTGTATAGTCGAGCAACACTTGACGTGGGGAGGCCAGGTTCGCGGATCGTCTCATTTCGTTGGGCAGCCCAGTGTTTGTCTGCCAGTAAGTGCTGCCCCCCTCTCGCTCTGCAATGAACAATTCTCGCTGTGCAGTGTGCCACGGGCTTGGCCTCTACATTCGATGTCCCGCTGATCCACGATGTCGGCCGCTTTCTTGGTGAAGAAGCCAAGTCCAAGTCGTCCGTAGTCTTGCTTGCGCCGACTTGCAATATCCAGCGGTCACCGCTTGGAGGCAGATCGTTCGAGTCGTTTTCAGAGGACCCTTACTTGTCAGGTAGGCTGTCAAGTGTAATCGCTCGAGCACGCATCGGATCGTTCATCCACTCAGGAACGTTGGCGGCATCATATGTGAATGGTCTGCAGTCGGGAGGTGTCTCAGCCAGTCAGTCACGGGATGTCTCTGATCATGCACCTGCGGTCGCTGAGGCTGCGTAGCCATCAAGCACTTCGTGGCCAATGACCAAGAACATGAGGTGGGTCTGCCCGTCTGCGCTGAGCTGGGCGAGATACCAACAAAATCAAGCGCACCGCAGCCGATTCCGTCATCTCTGAGAGAGCGCTCCGTGAAATCTACCTCTATCCGTCCGTCCATCTTGCTCGTCCGGATCTGATCATGCAAGTAACACCCCATGGAGATTTATGCTCGCACAGAAGTTGGCAGGGCCAGGTAAGAGAGAGACCAGCCCTATGTTCTTTCCATTGATCAGACTGTTCGGACATGCAGGAGCTTACATGACATCGTGAGCTTGTTGATGATCATGTGATCGAGCTGCGCGACAGCTCAACTTGGGCAGATACGGGCGGATTGATGGGGTACATTGCTCCGAAAACAGGGCGCTATTGCAAGGGATACTCCGAAACGAATGGGGGTTCCGTGGCTTGGTCATTAGTGATTGGTATGGAACATACGGTGTTGACGAAGCCCTCAATGCGGGCTTGGACCTGGAGATGCCTGGGCCTCCCCGATGGAGGACACCGCTTCTTACGAACCATGTCTTGACTGCACAGAAGCTTTCCCTGACCACCCTCAACGCCCGAGTGGCCAACTTGCTGTCGTTTGTCCAGGCACAGGCTCGCAGCAACCCGGACGTCGTGTATGGAGACGGGGCAGAGCTGACAAGAGACTCACCGGAAGGGAGAGCATTTTGCAGGAAACTCGCTGCCGATGCGGTCGTGCTATTGAAAAATGATGGTGATCTTTTGCCGCTCTCTTCCAGCAAGATCAAGAGCCTAGCGATCATGGGTCCGAATGCCAAGCTACAGATCATCTCGGGTGGCGGTTCTGCAGCGTTGAAGCCCAATTACGCAATCTCCCCGTTCGCAGGTCTGGTCAGTGCTGCGCCCGACGAGGTTCAGATCAAATACACGGTGGGATCCCAAGGCAAGTCGCGCGTCCCCGCGCGATATTAGGCTCATTGCAATACAGCTGACAAATACTTGCCTACTCTCGAGCAAAAGTTGATCGCGCCGTCTGGTCAGCAGGGGTGGCTTTGCACATTCTATAACCATGCTCTCGATGGGAGTCTGGCCCAGCCCGTCGCTACATTCGTCTTGAACGACACACGCGTCAAATTGGTCGACTTTCTGCCACCTGGATTGACACCTACATGGTCAATCAAATTAGAAGGACGATTGACTGTGGAAGAGAGCGGTCCTTTTGAATTGGGGCTCACTGTTGCCGGCCGGGCCAAACTTTGGGTGAACGGGGAAATGACCATCGACAACTGGACGAAACAAACGCCAGGAGACTTCTTTTATGGACAGGTAGCCTGAACTTGAATGTCTTACGCTCGTCAACTGATCATGACGGGTCCAAGGGAAGTGTCGAGGAGCGAGAGATTGTTCAGCTGACCGCGAATGCTGGGGTGGACATTCTCGTCGAATACACCAACACGTCTCCTCCTCGGGAGAACGACGAGGTTGGATCGCAGCCTGCTTTGATGCGCGGTGTCGTGCGTCACTTACCACAAATGCACGCGCTTGAGCTGGAACGTTCTTCACAGCGCTTGGGAGGCCGGGAGAAGATCGATGAAGACGCTGCGATCGCTGAGGCAATCACTTTGGCAGAGGAATGCGATGCTGTGGTCGTCGTCGCAGGTCTGACACCGGAGTGGGAGAGCGAAGGATTCGATAGACCGTCTCTGACGTTGCCTGGAAGGCAAGACGAGGTACGAAAAATTCAGCCTTCGCCGTGAGGCTCGCCGACTTTTTCGAGACAGCTTATTGCGAAAGTATCCCTGGTCAACAAAAATACCATTGTGTGCATACAAGCTGGTTCTGCCACTTCGATGCCGTGGGTTGGTGACGTCCGCGCGATTGTTCAGGCCTGGTATCTTGGCAATGAAGCAGGTGTGTCATCAACTTTGTTTTCAAGAATTGAACCGTTGAGTCTTTTCAGGCAATGCAATCGCAGATGTGCTCTGGGGCAAAGTTAGAAGATGTCACGCGCGAGGGCAGAAGACACTGACCTCATCCCCAGGTAAATCCATCAGGCAAGCTGCCGATCACGTTCCCTGTCAAAGAGCAAGACAGCCCAGCGTATCTCAACACTAAAAGTGAAAACGGAAAAATCTATTATCGCGAAGACTTGTTCGTCGGCTACAAGCACTATCGGGCCAGAGCAGTGGAACCCCTGTTTCCTTTTGGGTGGGTGCTTCGCGATTTCTTTCCCCTCCCCGAACCTAGACCGCCGTTGATCGTGGTTCAGAGCTGGCTTGTCGTATACCACTTTCTCCTTGTCCCATCTCGCTATTTCGCCGATCAGACAGAGAAGAAACGAAATCGAATTCAATGTTTCTGTGACGGTGACCAACACCGGACTCACGCCCGGATCGCAGGTCGCGATGGTCTTTATTAGCTACCCTGATATCGGGCTGGTTACTCCAGAGTACCAACTGAAAGGGTTTGCCAAGGCCAAACATCTGCAAGCCGGAGCATCACAAAGACTGGACATCCTGCTCGACCGCTACGCGCTTGCCTTCTGGGACACATTGACTCATTCGTGGAGCGTGAAACCGGGCAGATACACCATTTCTGTGGGCACCTCGGCGGTCGACTTGGAGTTGCAGGACGCGTTGGACCTCCAGAGTGGTTGTTCATGGCAGGAATTGTAGTACAAATCACAGCTGTTCTTCTCCCACCTTCCATATCGACAAACCGCCTCCTCCTCCAATCGCCACGATGCCGCCCGTTTTCCAACTGACATCTAAGATCTTCTTGTCCTCCCAAGCCTTGAAACTTGCAACTGGTGTTGCCCCCTTGACACTGCGGAGATCCCATATGCGCGCAACGCCGTCGTAAGCTCCGCTTAGGACTTGGTGCGGATGGCTGGGTGCCGACACGACGCATGAAGGAGTGGTCGGATGCGTCAGAGTCAGAGACGCGATGGATTGCGTCTCTCGACAATCGTACTGGGTTATCGTTCGATCGGTCGACGCCGCGAGCACAGTTCTGGGGGAAAACGCAGGCCCAGAGCACATGGACACAAATGGGCGTTCCGACAAAGTCTGCAGCATGTTTAACTACCAATCAGTGGCAAGAAGCATAGTTCTCACCAGTGTATTCGTTGAGACTCCGTGCTCGAGATCCCAAGATCGCACAGTCGAATCCAATCCGCAACTGATGGCGCCTTCGCCTTCTGACGCGAAAATAACGGCAGAGACCCGGGCAGTATGTGATTTCAGCACCATCAGCGGGGCCTTGCGCTTGGGCCTCTCCTCTTGCACCTTTCTCCTTTTCTTGCGATCGCCAGTAGCAGCTTCGGGAACCTCGTCCTCGTCTGGAATTCGAGTATCCCATAGACCGACGAGGCTGTCCCAAGACGCTGTCAGCAGCTGTGTTCCAGATAGATTACAAGTGATCGCTGAAAGAGGTGCCGTGTGGAGATGTAAGGATGCTAAGCGTTTGGTGTTCTCTGGTGTGCCGAAAGAAACTTCGTTTAGTTGAGCAGTGAGGTCATGCGAAGCAGTAGCAATTATGTGACTTCCGGAGGAGGTCGAGGAAACAGCGCAGAAGGCTGTGATTGGTGCAGCATGAACTGGGCTGCTCCATGTTTGCGTCTGAGAATAGTCGAATGCGCGCAGACTGCCATCGTAGGACGCGGTTACAAACAGCCTGTGTGAGAGCACTGAGATGGAGACCGTTGATGTTGAACACGTACGCACTGCTCAAATCGACAAGAGACGGAAGACACCCAATCATCATGGGGCAGGTCAGATATTTTCTGCGGTGGTAAAACAGATTCTATATACTCGATCTCCAGTGTTTCTTCCTCTCCGACTCCATTCTGAGAGCACCAGTCACTTAACCTCGTTTTCAAGATATCACCGTGCAGTAGAAAGTCGAAGGGAATCGGTTGCGCTAACGCGAGAGCCTTGTTGATGAGTTGAGACAACTGGTAGCGAGACCATGTTGAAGGAATCATAAACTTTTGTGGTGGAAGTGGATAAGGTGTCTGTGTAGTGAATACGGCAGGGTGAGAGGGGGCCATGGTCGCACCCAGATGGAATCGAGACGAGATGTATGGGATTCAATTCCAAAAAATCTAGGCAGGCACAGCCACGACACCAAATAGCCCACATCCACATCAGATGTGTCAGTGACCTGGGAGGAATGCCGACCTGGCGCCACGCGTTTTGAACGCGGCGCCCCAAGAGCGCCTCTAGAAGCCGGCTGTACCTTAGCCATGGCCGACATGTCTAACAGGCCAGACGGGTCGGACACGACGGCACAAGCCCTTGTACAACTGGTCCCAGTGACGTCAGACTATCACGACCATTGGCAAGCCATTTCTCACATCTCGAATCAAGTTGTGCTGTATAATCCAACCTCTCATGCGCTCACAATACAACACTCCTCGCGAGAAGCGTTGCACATCTCTGCCTCGGCCTGTCCATACTGCAAACGGCCGCTTCCAGACGATGTCGAATTACCGGAGGAGACTCTTAGCGAGGATGGGTCAACATTCAGAGCGCACAACTATTTCCAGCTCCTCGCAGTCGCAAATGAGACGTCTTCCCGGCCATCTACTCCGACTTTACATGGTCGCGAAGCAAGACCAAACGCCTTTGCATCAGAGACCATGGCAGAAGGCTATTTCAAGGCTTTCTTCCAGGAAGAGTGTAGGCTGGGAATGGGCGCTTCTGGGACAGTGTATCTCTGCCAGGTTTGTGCATATGTGTGGCTGTCGATCCTTATGCTGATTAGTAAAAGCACGTTTTGGACGGGAACCCGCTCGGTACTTCACCCATCGCGGTTATTAGACTGTAGATGACACAGCCCAGGACATTTCGCTGTGAAGAAGATCGCAGTTGGAGAGTCTCACTCGTATCTGCTCAACATCCTCAAAGAAGTTCGGCTGTTGGAGCAGCTGCAGCATCCCAACATCATAAGCTATCAGTGCGTACCCGTGCAAAGGAGAAGCCGTTGTCAGCTCTGAACTTCATCAGTCACGCGTGGCTTGAAACCTGTCAATTCTCTGCTTTTGGCCCCCGAGTCCCAACACTGCAGTAAGACCTGACACGGATACTCCTCACATCCTGAGGTTGACGTTTCGCAGTGTGCTGATGCAATGGGCCGAGGGAGGCAGGTTCGTTTTGATTCAGCATTGGGATTCATGACTTAAAACGTCGATAGCCTGGACGATTTCATTGACGTTCGTTTGGGCAAGAGATCCCCTCACGCGCATATCGATCCCGCCGCGTTCACCAGCTCCAATTCACCACCAGTGGAGGATTCGGACACTCTTTCCCGCTCGGCTCGCATCAGGGCCTTCCGGGAGTTCCAGAAATTTTCTCCAGAACAACGTGAACGAATCCGGGAAGAATCATTGCGTCACGGAACTCGGTCGACGACTTGGACCGCAGTCCATCTTTTGAGCGCAGAAGAAGTCAAAAGTCTTTTTTCCGACGTTGTGGAGGGACTGGCGTTCTTGGTGAGCTCGCCGTGTGGAGCGAAGTCGCCGTCGGTCTGAACCATAGCAGCACAATAAATCAATTCTGCATTTGGACCTCAAGGTAAAGCCTAGAATAGCAATCGAAGTCGGTGCTCACTGCTGCCCAGCCAGGAAATGTTCTTTTGACATGGGACGAGGGAAGATTGACGTCAGTCCGCTTGCAGTCCCTTCAATGCGGTCACGTGACGATCCAGCAGTCCCCGAGCGATGCTCTCTGACTTTGGTACTTCTCGGGATATGCTCAAATCGTCCTCTCAGCGCTCTGGGAATACTGGAACGTAAGCTCGAGAATTGAATGAACCATCCACAGACATTATTGATCATGCTCAGGCTTGAATACTCCTCCCCAGAGTCATTGCCTGCTCTCTTGACAGGCCGGTTGCAACCTGTTGATTCGAAATCCGACATGTGGTCTCTCGGAATGATCTTGCATAAGCTTCTGTTCTTGAAGTCGCCATATCTACATGCCTCCGATGATGTCATCAGAGACAGCAATGTCGCAGAGGCAGATAAGATGGCCCGGCTTGAGAACGAGATTCTCAATTATGCTGGGTAAACAAATCTGTTCCGCTGCAATTCGGGTGCTAATTGTCTTCAAGTTTTCAAAGCGATAATGCACACACCATCCATTTCAGAACCCGTCATCTGCCGCGTGCATTTTTGATTCTTCTTGAAACTCTTTTGCATGTAAAGCCCTCGAACAGACCATCCTGCGACCGTGTCGCTTTCGCTCTTCGTGAAGGCAAACTGGATCCAGTGCCTTCGGCCACCGAGTCGAATCTAAGCTCACTCATACCAGCACCACATCGCAGTGCGCCTCTCGAGCCTGAGGACAGTGATGTTGCCAAGACTTCCATTGACGAAGACCCTCCTCGTGTGAATCCAATCTTAAAGTCGCGACTGATCTACTTGCGGACATTCAAATCCTGTCTTCTCATAGCCAAGGTATGCGATCGATGACTGTTTACTCCGCATTCTGAGCGCCTCTAGACTTTTTCGGTCTCTTTCTTCTGCGCCAAAGACCGTCTTCATCCATTACTTCTGTCCCTAGTGCTTGTTTTTGCCGTCGCAGATTCATGGTTTGATGGATGGAGGTCAAGCTGTATCTTTGCGATGCTTCATATGTTGCTCATGCACTTCGGATGTTCGTGTTGTTTTTCATTGCTGGCATAACGGACTGGAAACCTCATTTGCAACTCCCGAGTTTCATTATCAACCAATTTGACAATCATGGTTCACATCCTCACCTTGAGAGATCGTATTTTTATCCTGTCACCGTATAGAACGTCTCTCGTCAGTCGATAGTAGTAATAGTAGCAATGCTCACTCAGTTGACTATAAACCAATACTTGGTATGGTAGTACAGCAGAGTACAGCACTGCCTTTCTCGCACACGTGACCGTTCCCTTCCTCACATTCGGGCTTACCGTTTCGCATCAGCCAAGTAGCTTCATATCTTTGTCTCAACTTCCTGGTCTGTGTCTATGAATCCGCTGGAGTATGACGTAGGCTCGGACATATATGCTCTGGCGACAGGGAAGAACGATGATGCGGCCGACTTGGTAGCTGTGGGGACTGACCATTCAGTCACGGTCCTACTTCTTAGCCTAGAAAATACACCCAGAGTGGTCGCGTCATTCCATGTTGGTGCGAAAATAACTGCATTGGCATGGTCTCCTCGCTCTGTATCTCCATCATTTAGTGACCAGTGGCTCTTGGAGTGAGTTTATTCATCGCAAAGTAGACGATGGATCATGCTCATCCTGCATGCCAGAATTGCCGCCGCTAGCTCAGATTTCGGCCTTCATTTACTCACGAAATCGGCAACGTCAGAAGAAGCGATATTCTCCTTCGGTGGAGGGCTCAGCGGGCATCATGGCCGAGTCAATTGCATGACTTTCTGTGGAGGGAGAGGAGAGGATAGTACCCGATACGTCGCAACGGTCTCAGGTGCATCATCCATATCGCATTGTTCTTGGAAATCAAGTAGCTGATCAAATCTAGACGACAAAATGCTCATGGTTTGGGACTTGTACCCGACAACGGAGACCTCAGGGCGTTTGTCGAGATCGCCAGAATCGCCAGGACTTTCAGAAGGCCGACTGCAACCCACTGCATACGTTATATCATTCCCCCATTCATTGGTGTCTGTTAGTTCCCATCCATCTTCATCCAAGGAATTCCTGGTCTCTGATGTACGGGGATCGTTGTTTTTAACCGATTGGCGGTCTGATCCAGAGGATGAGTCTGATGAGGGCTGGCGCATTGTTGATCTCGTTGAGCCGTATGCGTTAGCCTCTACTGTCTCTGGGAGCTCTGTCGTCGGAGGCTGGGCAGCATGGCGAAATGACAATCCAGACATGTGAGCCAGCTGCGGTATCTTGAATTTGGACTGAAGCCTCTTCGATAGTATCGGTGCCACATATGGCCCTCGATACTCCTTATGGGACATCTCCAAGCTTCAGGGTGGCAAACCCATCGGCGGAAGCAGTTTCCCCCAGAACGACCGGTTTCGGTGGGTACCAAAGTGTTATCAAGTGGTCGGGTGAGAACTGACGTACACCATTCGAGATGGTGCACGGTGAACCCTGATTACTTTGCGACATCGTCCCGCTCGCCTGGGAAAGGAGCTTTGATCAATGTGCATAGTACTGTGTACTCCCTGCCCACCACTCTGACCCTTGCACCCCGACCTCATTATGTGCGAGATTTTGACTGGATGTCGAAGAGCGCCAACATCGTAGCCGCAGTCGGCCGGAAAGTGATAATGACTGCTGTTCTTACTGAGGGATAGCGCGTGGGGATTACTAGTACAGAAGACATTATCGCTGTGATTACATGCACAAACTGCAGATCTATCGACGAAAGCAACACAAGGTTAGAGTCAAACAACAGGTCGATGGCCGTAGGGCTGAGGATGGACGTGATATGACAACTCGAAGTTAGGTTTGGAGTCAGCCGGACCACGGCTTTCGCCAAAGCCAAGTTCGAGGAACATATTTTTCCAATAATGAGCGTCCAATTCGGACGCGTGGTGGATCGATGGAACATAGGGGTCGGCATGGTAGTTTGATCCGTCCGGCGAATACTCATCCCTCGAGAAGCTGCTAATGGGTGACGCTGTGAAGTGGTACGGCGGCGGCGCGCCGTGCGTTGGAGACACTTGCTGGGCAGGATAGGATGTGACTACGTCATGTACAGATCAAGGCTGCTCACATATGTGCTATACTGACAATGCACGCACCTTGTAACCTCGGATCAAGCGGCAGAGGTTCGTATCGGTCTGCTTCACTCCGTCTAGACTTGAAGATGTCATTGGCTAGGAGACTCCGGAGAAAGCGGGAGTGATAGGCGGCAGAAGTCGATGTCGATGGGAAGCCTGCGGCTTCTGCATAAGCATCTGCAGTCTTTGAAATGAGAGTGTGGATCTCGTGAGCAGTCCCCTCATGCAGCTCAGCCAGTGTATTGGAGCTGCGCAAAAGCTATTGGATAGTCAGTCAGCTGAGAGACACGGGAAGGATTGGACGAATATACTCTCAACAGAAACACGGCAGAGTAAGCTGACATCACTGTTATAGAATCTTGGCCGTATCGCTTTTTGAGTTTGTGAGATGAGATGCAGCAGCGTCGCACCACTTTACACTCACCAGCATGCTCATGGCCGGGAAGTCTTTTGAGACAATGCGAAGCCCGTCCAAAGCACTGGTGCAGCACGCCGATAAGGCTTGTAGACTGGGGCTAGCTCGACTCGACTGGGTTATGGGGCGGATAAGCTCCGGATGTCGTGAAATACTCAAGCTCCACTCACCGGAGATATCGAATCCTGTATCCCAAAACTGTTCAGGAAGAGGCGGACATGCAAGCGGAAGAGATTCAGAAAAGAGAAATGGAAGGTTTCTCCGCCGGCTAGATGGAAATAAACATCCAGCCATCAGCAGAATGATGTAGAAAACATGCCGCGCTTCATTTCATTGGACCAGGCATCGGACCACTGTGTCAGTTTTCCGTTGCAATTGCGTAGCACGACATCGTAGTTGACATCGTGGTGCGGTCCGTTGGAGAGACCCGGTCCCTTGGACGAATAGAACATGTCGGTGGTTTCAGACTAGGCCTGATCAGTGGCGAAGTACGGCACAGTCAGCGCACTCACCGATAGCCGCCTCAACTGCACAAAGGCAGCCACGATCACATCCTCGGGTCGAGGAGGAGCAGTGCCTTGCTCGTGCCACGTGATTGCATGCCGGACAAGGTCGTCCTCGGGAAGCATCCAGCTGCGGCCAGTTTGGGTACTGAGACTGCGGTCGTGGATAAACAACACAAGATATGTCCGTTCTCGGTTGCGGCGCTCTAGCTTGCTGAATTCACTTTCATTTGATGGCGGTATCGCCAGGTACCGATTCAAGCCCAATTCGACCGCCATCCGACATGCCTAAAGCGTGTCAGTACATTGTCACCCGCGGGTCGACTTCGAGCTTACATATCCGATGTACGTCCATGTCCGCTGGAAATGTGCATCAGTCACAATGAAGCTGAGATGCTGCCCACTTACGTTGTCGTCGGGATCCTTCCAATACGTCAGGCAAGCGAAAGCTTGAACCACTTCGACACTTTTGAGTGCATCCGCAAAGGCCCGAACAGCGAGCTCATGGGCCAATTTCTGACACGACTTGAAGATCTCCGCTCGAAAGAACTTGGCCCCAGCCATGATCAAAGTCGTAAACAAAAATGGGCATTTCGACCGCACGTATTGCACCGTGTGCAGGGCAGGGTCGAACAAGTTGATGAATGGATTGAGGCGGAGAAACACGAGATCGAATAGGACTTTCGCCCCATCTTCGTCTAGAATCCCGGTGTTGATGGGATCGGAGTATGAAGTTGGTCGGGTGGTGGCAGGTGGCGAGTATGAAGGACGACTGGGTAACGCGACAACTGCAGATGAGCTTTCGGTAGGATTGAGAATGGTTCGGAAGAATGAATTGCGCTGGTTCTCCTTGCGGATGAGCTTGGCTGGGAATAACGCGCGATGCTCCGAGTCTGCTTCGTCGTCCTCGTCCATATCCATGTCAGGCCGCGAAGATCCAGCATTTGCATACTCTCCAGGCAAAGTGATGGGTGGCAGCTCGTTATTCGTAAAATGTGTGTTCGGCGCCGCATATTCTCGTGGATATATTTCGCGGCCATCGGCGGGGAAACCCTGATCGACGACCTGCGCTTTCAATTTCGCACTGTGGAGCCCTCGCTCCAGACGTCGGAGCATCTTCGATGCCTCAGACAGCCTAACGCAAACCTGCATAAAGCAACGTTGCGGCACTGGAATGGGGGACGTACTTGGAGCCTGGTTTACGTCCGCGCCGATGCTTTTCAAAAACGCACTCCGCATTTGCACGCTTGCAGCGCTGGCATTGCTTTTGTCCATCCTCTGCACCCACACACTTCATCTGTGGATTTGGTGGTTGTCATTCTTCAATTAGGCTGGTAAATAGATTGAACGGCGGACCTTCGCTGCCCGGCAAACAGTGCAAGCTCTGGCACCTCTTACAACTGGTGTTTTAGATCTAGTGGCATGCATGAGAGAGGTCTAGGAGATTATTAAGAACGCACCCGCCCTCCAATTCGTGGCCATCGTCTACGAGAACGTCCATGGCGATGACCGGCGACAAGACGGGGATCAAAGTCAGAGCGAGAACACCGAAACGCGCCCGGGGTAATGTGGACACGCGGACTAGACCTGGTAAGTATACAGACGATAGACGATGGTGGCTTGAAAGACACACAGGGAGCGGGGAAACTTGGATGTGGTGTTGTTGAAGTAGCTCAGCCGCCTCAAGGTCTTATCGTTTGCCTCATAAATTTCGCCTTCGCCGCACTGATCGGTCCGCCTACGGGTCTAGTTTTACGTGCAGTCCTCTTCCTCGATTTCTATACTGACCGGTACGCTAAGGCTCGGAGCATAGCCTCGGACGCGTACTCGACGCGACGCGATCGCGTGCAAGAGCACGATTTCCCTCTCCCCGGATTGTCAATTGTCAATTGTACGGGGTTTCCGGTCTCTCAGTCTATTGCCGGCGAAGAGCCAATGCATTCAATTCGACGACGTCTATTTCGACTCTGACAGGTCTCGAATCTCGTATGAACAGCAGAACTAAGCATGCACCGCAGGGACTGGGATGGCAGATGCCAAGTAGCAAGAACATCCCCGGGTCTTATGAGTTTGCCTGGTGACTCCAGGCCTGTTCCATTGCACTTTTGTCAGGCCCGAAGCATCCGACCTTGGCGTGGAAGAATGAGTAAATGTATTACATAATCAGAGTTGAGGGGCTGTGAGATCAGCAAACACGCGTAAAGTTTGTGTTACACCGTGACATGCGCGACCATGGTCAGAATTATCATCAAAGGAGGCGTCTGGAAGGTAAGTGTCTCCATTCGAAATGTGCCGACTGCTTATTTGCTGTCAAGAACACTGAAGACGAGGTCCTCAAAGCTGCAATCGCCAAGTACGGCAAAAATCAGTGGGCTCGCATCTCGTCCTTACTCGTTCGCAAGACTCCAAAGCAATGCAAGGCTCGTTGGTACGAATGGCTCGACCCCTCTATCAAGAAAACAGAGTGGTCGAAGACTGAAGACGAAAAGCTTCTGCACTTGGCCAAGCTGATGCCTACTCAATGGCGCACCATTGCTCCGATCGTTGGACGCACAGCAGTTCAGTGTTTGGAGCGGTATCAAAAGTTGCTCGACGAGGCTGAGGCAAAAGAGAATGAAGAACTAGGCCTGACCGGGCCAGCAGACACCGGCCCCAGTGCAGACGATGTTCGGCGTCTGCGTCCAGGAGAGATTGACCCTGATCCGGAAACGAAGCCGGCACGACCGGATCCCATCGACATGGATGAGGACGAGAAGGAGATGTTGTCTGAAGCTCGTGCGCGCCTTGCAAATACGCAGGGTAAGAAGGCCAAGCGCAAGGCTCGAGAACGGCAGTTGGAGGAAGCCCGCCGGTTAGCTGTATTGCAGAAGAAGCGCGAGTTGAAGGCTGCTGGAATCATGTACGTAGTGGGCCACATTTCAAAGAGCGAGTACTGAACAGTCTGGTAGAATGCGCTCCAAAACGAAACGAAAGGGCATGGATGTCAGTATTTGTCATTTTTGTTCTTCACTCACTATTAACGCTCTCGCAGTACAATGCGGATATTCCATTCGAGAAGAAAGCCGCACCAGGGTTTTATGATACTTCTGAAGAACAGGCACGCATCACCGCAGCTCCCGTAGGCCAGACCCTCCGCCGACTTGAGAACAAGCGAAAGCCCGCCGAGGAAGAGGAAGCGGAGCGGAGAAAGAGACAGAAGAAAAATGAAGCAGGGAAACAGGCTGATGGACACCAAACAAAGTTCATTGCCGCACGAGATGCTCAGATACAGAAGTTGAAGGAAGCTGAGTCAATTGGACGGAGACGGAAACTCGTTCTCCCAGGTGCTCAAGTTGGCGAAGCGGACTTGGAGGAAATCGTCAAAATCGGACACGCTGGAGAGAGCGCCAAGGCCCTAGTTGATGGTGGAAGTGATGCGAGCGGGCGACTGCTCAGCGACTATGAGGGATTGGAAAACGCACGGATGGCAAGGACGCCGAGGACCGCGCCACAAGGTACGTCTCACGCCCACCCAAAGCCGAATCTGATTGTTCCAGGGGATAACATCATGGCTGAAGCCCGCAATCTACGGAACATGTCGATGGCGCAAACCCCCTTGCTCGGCGAAGAGAATACACCCATTCACGAAGACGCCGGAAGCGGCACAGGCTTTGAAGGCGCCACACCCCGGCACCAAGTCGCCTTCACACCGAATCCATTGGCCACCCCGTTACGCGCCAAGGAGCAAGCTGAGACGACTACCTCTCGGATCGGCGGCACACCTTTCCGAACACCAATGCGCGATAATCTGGCCATCAACGAAATTGAATATGCATCTGTTAGCTCAACACCCCGCGAACAGCGTTTGCGAGACAGCTCGGCGAGACATGCGTTGCGGGCCGGTTTTGCGTCGATGCCAGCGCCAGAAAACAACTTTGAGCTGCTCGTTCCGGAAGAAGAAACCGGAGGTGATCTTGCATCAGGGCCTGCGCTGTCAGAGGAAGATGCTGCCGAACGGGATGCTCGGATGCAACGGCAACAGGAAGAAGCTCAACGCAAGGTCCTTGCCCGTCGGTCCCAGGTTGTGAAGCGAGGGCTACCGAGACCTGCCAAAGTCAACATTGAAGATCTACTAGGACAACTGGCCCTCGAGGACGGCGACATGGCCCAGCGACTGATCAATCAGGAGTTGGTATCTCTTCTGCAGCATGACGCGATTACGCATCCCATCCCCGGCACAACATTGGCCGGGGGCACGATATCCTCCTATCAACAGCCGGAAGATCAGCATCTCGACCTGGCCAGCTCCTTGATTCACTTGGAGTTGGTGAATGCTGTTGGCTTCACAAATGCCAGCCCAGCCCAGCTCCAGGAAGGATTGATGAAGCTCGCCACTTCCGAAGCTGGGGACGAGACGGTGTCCTGGGCTCGTGTTCGGAAAGACCTCGTCCTTGACGCAACAACAAACATGTGGACAGAGCCGGAAAAACTGTCCGGCGAACAGCGGGTTGCGGGCTACAGCGTTGTTTTGTCGCAGCGCCGCCAGCTAATGGGCAATGAGGCTGCTAAAGCAAACAAGGCAGAAAAGAAACTCAATGTCACTCTTGGCGGTTATCTCACTCGATCAAACGCTTTGTCGCAGCGTGTCACCGCTGCGTTCGATGAGATGCAACAGACGAAGATCGAATTCGAGACCTTCTCGCACTTGAACACAAACGAGACGGCTGCTGGACCCCGGCGGCTCGATGCGCTCAAAGAAGAGGTCGAAAAGCTCGAGCGACGGGAGCGGCAGTTGCAGGACAGATATGGGGAACTCGAGGGGGAACGGCGAGACGCACAGGAACGCGTCCAGTCGCTCGAGGAGAAGCTCATGGCTGACGCCGAGGCTCTCAATGAAGCGCAACTTGCCGCCATGGAGGACTAACTTGATACCTTCGGAGCACTCATTTACTGTACGTTTGTGTAGGACTGCTTCGCGATTTGGGCCGATTCAAAGGGCTTTGTATCCTTTCAGCGCATAAAATGGGAACCACACCTCGGAGCACACGCCCCGAATGCCTGCTGTCGCCCACGACACAGATTCAAACCACAACTTCCCCGTCGCAGCTGTCAGTGGCAGTCTTGCTGGCGGGGCATTTCTAGTAATGCTTTGTGCAATCATGTGGATCAGGGGTCAACATAAAGCAAGAATTAAGCTAGTCAGTCGTCGCGCTCTCTTTCGTGCTCCTTTTTAGCCAACAGTGGCACCATAGCACAAGAAAGAAGAGGACCCTCTCAGCACCTGCACATTAGTACAGCATAAACCTTGGATGCCCCAGAAGAACAGTCCTCGAATCACAATCTTCGAGCCATCTCCACCGTACTCAATCTTGGCCGACCAGCACAACCTCCCGCCAATTTCACGAGCGATGCCCAGGCTCCCCTCGAGCGTCAGCTCAGCATCCATGTATTCGGAAGAAAGCGGGGAGGAACATCAGCATCGGGCTCTGCCGAATTGGATCCCAGTTCCTCTTGGCATCATCGAAACTGCGTTAACTAGAACATCGTGGGCAGACCGGACCCGGACGTGAAGTTTCCCAAATAGTTCCGCAATACAATAACATGACGGAAATGGAAGGGCAGTTCTACTGTAACGATTGCATATGTTCCTGCAGCTGTATTAGCATAGTTCCATCCTCAAACGACTGAGTAGCAGAACACACCTTTTCTACTCGAGAAACTGAATCTTTGAACTGGGCAACCTGCTGCCAGCAATCCAGGGGTGTGTTTGCATTGTTTCTAGAGCACGGACAACGTTCAACGAGCAAGCAGAGGATGAGAAAGTACACACCTATAACAGGCAACCAACGTCTCACCAAGGCCCTTGAGCCCAGGGTATTCTGATAAATCGCGCCGCGCGTGAAAACGATCTATCTTGGAGCGAACGTCGTCTAGGTCAGCAAGCAATGCAGCAGACGTTCTGATAGATTCCGGGTCGCCAGACACGGCCCGTTCGCGGTCCAAATTCTCTTTTTCAAGAGCTGAGTGGATTTCATCGCGAACAACTTGCTCTTGGAACCGGAGATGTTCAAGTTCAGCCTGAATACGGCTTCGAATCTGGGCATCCAGCGTATTTTGTCTACCCGGAGAAAGTACAGCATTCGCCGCATTTTCTGATAGTGTTTCGACGAGTTCTTGAGAGAACTGATGTGAATAATGAGAGAAAAACAATGAGTTTTGAGGATAGATGTACCGAAACCGACGAGGGACTCTCGCGTTGGACAGAACTGGCAGAACCCATGATAGTGATGTCACAAACCCCCGTCAATGCCAAAAGGTGACCAAACTACGGCGCAGTTGCATTCGATTGCACTGCTCGTCTCCCATCCACTTGAAGGCTTCAGCCCGAAGTCTATATCAACCAACCACTTCCATGGCGCTTCCAGTCATGGAGGAGGGCAAACTCCTCGTTGACGCTTTGAACACTGTCAAAATTCAGGTTCAGCAAATGAAAAGATACCTAGTACGTTGCTCACCAGCAGATGTTCCACCCATCTGGCTTAGACTGACCCAATCTGAATATCTGAATAGGAGCTTGACCAGCTCATGGATGCCCTGAAAAGCGCTAGTCTGATGCTTGCTGAACTGCGAACCTCGTCACTATCTCCGAAACAATATTATGAACTTTGTACGTCCTCCATTCGAACGCACGGCTACATCTTCTCTTTCTGAAAGTTTCAAGACATGGCCGTGTTTGACGCTCTGCGCCACCTTTCCAATTATCTGTACGACGCTCATACACAGTCCCGTCACCATCTCGCCGACCTGTACGAGCTGGTTCAATACGCTGGAAACATTATACCTCGGCTCTATCTCATGATCACGGTGGGGGCTGTTTATATGTCTGTTCCTGACGCTCCCGTGAAGGAGATCATGAAGGATATGATGGAAATGTCGCGAGGAGTCCTCCATCCCATGCGTGGTCTCTTCCTTAGACACTATCTCAGCGGGCAAACCAGAGACCATTTGCCTGTCGGGAGTGACGACGGGTACTGTTCCTCGACATCCATATTCTAGTATTGGCTAACAACTATCTAGACCAGGGGGGAACCTGCAGGACTCGACGACATTTGTTCTCACCAACTTTGTGGAAATGAACAAGCTCTGGGTCCGATTACAGCACCAGGGGCACTCGCGCGATCGTGAGAAACGAGAGTTGGAACGTCGCGAACTTCGTATTTTGGTCGGCACCAATCTTGTGCGACTGAGCCAGTTGGACGGGGTGGACCTCGAAATGTATCAGGGCGCGATTCTCCCCAGTATACTAGAACAAGTCGTCAGCTGCAAAGATGTGATCGCACAAGAGTACTTGATGGAGGTGGTGATCCAGGTGAGCCACCGCTCTATACCCCCAGTTGATATGCTGAATTGACCTAGGTTTTCACCGATGAATTCCATCTACATAGTTTGGGTCCATTCTTGACGGCGACCGCTCAACTGCACCCCAAGGTCAACATTAAGGCGATCGTAATTGCGTTAATCGACCGACTGGCTGCTTATGCTGCCAGAGAGGCCGAAAACGAGGATCCTGAAGAAACTAAGAAACAAGAAGAAGCTGCCGCCCGCCGACTCGCGGAGAAAGTCAAGACCCAGAAAGTAAAGTCGAGGGAAAATGGTTCCAGCGGAGCAACCCTCGCACCAGAAGCTGATACATGGTCAACTCCTCAACCTCCGATAGGTCCCCCGACAGAATCTGTGACAGAGTCGGCAGTCGCAGCAACGGCCTCTCCGTCTGAGACTGAATCCGCGGGTGCGCTTAAGAAATTCCGGGGCGTTCCAGAAAATGTCCAGCTTTTTGAGGTCTTCTGGCAGCAAGTGGTTGAACTAATCAGGGTGATCAGGGTATCTCGTTTTTGGGAACTATCCTGGCTGACCGATTTTCCAGGCCCGGCCAGACCTTTCTATCCAGGACATCACTGCGCTGTTTGTGTCTTTGACAAACTTGTCCCTAAGTTGCTACCCGGATAGGTTAGAGTATGTCGACCAAATCTTGAGCTATGCGGGGGAAAAAATCCGGGAATACACTGACAGGTGCGCATCGCTATATGCTCACACGTCCACATATTGAAGTGACCCTCAGTCCTGATCTTCACACTGCACAAACGAGTTCCAATCTTGCGGCGCTCCTCGTTGCACCTATCAATTCGTATCAATCTGTGCTGACGTTACTCGCCATCCCTAATTACGCACCGCTGCTCACCACACAACTGTTTTCGACCCGACGTTCGATTGCTCATTCGATTGTGTCATCCGTGTTGAAGAACGAGACGATTATCGAGACGCCGGAAGATGTAGACGGAGTGCTGGAGTTGTGTCACGTCCTTATCAAGGACCAATCGGACGGTCATTCCGCCGCTCCCAACGGGGTAGCTGTCAACGGAATCAGCGGAAGTGGGCTCAATGGATCGCAAGGTAACCCGCGCAAGCTTGGCCCATATTCAGTTGAAAGAGAAGAGATGGCCGAGGAGCAAGGCTGGGTTGCCAGGATGGTTCACCTCTTTCGATCTGAATCATTGGACGTGCAGTTTGAGGTATGTTGTTATTGTCCGTCAGATCCAACTTCGATCCCCATATCATTCAGCTGTTACAAATGGCTCGGAGACATTTCGATGCCGGAGGAGAGCGGATGCGATTCACTTTCCCCGCTCTGATCACATCCTCCATCAAACTTTGCCGACGTTACAAGAATCGGGAGCATCTCGCAAGTTCCTCTCGTAGATTACAGCTCTGTTGGTTGCTGACACGCCCTTGCAGGAGACAGACTGGGAGACCAAAGTCTCGACCATTCTCAAGTTCTGCCGGCAGCTCATCTTCATCCTTGCCAATCAAGTTGATGCACCAACCATCGCTCTGCGTCTTTTTCTGCTTGCTGCGCAGATTTCAGATGAATGCGGCTTTGAAGACCTCACATACGACCTCTACGTCCAAGCCTTCAGTGTTTACGAGGACAACATTTCTGAATCACGCGCACAACTGCAGGCGATCACATTAGTAATCGGTGCTTTGGAAGGTGCCAAAGTATTCAGTGTGGATAACTACGACACATTGATCACCAAAGCCGCTCTTCACGCTTCCAAGTTGCTCAAGAAAAGCCACCAGTCCACTGCTGTTGGTTTTGCAAGTCACCTTTGGTGGCAAGAGAAAGCACATCTCGAAACTGAAGCCGAACTCGAAGAAGGGGATGGCAAGCCAGCAGCTAAGACTGAAGAGAAGGACGACGAGACTGTTAAAGCTGTTAGTTGCCGCCGTGTCTCTTTCTGCTCGCGATTGACTGTGGACTGCACTAGTTCCCTCACCAAGATAGCAAGCGTGTGCTGGAATGTCTGCAGCGATCCCTGCGGACGGCAGGATCCGCCATCGAAGAGATTGTCACGGTTCAACTCTATTGTGATGCATTGGATCAGTACCTGTACTATCTTGATCATGGGGCTCCAGCAGTCAGTCGCGATTCAATTTTTCATCTTTGCTGGTGACTAATTGCTTGACAGGTCGCCCCTAAGTTTGTAAACAGTCTTGTCGAGCTCATTGCCGCTAGTATCGACAACATCGCATCACCTGATGTGCATCCCTCGCAGCGGGCTCCGCCTGGCCTAATCGAGGGCGTACAGACCCCAGAAATGATCTCTCGACATTTCTACAACACTCTGTACTATATTCATCGCCGGAAAAACGCCAACCTGACTGATCCTCGCTGGGAAGGCGTGGATATCGTCGGTGCTACCCTGAAAATGGGAATTACTCGATAAATATTCTATGTATTGTAGCAACATGTCCGATTTTGTGGATTTGAGCTTCCAGGTTCCCATCTGACATCTGGCATCTGATTCCATCATCATCTGCAACACAGCTCATCACCGTGACTAGTAACTACGTCTCTTCTACCGCACTCACTCGACTTGCCCAAACATGGCCGAAGGCAGCAACTACGATTATCTGTTCAAGGTACGTATTGTATGAATCACTGCACTCACGCATAAAGACTTAAGTCAGGTTGTACTCATCGGAGATTCCGGTGTCGGAAAGTCGTACGTCTCCTCGCATGTCTTCTTGTATCGCTCATGGGACAATCGCCTCGCTCGACCTCAGAAATTGTATGTGGTCCTATTGGGCACAGTGTAGGGACTCACGCGGTGTGGCAGTGCTTTCGCGATTCACGCGTAACGAGTTCAACCTCGAGTCCAAGTCCACGATTGGGGTTGAGTTTGCGACCCGCTCTATTGATGTTGATGGAAAGACGGTCAAGGCCCAGATTTGGGATACGGGTATGTTCATTGCCTGCTGAGCGTTGGGGCGACCAGCTCCCCCGACTCGTGCCACGCCATCAATTCATCTTTCTTTACAGCCGGCCAAGAGCGTTACAGGGCTATCACCTCGGCGTGAGTGCACCTCCATACTCTCACAGTATCTTCTAAAACGCATTGTTTAGGTACTACCGTGGCGCGGTCGGAGCTCTCCTCGTATACGATATCGCCAAGCATGCGACGTATGTCAACGTCACTCGTTGGTTGAAGGAACTGCGGGACCACGCCGACTCCAACATCGTCATCATGCTGGTTGGCAACAAGAGCGATTTGAAGCATCTGCGAGCGGTTCCAACAGATGAGGCCAAAACTTTTTCAAGTAAACTCAGGTGCTTTGCCTAGACGCGCACAACTTATTGACCACGCACACGTCAGCGGAAAACGGCCTGTCTTTCATCGAAACCTCGGCGCTGGACGCCTCGAACGTCGAAGGCGCATTCCAAACCATTTTGACCGGTCGGTCATGACGGCGAAATGATTCCATCACAATCTCATTTCCCCCCAGATATCTACCGCATTGTGTCGAGCAAATCTCTGGAACAATCAAACAATCCTATCGAAGCCCCCGGACCCAGCATCAGTGTCGGGGCCAGTGTCGATAACAATGCTGCTCAGGGAAGCAAATGTTGCTAAGATGGTTCAGTATATTCTACTTGTTGCAGAATGTTCCTTGTTTGTGTCACGCTCATCCTTTCAAACTCTATTGTATTCGAACTTGCGTTCCGTGTGACATAAAACAAGATTCTCGGAGGCATCGAAGGTGATTCTGAAAGCTTCTGTTCTCTCCAAGCACCTGCTACAATGTCCGAAATTATCTCTAATACAGCATGTCGCAAAAATCTGAATTGGCATATCCGTTGTGGTCAGCGCTGATCGGTAGGGCTCAGGTCTTCAGCCTGACAACTGGCTGATCTCCGCAGGAAAGGTTGAATCAGTTGTCATCAGGCGGTGGTCAGGTATTTATCAGGGAATGGTCAGCGACGCTTCAGGCGAGTATCAGACGTCAATCAGGCAGGAATTGGCGGTTGATCAGAACACTACCAGGTGCTGATTTGGCCTGAGTGCCTGAGTGCCTTCTCAGAACTGATCAGGCTCTCAGCAGCAAAGGGCAAAAGGACTACTGGTCTTCTTCCTTTCTCTGTTTTCTCTTGTACTGATTCACATTCTACAGTGCCTTATGATATGATCTTGCATTGCTTTCATGAGGTTATTCACTCAATTACTGGCTAACTGGTGCTCATTTCCAACAATATTGAATTCACTCAAATTATTTCACAGGAGGAATCGAACACATGGATATAACTACTGAACCATTACATTATGTGGGCGCATGAGACTGTCCATGCTCCAGTGGTAAGTGTCGTTGGAGCCTTAATATAGCCACTTGCAACATGATGACACAGACCACAATGACCCGGTGCTCCACTTGCACCTTGCAGCATACCAGCATTCTTCTACATGGGACTGTGAAGTTCCACACAGCTCTCAACATCTGCTCAACAATATATCTATTTGAACTTTGCAGTCCACAGATTGCAGCAAGTCGAGACCATATCCTCTGACTGTTGAACACAGAAAACTCAGATTGGAGCCGCAGGAGGCTAGGGGTACAGATGGGAGACAAAAAGCCCAGTAGATCACATTGATCTGATGCTATATACTACACATCATGTGACGATCAACAAGAAATAATGTCGAAAAGAGAAGTGAATCCAAAGACTGGAGAATACAATCAAGTAGCTACAGTATTTATACCCAAATCCAGTCTGAGTCATATCTACAACTAATGAGTCATAAGGCTATGTACCGCATGGAGCACTGGTCATGGGTTGTAGTAGGACCTTCCAGAGGATATGTCGCGCAGCCTCGAATTGATGAAGATAATCCCCCAGACCCCCACCCCAGACCGTCAGATGCTGTGATCTGCGATAAGATAACTTGTGCCGAGATAAGATAAGATTGTTGATGATAAGATGAAAAAGGGTCGAATTACGACATTACCCCCTCTCTAGGGTCGATGTCCTCATTGACTGGGTTAATGGGTGTGAAGACGTTTTTGTAGGGGTCGAAGAGTTGTTGGGGATATGGAAGGCGCTCGTCTCTGGGTTTGTAGCAATGAATGAGGTAATCCCAGTGTCTGGCTTTGAGCATTGGCAGGAGGCAAATGCGTGTGTCTGGGTTTGATTGTTTCCTCTGCCAATCTCTCAGGACCTTCTTCGCATGGGTAAGATGGCGTGATGGTTCCCAGGTATTTTTGCTATGTGGCCATCCCTTCCATTTGACCAAGTATTGCTTTCCTCGGCTGACTTTTCGTTCCTTCACAATTTCTTTGACTTCCCACTCTTCTGCTCCTCTGATCATCTTGGCTACGGGTCTCTTCTCTTGGTGGTGGGGGGGGTGGTTTGTGATAGGGTGTCAACAGTGACTCATTGAACACCGGGTGTCTTCGGTCCGTGTCTGGCAAATCCAGCTTCCATGCAGCCGCTCCAACCTTCTCCAGTATCTCGTATGGCCCCAATCTCTTGTTGCTCATCTTCTTCAAAGGCCTGTCCATCTCGATATTGTCCCCTTCTATGTACACCTTCATCCCAACCTTCAACTCCGGAACTTCTTTTCTTTGTTTATCGTAGTATTTTTTCATTTTTTCATTTGATTTTTCCAATGCTGCTTTTGCTTCGTCTTGTATTTCTTTGATTCTTTTTACAAACTCTTCCACCAACTCGTTTCTCAATTCCATCTGCTGCTCCACTCCCTTCCATGGGTGATATCCATGATTTGCGTAGAACAGTGATATTTTGGTAGACGTGTTCATTTTGTTGTTATATGCAAACTCCGCCATTCCCAGCCACTCCGACCAGTCCGTCTGATGGTAATTGACATAGATGCAGAGATAATGTTCGATCTCCTGATTCATGCGTTCTGTCTGCCTATCCGTGATCGGGTGATATGCGGTCCCTGGGTTCATTTCTATGCCCAATATCCGATTTGTCTCCTTCATGAAGCCCTTGATGTATTGTGAGTCCCTGTTGGTGATGATCTTGCAAGGGATCCCGTGATAGTGGAAAACTTTGTCCCTGGTTAATCGTGCTACCCCTTTGCTGTTGATGTCAGTACTAATTGGTTTGATGTGGATCATTTTGGTGAAGGTGTCACACCACACATGAATAGCGTCATACCCGTTACTGACCGGCAAGGGTCCGATTTGATCCATTGAGATGATTTCCCATAGTGCGTTTGGAACCGCATGCGGATGTAGAGTTCCTGTCCTTGCTCTTCTGGTCTTGGTCCGTTGGCACACTTCGCACGTCTGGATGTATTTCCGAATTTGGTTTCCCATCCTTAGCTACCAGTAGTTCCTTTCCACCATTTCCTGTGTTCGGTTGATCCCAGTGTGTCCAACCAAAGGCGTGTCGTGGTGTAGCCCAATGATCTTGTTCTGCAGCTCCTTGTCCTCTAGTACGTAGAGCTTCCCATGGTACGTGATGAGCCCATCTTCCTTTTTCCATCCAATAAGTGACTTCTCCAAGGCCGCTTTGACGCTTCCATCAATCGATTGAGTAGCCTTGATCTCATTGATTAGCTGCTGATCTTGCCCCTCAAATGTGACTTCTTATGACCGGAAGAATTTGGGCTTCAGCAGAGTGACATCCTTGTTGTTGTTCTTGCCCTGATTGTGATCCGCTCGTTGAGATAAGAGATCTGCCTTGCAGTTGAGTGTGCCGGGCCGGTGTTGTAAGGTGAAATCAAACTCTGCCAATTCTGTGATCCATCGTGCTTGCCGTCGATTGAGTTTCTGCGGCTTCCGGACACCTGTGAATCCCAACTGGGCCCACTAATTAGTGACAAGATCCAGGCTGGTTCCCCCCATGAGTTAGTGGGCTTTTGAGCCAAATTCCATATGCTTGAATAATAATGAAATTTCTGCTTGGAATCTGGAGCAGATGAGACCAGATCCAATTTTTCCCAAGTCCCTACAGCTGCTTCAGATCTGTTTGAATATGTGGGATAGGGGATGCAGACATATTGTATGCTCCAATAATGTTGCAATACATGTGCCCAGATTTTGAACACATCTGTCTGCTTGAAATCTGCTTGAGGATTCTCCACACCATATGAGCTGCTCGGATTATATTCAAATACAAGTCAAGGGATTGTTTATGCTCAGATTCTGCTCGAATATTAGTGTGAGAGGACTTGGACGGGTTCATGATGGCGGTCTGCTCAGGATCTGTTTGAATAATTGTGCGAGAGGACTTGGTTGGTCTTGCAATGGTGGTCTGCTTGAGATATGTTTGAATAATTATGACAAAGGACTTGGTCAATTTTGTGTGAGGGATATGTTTGAATTCAGTTTGAATATACTTATTCAGAGTAGTATCTATGTGGCCTCCTGCACAGTCTTGTTGCCCCTCTCATTGGAGTCGAGACCCAAAATGGAGACACTGTGTATGACATCATTCACCTCTTCCTCCTCTGCCTCTGAGCCCTCATCTTCATCCTGCTATTGCTCAATTTTGTGTGAAGGATATGCTCGAATAATGTTTGAATACATTCAGATTAGGCACTTGCTTCCTGAATGAGTTTGCCACCTTGCTCATTAGAGTCAATTGCCTTGCTCATTAGAGTCAATTGGTTCCATGATCAATGTCAGCTTGAGATCTGATGGAATAAGTAAGTGTTCAAGAAGACATCTCATCTGTTATGTGATGCATATCTTCTTGATTGCAGTAATGACTAATGGTTTAAGGTATAGTAAAGAGTCATGCATGCAACCAAAACAAGATCAAATAAGTAGAGTCAATATTTGAAGAAAGTCCATAGAGAAGAAGACATGAATAAGTAGATTACTGCTTCAAGGGATTGAAACCTGGGGGACGGCCAGCCTTGCCCTTGATTGTAGCTTTCCTCTTTGGTGGCGGGGTGTCTTGCATTTCCTCCTCTTCCTCTGCTCGCTTCCTCTTTCCAGAACTGCATGTCGACTCATTTGAAACTTACACCAATCTCAGCACATTCATTGTTTCAAACTATTGCCTTGCTTGTCAAGGCACTCTCCACACCCTATATTCACACACACAAATCAGATGCGCCTGATCCGTGGTGTGATCCAATCTTGAATGTGTCGTATCTCAAGTACGCAATTACGATGTCTACCACGAGCCTTGTTACCTCCTCCATGCTCAATTGATCTCATTGCCTCCACACTAGATAGACGTTGTCAAGAACACGAGGTGGACGGGCGTACGTAAGAACAAAGGGCTGTAAGGCCAATATTCGGTGCGTACATTTCAGGTGAGATAGGACTGAGTCTAACCTTCATTCTCTTGCCGTCTCCTTCATCTTCTCCCACCACCTTCTCGTATCATTGTTCAAGCGCTCCAACCTGTCATCCTCTGCAAGCAGGGCCATATCGTGAGATTGCTTGAATGTTTTCTTATCAAAGTCGCGCAACAGTCATATTGTTGTTGAACACAGAAAACTCAGATGGGAGCCGCAGGAGGCTAGGGGCACAGATGGGAGGCGAAAAGCCCAGTAGGTCACATTGATCTGATGCTATATACTGTGCGTCACAGAGTAATGTCACATCCTTTGTCCGGACCAAGCACACACAAAATCCACACATCAACAATTGTGTCTCTTCCTGAGCTTCGAGACAATGCGACATATACGTTAAACAGGCTGAGCCCACCCGTTGGCGGCGTTGCGATGTCGACAATCACATGTTTCAGTGTTTGGCCCTGGGACCGGTAGTTGGTGAACGCGTACGCGCCTGTCAATGGAAACTGCCGGCGCCGGATCATTCTCTTCACTGTCGTGTTGTCATCCATCAGCATTTTGATTTGGTATGTCGTTTTCACCGGCTCTATGGGAAGTATCCCCATTGACAATCCAGACAGTGTGCCAGCTTTTGTATGCTCGAATCGCACGAGGACGAAAGGTGGTAATTTCTTCAGGTAAACCACGGCCTCGTCACCAATGGTCGGCTCATCAGGGTCCAAGATAATTCTCTTGATAGTTCCACGGGCGCCGTTGGTGATATCGAGATCAGTCTCCACATTGTTCGTCACCATGATCGACATCCTGATGGCCAGCTCGATAGTGCTGGGTAACTCCTTCTCCATGCTTCCCGCGCATTGCTTAAGTGCGTCGCCAGTGCGTACCGCTCCGCAAGTGATAATGGCCCTCCACAATATGTGTCCTCCGCCGGACACACAAACAACTGCTTCGAGTCATTCCGACACATCTTGCGCGCTGCTTGTGCATTCCACGGGACGCGCACACCATGTCTCGGGGTTACCTATAACATCTGTGAGTTCGAATGCACGTTCGCCAGTATGGCCTCACCAGCGTCGCGTTTTGCCATGGATCGCTGTTGAATTCGTCTTTATCCGTTAACAACAAGGTACGCAGCATGGTTATGTGCCGCTCCTGAACATTACCCACCCGTAAGTGCCTCAGGAAATCTCGCCAAACCTCGTCCATAACGCGCATCTGCTGCTTCAAGAGAATGACTGTCGTGAATTCTTTGTAAATGACCCGGCCGACTTTCATATCCACATTGTCTCTTGCTTCGTCAGAAGGATGATACAGAGCCTGCAACGGTGAGCTGGCTACGGGTGGGAATTGATGAAAATCTCCACAAATGATGACATTGACACCGCCAAAGGATTTGTCAGAAGACGATGCTTTGCTGATTCCAATTTTACGAGACAGACAGGAGAGGAATTGTTTGCTAATCATGGAGATCTTGTCGATGATGAGGAACAAACGATCCTTCCAAAAGTTTTGCAACTTCGCTTTGTTCGCCGGGCTCATCTTGTCTCCTCTCAGACCCATTGCACCAATCGTATGCGTTGTCTTTCCGTCGATGAGCAACGTGGCCACACCGGTGTAAGCCGCTTTAACGAGCCAATGCTGGACAGCCCGGTCTCGGAAGGCTCTGGTGATCTTTGTGATCACTTTCGATTTCCCCGTTCCACCCTCGCCATGGATCAACATGCGTAAAGTGTTGAACACAGAAAACACAGATGGGAGCCGCAGGAGGCTAGGGGCACAGATGGGAGGCGAAAAGCCCAGTCTGTCACATTAATCTAGGGCTATGTACTGATGGTCACATAGCTAAGTAACACTCTTTTGTCTGAACCAAGCAAGACATCCTTTCCACACTTCAACACTCCCACCCTTGGAAAGACAAAAGCAATCAAACAGAACACTCTCACCAGATCCAAGGCCACTCCCACCCAATCTAAGTCCGTCTTGGAGACAGGAATGGTCCACTAGGCCCACCACCAATCTCCGCTTCATTGGACATCTGGAACTCATCCCACATCTCAAAGAAGCTCTCCCTGGTCAGACCTGCCTCCAGTGCAGCAGAGAAAGCAGCAGAAGCGGAGCTGCTCTTGCCATTAGCCAGGATCCAGTCCTTCACAAAGGTGGGCATGGTGTGCATGCACTTGTGAGCAATGTGGCCAGTGCGTCCACAGCGATGGCAGCCCCTGGTGGTAGGGTCACACCAACGAAAACCTTGGGAATCCAGCGGAAATCCGTCCTGGGCAACGCTACCAGTGATGGGGGAGGTGTATGATGACGTGGCAGATGCTGTGCCTCGACGTGGCGCCGATGCAGCCAGGGCCAGGCTCGAAATATCGCCATCTTCGATTTTGAGAACCACTCCAGGGTCTGAGCTTGAGCTGGCAAGCTGGGTGATGCAGTCTTCGAGTTTGGGCTCAGGAGAGCGTGCAAGGAGAATGGTGCGGACTGTGTGGAAGGCTGGGTGAAGATTCATGAGCAGGACATCTTTGTGGATGGTGGAATCGATAGAAACACCCATGGCAGCCAGTTTCTTCACTGCATCTCCCACAGCTCGAATGTAGACATCGATTTCCTTGGTGGGGTCATGGGGGATAGAGTGCAGCTCAGCCCTGGCAGCCATCCTGGTGCTCATGCTCGATTTTTCGAAGTGGGCCTTGAGGGCAGCCCAGGCAGCAGTGGCAGACTCGAAATCATCGATGAGAGGCTGGTACTGCTCCTCTATCTTGGTGTAGAGGTAGGGGAGGAGCATTCTGTCCAGAGCAACTTGGTCAGACTCATCTGCTTTTGGCCCTTTCCCCATAACCCAAAGTGCGTCCACTCCCAGCAAAAACACCTTGAATCCCTTCCCAAACTTGGCCCAGTTGTCCTTCCCCAGCATAGGAACAGTGGTGAGAACGATGGTGAGGGCTGAGGTGATGGTAGGCGCCGTGGTGGTGCAGGGAGAAGCGGTAGGAGCGTCGGGGAAAACCAGAACAGAGGGGAGAAGCAAAAGGAGCGAAAAAAAAGAGCGAAAGATGCGCAGAGGGAGCAAGGAAAAGGGTAGATGGATAGGTCATGGCGGGGCCAATAACCTGTTGAACACAGAAAACTCAGATGGGAGCCGCAGGAGGCTAGGGGCACAGATGGGAGGCAAAAAGCCCAGTCTGTCACATTAATCTAGGGCTATGTACTGATGGTCATATAGCTAAGTAACACTCTTTTGTCTGAACCAAGCAAGACATCCTTTCCACACTTCAACATAAAGGGGGGACCTCCCAGCCCTCGAGCGTGCGCTCGAGGACCCAGACGACAATATCGTAAGCGCGTTGCTGATCCGGTTGCAGTACGATATCTTCTTCGTTACCGCGATCGACTTTGTCTTCTTCTGGCGTTCCGTCGCAAGTTCTAGCGCTGCTGGCAGCAACCATTTCCTCCGTGATTCTTTCAACGCTGGGTTCCATCGTTGTTTCGTGCCCTCCGTCTGAATCCTGCTCATCGTCTCCTATTGAGGTCGGAAACATTTCATTCTGTTGGCGTGCTAATTCGTCCAATTGCCTTCTCCACTGGATCAGTTTCACGAAGTCATCACCGGTTGCTTGAGCAACATTTGGGCACGTATTCTCGATAACCCAACTATCATCAGAGCACTCGAAAATTTTCACCAGGCGGCCTATCTCAATGGCCATGTTGCCGTGGTCTCTCTCGCGTCGTGAGAATTGCTCTGCTATCAGGCTCGCGATGCTTGCCTCCGTGATTTCGGCTGCTACGGTGCTGTCCTCATCAATGGTATTCTCTTCTCCGTAAGCCCCAAATTCACGGAACTCATCTCCTCCCAGTTCATCGTCCTTGCTCGCTATGGCTGCAGACTGGCATGCGTGATAGAACTGGATGTTTGCTAGGATGTATCGCACACGCGCAGGGCCATTATCAACAAATGTTGAAGCAGGAAATGCAGAGAGGACTGGAGTCAACAGTAAGAAGCTCTGCATTGCAAGGCAAGACAAGAAAAGAATCTACAGACCTGGAGTCAACAGTAAGAAGCTGAAGAACTCCAGGGAGGGAGGAACTATCTATGTGGATGGAGCATGTGACTGTATAGGAATCATGTGACTTTGAGTCATGTGACCAGAATGATGGAATAATGGGAACAGTGATAGAATCAGATATCATCAGTGATGAGATCAGTGATAGGATCAGATGGAATCAGATGATTATGTGACCCAATCACCAGAGAGTGATCAAGTCCAAAACCCATCCTCAACAGGTCTGTGATCCTCTCCAATGTGCTCTATGTCCCTGCTCTGTCTCATAATCTGATCTCCACTACATACCTGTCAGTTCACCATGACTACACTGTGCTCATGAAGGAGAACTACATCCTGTTCAAGCAAAATGGTGAAGTGTACTTTGTGGCAGACATCTCAGAGCAGGGTCAGGCATTTGTGAGAGAGACTGGTTTCCCTTCTGCTGGTTCAGCACTGGTCTCTGCAGCTGGGACTCTTCCCATTGACCTCAGCCTGATGCACAGGCGGCTTGGACACCACAGTGATACCAAGCTAGTCATGTATAAAGAGCTGGTTACTGGTGTGAGGCTTGCCTCTACTAGGAAGCCAGACCCCATCTGTGAGCCATGTCTTTTTGGCAAGCTGAATGCTGGCCTGTTTCCCTCAACTGGTCATTGTTCTGGAGCGCCTCTTGATCTCATTCACTCTGATCTAAAGAGCTACTCTGTGCCCACCCGCGAGGGCTGGAAGCACAGGGTGACTTTTGTTGATGATCACACTGGCTTCAAGGTAGCATACCACATGAAGAACAAGAGTGAGACCTTTGCAGCCCTTAAGATGTTTCAAGTGTTGAAGCAGGAAATGCAGAGAGGACTGGAGTCAACAGTAAGAAGCTCTGCATTGCAAGAGAAAACAAGAAAAGAATCTACAGACCTGGAGTCAACAGTAAGAAGCTGAAGAACTCCAGGGAGGGAGGAACTATCTATGTGGATAGAGCATGTGACTGTACAGGAATCGTGTGATCAGAAGTCATGTGACCAGAATGATGGAATGATGGGAACAGTGATGGAATCAGATATCATCAGTGATGTGATCAGTGATAGGATCAGATGGAATCAGATGATCATGTGACCCAATCACCAGAGAGTGATCAAGTCCAAAACCCATCCTCAACACTCCCCCGGGATGAGATCAGTCTCTCAGCCTCTCCCCTGCAATCTCATCAGTGTGCGCAACCTTGCCACCTGAGGCCGAGGCAGCGCCTTGGTCAGGATGTCAGCCAGCTGGTCCTGCGTTGGCACATACTTCACATCAATGAACCCTCTGGCCACTTCATCTCTAAGCCAGTAGTGTGCCAGGTCCAGATGCTTCATACGCCTATGGTGTTCAGGATTCTTGGACACAGATATGGCAGACTGGTTGTCCATCATCAAGGGAGAAGCCCCAGACACACCATGCTCCAGCTCATGCAGCAGATTCCGCATCCACTTGATCTCCTTCCCAGCATCCACACCAGCCACATACTCTGCCTCAGTGGTGGACAGAGAGATGGTGGACTGCAGCTTGCTCCTCCAGCTTACTGGTCCACCAGCCATCATAATGACATACCCCCCAGTGCTTTTCATGGAGTCCTTGTCTCCAGCATGATCAGCATCAGTGAAGGTGGTGAAGAGGTCGTCAGGATGGATGTGGGTGGCTGGGTCATAGAGGGTGGGCGAGGATTTGGAGTAGGTGATGCGGAAGTCAAGGGTGCCCTGGATGTATCGCAGCAGGTGCTTGACTGCCTTCCAGTGCTCTTCACCAGGATTACTATTGAAGCGCGCTAGCACCCCCACAGCATAGGAGATGTCAGGACGAGTCTGACAGGCCAGGTACATCAGAGAGCCAACAGCAGACAGAGAGTTGCCCTTGAACTGCTTGGACTCCTCCTCAGTCTTGGCTCCCATCTCCTTGGTCAGAGACAGGCCAGGTAGCATGGGGGTGTCCACAGGCTTGCAGTCAGCCATGCCATACTGCTCCAGGAGGTTCACTGCATACTGGCGCTGGGAGATGCTGATATCTCCAGTGTGCTCATCACGCTCTATCTTGATCCCCAGAAGCCACTCTGTGGGACCCAGATCCCGCACCTTGAAGGCCATGCCAAGCTGGGCAATGACCTTGTCAATGTCAGCATCATGCTTTGCAGCAATGGTGCCATCATCAACATAGATGGGCAGGATCACGCGCACCACACCATCAGAATAGATGTGGCAGGAGCTGTCTGACTTGATGCACTTGAACCCCATGGCAGTCAGCTTGGCAACCAACTTGATGCGCCACTGCCGGCCAGCCTGCTTCAGCCCATAGATGGACCGGTTCAGCTTCAGGACCTGGCCCTTCTCTCCCTGGGGGAACCCTTCTGGCTGAGTCATATAGACATCCTCATCCAGGTCCCCATTAAGGTAGGCAGAAGAGAAGTCGATGGAGCGCAACTTGAGGATGTTCTGGGCAGCCAGAGCAAGGATGACGCGCAGAGTAGCAGGCCGGAAGGTGGGAGCAAACACCTCATGGTAGTCATGTTGAAGTGTGGAAGGGATGTCTTGCTTGGTTCAGACAAAAGAGTGTTACTTAGCTATGTGACCATCAGTACATAGCCCTAGATCAATGTGACAGACTGGGCTTTTCGCCTCCCATCTGTGCCCCTAGCCTCCTGCGGCTCCCATCTGTGTTTTCTGAGTTCAACAGGTTATTGGCCCCGCCCTGACCTATCCATCTACCCTCTTCCTTGCTCCCTCTGCGCATTTTTCGCTCTTTTTTCGCTCTTTTTGCTTCTCCCCTCTGTTCCGGTTTTCCCCGACGCTCCTACCGCTTCTCCCTGCACCACCATGGCGCCTACCATCACCTCAGCCCTCACCATCGTTCTCACCACTGTTCCTATGCTGGGGAAGGACAACTGGGCCAAGTTTGGGAAGGGATTCAAGGTGTTTTTGCTGGGAGTGGACGCACTTTGGGTTATGGGGAAAGGGCCAAAAGCAGATGAGTCTGACCAAGTTGCTCTGGACAGAATGCTCCTCCCCTACCTCTACACCAAGATAGAGGAGCAGTACCAGCCCCTCCTGGATGATTTCGAGTCTGCCACTGCTGCCTGGGCTGCCCTCAAGGCCCACTTCGAAAAATCGAGCATGAGCACCAGGATGGCTGCCAGGGCTGAGCTGCACTCCATCCCCCATGATCCTACCAAGGATATAGACGTCTACATTCGAGCTGTAGGAGATGCAGTGAAGAAACTGGCTGCCATGGGTGTTTCCATCGATTCCACCATCCACAAAGATGTCCTGCTCATGAATCTTCACCCAGCCTTCCACACAGTCCGCACCATTCTCCTTGCACGCTCCCCTGAGCCCAAACTCGAAGACTGCATCACCCAGCTTGCCAGCTCCAGCTCAGACCCTGGAGTGGTTCTCAAAATCGAAGATGGCGATATTTCGAGCCTGGCCCTGGCTGCATCAGTGCCACGTCGAGGCACAGCATCTGCCACGTCATCATACACCTCCCCCATCACTGGCAGCATTGCACAGGACGGATTTCCGCTGGATTCCCAAGGTTTTCGTTGGTGTGACCCTACCACCAGGGGCTGCCATCGCTGTGGACGCACTGGGCACATCGCTCACAAGTGCATGCACACCATGCCCACCTTTGTGAAGGACTGGATCCTAGCTAATGGCAAGAGCAGCTCCGCTTCTGCAGCTTTCTCTGCTGCACTGGAGGCAGGTCTGACCAGGGAGAGCTTCTTTGAGATGTGGGATGAGTTCCAGATGTCCAATGAAGCAGAGATTGGTGGAGGGCCTAGTGGACCATTCCTGTCTCCAAGACGGACTTAGATTGGGTGGGAGTGGCCTTGGATTTGGTGGGAGTGTTCTATTTGATTGGTTTTGTCTTCCCAAGGGTGGGAGTGTTGAAGTGTGGAAGGGATGTCTTGCTTGGTTCAGACAAAAGAGTGTTACTTAGCTATGTGACCATCAGTACATAGCCCTAGATCAATGTGACAGACTGGGCTTTTCGCCTCCCATCTGTGCCCCTAGCCTCCTGCGGCTCCCATCTGTGTTTTCTGAGTTCAACAAGTCAATGCCATAGCGCTGGCCACGACCATCTGCCACGAGTCTGGCTTTGTAGCGTTCCACAGTGCCATCAGACTTGTGTTTGATCACAAACACCCATTGAGAGCGGATTGGCTTGACCCCTTGTGGCAAGTCGACCACATCCCATGTGCAGTTGCTGAGCAGAGAGTCAATCTCTGAAGCAGCTGCAGCGCGCCATAGTGGACCATCCTCCCGCTTGGACGCTTCAAAGAACGACCTGGGGTTCCCAGAGGCTACAGCAGACAACACGGACTGCACTGCAGTAGCGTGAGCTGCTGCCAGCTTGGGATCTGAGGGGTCACCCTCGCGAGCCACAATACGGGCAGAGGATGACTTCAGAAGCAGCTCATCGTCACTGAGGTCTTCAGGGATCTCTTCAAAGATCTCTGCCATGGTACGCCTGGAAGGAGCAGCAGCCGGAGCTGGAGCCCTCCTGGGTGGTGCAGGGACACGATGGATGCCAGCAGCAGCACGACGAGCTGCCACCCCAATAGGAGATTGGGGAGGAGGAGGCGAGGGTAGAGGGTGAAGCAGGGCATCCCCAGCTGGTGGTGGAGATGGAGGTGGTGGAGCTCGACGTAGAAAGTCAATTTCATCCTCACTGCTGGCTGCAGGAGAGGGAACTTGTGGTGCAGGGAGAGGACGAGCAGGGGGCTGTTGCTGCTCATCATCACCATCGTCATCAGGGACATACACCGGTGCCGGAGCACAAGGGGGATCCACCAGCATGGAGGAAGGGGGTGCAGCAGGACAGCTCCTCATAGCTTGAGGGGTGCTGCCTGGGAAGTAGCGCTCATCAAACACTGTGTTGGTGATGGGTTTTGGACTTGATCACTCTCTGGTGATTGGGTCACATGATCATCTGATTCTATCGGATCCTATCACTGATCCTATCACTGATGATATCTGATTCCATCACTGATTCCATCATTCCATTATTCTGGTCACATGACTCCAAGTCACATGATTCCTATACAGTCACATGCTCCATCCACATAGATAGTTCTTGCCTCCCTGGAGTTCTTCAGCTTCTTACTGTTGACTCCAGGTCTGTAGATTCTTTTCTTGTCTTGTCTTGCAATGCAGAGCTTCTTACTGTTGACTCCAGTCCTCTCTGCATTTCCTGCTTCAACAGAACCACCCCCCCCCATTGCCGAGAGAAGAGACCCATGGCAAAGATAATTGGAGGAGCCAAAGAGTAGGAAGTCGAAGAGATCGTGAAAGAATGGAAGGTTGGCCAAGGGAACAATACCTGGTCAAATGGAAGGGATGGCCGCACAGCAAAAACACGTGGAAACCATCACGTCACCTAACCCATGCAAAGAAGGTCTTGGCAGCATGGGAGAAAAAACAATCTGATCCAAACACCCACATTTGCGCTGTGCCAATACTCCAACCTGACCACTGGGATTACCTCATCCATTGCTACATACCCAAAGACGAGCGGCTTCCATATCCCCGACGACAACTTTTTGACCCCTATAACAACATCTTCACACCGATCAGCCCTGTTGATGAGGACATCGACCCTAGAGAGAAGGTAATGTCATGATTCAATCATTTTTCACAATCATTCCATCGATCACCTTATCTTATTATTGACATGGGACTATCTTATCACAGATCACGGCACCACACGGTCTGGGTTTAGGGTTCAAGAGGGTTATCTGTACAAGAGGTCATGCAGTGTGTGCTCTAGAAGTCTATACTACAACCCATGACCAAAGCTCCACACGGTACATAGTCAGATGACTTGTTTGATGTAGATAAGACTCAGACTGGACTTAGTATAAATACAGTAGCCATTGTGTTGTATTCTCCAGTCTTGGAATTGACTTGTCTTTTTAATCATATTCTGTATTGATTGTCACAGGATGTGCATGTTGTCTGAAGAAATGATAAACCCTGAGAGTAGTCATAAGCTATGATAGAGTGCACTACGCTGAAAATGATAGCCCACGGCAGCGCTCTGCACGTAAGAACACAAATCAGTTACAACAAAAAATAGGCGTGCAGGCAGCTTGAAGAACCAGTAAAAGAATCAAATAGATGAAATGGGAACACAAAGCATGACACTGTAAAGATGTGGAAAAGGAGACGCATCTATAATAATAGCATGAGGAAGCCAGAATAAATTGGGATGACTTGTGGATGAAGCCAGCAATCATTTGATACTAAATTATGAGGCTGGAGAAGCCTTGTCAAGCAAGGCAATTCCATCATTGTTTCTATTATTCTAGTCACATGATTCTTATACAGTCACATGCTCCATCCACATAGATAGTTCTTGTCTCCCTAGAGTTCTTCAGCTTCTTACTGTTGACTCCAGGTCTGTAGATTCTTTTCTTGTCTTGTCTTGCAATGCAGAGCTTCTTATTGTTGACTCCAGTCCTCTCTGCATCTTCTGCTTCAACACATGTATCATCAGGAAAGGTTGTCAGTTCATTGATGACCATGCCTCTTGCTATTTGGGACCAGTCCTTGGATGGTGAGGTTGAATAGGTCAGAAGCAAATTTGAAGTAAGCAAGGAGGAGGCAAAATGCCTTGATTTGATTGAAGAAATGTCCATTTGTTCTTTTGAATAGTTGGGGAATGCACAAGGCAACAGCAAGGTCACAGAGCTCTTCAGCATAAAAACTGAATTCCAGGTCAGTGCAAGCTACACTCTTGACAGTGAAGTTACACATTCAAAGCAGTACAAGCGCTCTCTAGGAGTCATTTCTTTTAGACCCTAGTACTTCACCTCTGCCCAGCTATCTGTGTTGATGATGAATGCTGATCACGTCAGCAAGTGGCACTCAGCGTTATGATGTGTTCGTATGATCGAGCAGACATAGGAAGTTTTCTGATCGTTTCACAACCCTCAGTCTTACCACTGTCTGGTGTGACTGAGGGTACGTGGTCATTACCTTATATTTATATCTAGATACTTATCCATCCTGTAGACTGACTGGGTCATCTGTCTACAGGTATATACCTGAGTCTTACCACTGTCTGGTGTGACTGAGGACTGACTGGGTCATCCGTCTACAGATTCGCAGTCAGAAGTAGAGTGCTTGCATCCACGGTCCAATAATCAGAAACACAACAACAGTCAGAACGCAGATTCAAAACAGAGATGACGACAAATCTCCCAGCAACCCCTCTCCTCCCCGATGAACAGAAGCTAGCCACCAACGGCGCAAATTGGGCCAACTTTAAAGAGATCATGATCAGCATGGCGAGAGGACGTGGTGTGGATGGTTACCTGTTCGGGACCGTTCTGAACCCAACCGCCTTCGTTACGTCTAGTGCCGGATATACCCCTCTGAACGCTACTACACCTTCTCCGGACAAATACATGTTACGAGATGGATGGGTGGCAGCAATGCTCTATCAGAACATCAAGGACCCACGGTCGCATGATCTGAAGGGGTCAGACTCGACAAACCTCATCTGGACAACCCTCGTCAGCAAGTTCAATAGAAGCACCGAGCTGTTGGTGGGCTTGAAGATGGAGTGATTGCGCATGCTGGAGCTGAAAGACCCCCAGTACCTAATGTCCCATATTGACGAGCTAGTGAAACACCGCGCGGAAGTGCACGACATTGGTGGAAGCATCCCTGACCCGCTGATGTGTACGATCATCTTATCGTCGCTGCCAAAAGAAGAGTTTGGAACGTTACTGGTTGCCCTCCAAATACACAAAGTGGTGGCTCATCTAGTGCAACATCTACGCGAATGGTGGGACTTGGTTTGGAAGAAGCAAGTGGAGGAGGAGGGAGCATCAGTGAACGCTCTGGCCACCGTGACGAACAACTCACTCTGCAAGAACTGTGGGGTCAGTGGACATAACCAACGGGCGTGCTGGGCTCGAGGTGGAGGCAAGGAAGGACAGGCCCCTGGGTGGTGGAAACCACCCTGTGGAAAGGAACCCGCACTGGGACTCGTTCAGGCCCACCGTCAAGCCAGAGAAAACCGCCGAAACCACGCACAGCCATACGTAAACCACCAAATTGCCGCCGCACAAGCTCCAGACTTGCCGCCGACCACTGCCTATGCCAGTCTGATGGCTACATACGTCCTTGCCGCCGAAACAAATGACGACAGTATGTCGTCAAGACTGGGCAAACCATACCACACATCTAATAAACTGTTCAGAATGGGACGTGGAAGGTCACACCCTACTGTTCTGAATGAGGAGTTTGGACAGGAAGGGGAACCTGTAGTCTATGCAACATCAGCCGTACAGAGTAAAGCAAATCAAATTCCTACCTTTCTTGACTCTGGGGCGTCGGAACATTGCATTGTGGATCGAACCAAATTTGTGACATATCACGAAACAGCCGGGGTCCAAGGTCAGACCGCAGTAAAGTCGGGAGGTCAATTCAGGATAGCTGGGCACGGGGAAGCCAAAATCACGGTTCGTCTGGAGAGAGGTCAGGTACACCGGTTCAGATTCCACGCTTTACACACACCGGACTTCCGCATGAACCTACTATTAATCACCACCCTGGACGCGCGCGGGCTGAAAGGTTCGTGGGGCAACGGAACCTTGAGTGTCGTGAATTGCCAAGGGGTCAAGGTGCTCACTGGGCGGATCGCAAGCGGAAGCGGGAGCGGTCGCAAGCTATATGCGGTTGATGTGGTGGACAAAAAGCTAGTGGCACCCACAACAGTGGCAATCACGGGGAGAAATCGAAAGCAGCCCACCTCCATGGAGAACTGGCACCGGTGACTGGGGCATGCCAATATCCGGATGATCCAAAGAATGGCAACGAGAGGGTTTGTTGAAGGCCTAGACATCATAAAGGGCGAAGTGCGGGGAATGTGCCAGGATTGCATTCTCGGAAAGCAAGATCGAGCCCCGTTTGATGACGAAGTTGTCCACAAGAACAATGCACTGGAACGCGTCCACCTCGACCTGTGGGGGAGAGCTCGGACACCAAGCTGGGGAAGAGCAGTGTACCTACTGTTAATCTCGGATGGGGGAACCAGCATGAAGTTTCCCGTATTCCTGGCAGACAAGCGCAAGGAGACCGTCCTCAAGGCTTTTGCAGCGTGGGTGACGGAAGTTGAGGTTCAAACGGAACGGAAGCTAAAGGTTGTCTGAGTTGACCTTGGGAGCGAGTTTGACAACGACATTTTCACAGGGTACTGCAAGGACTGAGGCGTCATGATTGAGCGAGTCCCAAAGGCGTCGTCTGCGGCACATGGTCATGCCGAGCGCGGGAATTGGACCATGATAGCTGGGGCCAGGACACAACTGATTGAATCAGGGTTAGATGCTTGGTTCTGGGCGGAGGCAACAGCCGCTCACTGCTATGTTTGGGGGTTCATCACGTCTGCAAGACACCCAGACACAGTTCCATGGACACGATGGTTCCAGAAGCAAGACGGGGATGGCAACACTGTTCGCCCAAATATTTCACACCTATGCGTTTGGGGCAGTGTCTGCTAGGTGAAGGACTTGGATGAACGGGAAGGGAAGCTGGGTCGCCAAGGGTGGGAAGGCCGAATGGTGGGATACATAGGATGCCGCGGCTACCAAGTGTACGACCCAAAGCGAATGAAGGTCTTCAAAGTCAGAAACGTCATATTTGAGGAGGGGGAAGCTCACCATACAAGCGGAGCAGAGCCCACCAGCAACAACACAAATGTTATATCCACTGACAAAGACCGTATAGCTGAACAGCCAACTGGGGAAGGCAAGGACGGACCACCAAACATGAGCGACACAGTCCCAGAGCAAGACGCAGTGAATGGACAGACCAACGAGCACAATTCGATTACGAACGTACCTCCGATCCCCAGAAAGACGAGTCGGATACCAAAACCCAGTCGGAAGATGCTAGAGAGCCGTATCGCGAAAAGGGAAGAGGCAGAGGCAAGACGTGCAAACGAAGACTGGGCGCGGGACTCAATTCAACCAAGCGTGAACTTTGTAGACCTAGAAGGGGACACCTTCAACGAAGACTCGTTTACAACCCTGATGGCACTGGCTAGCGCAACGAAAGGTAGACTCCCAAGGTCAGGGGCAGAAGCGTTGAAGGAACCAGAGATCTGGGGGGAACCTATGAAGGAAGAGATGAATCAGATGAAACAAAAGGGCATATGGAGACTCGTTGACTTACCAGAGGGGGAAAGAGCATTGGACGGGATGTGGGTCTTTGATGTGAAAGTGGATGGAGAAGGAAACATCGTAAAGAGAAAAGCCAGGTGGGTTGTGAGGGGGGATCAAATGGTAGAAGGGCGCGACTTTGGAACAAAGTGGGCGATGGTGGCTCGGATGGAATCCGTACGCATGGTGTTTGCAGTTGCGTGTGTGAGAAGGATGCCCGTACGGCAATGGGACTTCTCGGGAGCCTACCTGAATGGCACGATGGACCGGGCCATTTACATGAAACAGCCGCGTGGATTCGAAGAGAAGGGGAGGGAAGACAAGGTCTGTCTTCTCTTACGACCACTCTATGGGCTGGTCCAAGCCGGGCACATTTGGTACAAGACATTGAGTGCTGAGTATCAAGATCTGGGATATCACAAAAACGCCACCGACCTGTGCGTTCGGACAAGGAAACAAGGCGGAGAACACACAATCACAAGCACCCACATGGACGACATCATCGGTGCTTCCGCCAGCGAGGAAGAAAGTGTGCGCGTGGTAGAGGAGTTTGCGGAAAAATGGGATCTGAAGCAGGTCAATCTAAATTTACTGCTAGGACTGACCGTGGAGAAGTTTCCCAATGGCGATATAGCGTTATCGCAGCGCCAGTACTTCGAAAAAGTATTGGACCACTTCGGCTATGCGAATCTACCTCCGCTGTCAACTCCGCTTCCACCTGGATACCAGATCCGTGCATCTCCATCTCCGCTTCCGACCGAGGACACCGCGTTCATGCAAAATAAACCGTTTTGGCAGATCCTAGGCTGCATTGTCTGGGGGAGCAGTGGCACACGACCCGACCTTGTATACGCGTGCTGCGTGCTTGGCCACGTCCAATCTAACCCTGGACCAGAGCACTGGACAATATTGATCGGTGTCTTACGATACATCAAAGGTACCATTGACTACGGGATCAGATATCGTGTCGGAGACAGCTTGAAGCCGATCGGATTCGTGGATTCCGACTGGGCGGGGTGTGTTGACACACGGAGATCTACCGCCGGCTACATCTTTTTCATGGGCGGGGCCCTGGTAGCATGGTTGGCAAAACGACAAGCGGTGGTCGCGCTATCCTCAACGGAAGCGGAATACATCTCTCTGGCACGTGCATCTCAGCAAGCAATGTGGATGAAACACTGGCTGTCAGAAGTGTTCCTGCCGCAGGAAACACCATTGGAGCTTTGAGGTGACAACCTTGGCTCCATGAGCCTCACGGAGACGACGAAAGGACATGGCCTTGCGAAACACATCAATATCCGGTTTCACTATATATGCGACCGCGTTAGCAAGGGGGAGATCGCTGTCACGTTGGTCCCCGGCAAGATGAATGTTGTGGACATTCTGACAAAGGCGCTCAGGCGAACGGATCACAGCCGCATCTGCCACGCGCTCAGACTGGACTGGAGGAGAGCTGAGCACCAGGGGGAGTGTTGATGATGAATGCTGATCACGTCAGCAAGTGGCGCTCAGCGTTATGATGTGTTTGTATGATTGAGCAGACATAGGAAGTTTTCCAATCGTTTCACGGCCCTCAGTCTTACCACTGTCTGGTGTGACTGAGGGTACGTGGTCATTACCTTATATTTATATCTAGATACTTATCTGTCCTGTAGACTGACTGGGTCATCTGTCTACAGGTATATACCTGAGTCTTACCACCGTCTGGTGTGACTGAGGACTGACTGGGTCATTGTCGCAGACAATACCGCGCAGTGGAGATACGACCAGTAGCGATCACCTAAAGACACAGAGTCTCAGCGAGTGTAAGACACAGGAGCTTAGCATTAGCTGTACCTAAAGACACAGAGTCTGTGGTACAAGTCATAAGTAAGGGTCATTAGATCGTAAGGGAGAATGCATACCTCAGCGAGTGTAAGACACAGGAGCTGAGGATATGGAGCGTATAGTACTAGGTTTATATACCAGTCTGGAGCAGATATCATGATGTCATAGTGGAGTAATGATATCATAGATGAGTAATGGATGACGCAATAATGAGGTCAGGTATGAGGTCATTGTGGAGCGAGCCAAAGTAATCTAAGAATACTACTTATGATGTCATGTCTACATACTGTGATAGTCGCTAATACAAACAAGCTTCAACACTCCCACTCGACTAAACAGTCGGATCATGAAGACCCAAAGACAGCCGATGTTGTTGGAACTTCACCCATGCCAGAGACTTTGTGAGCGTGTCGGAGATCATCGCATCAGTCGGCACATGGTAAAGTTGGACATTGCCAGCTTCGACGGATTCTCGTACGAAGTGATAGCAGATGTCGATGTGCTTCGTCCTCCTATCATGAACTGGATTTACTGCCATAAAGATAGCGCCTTGGTTATCAACACAAAGAGGCGTGGATGGTAAGTCATATCCGAGCTCAGTCAACAAAGTGCGGATCCAGGCAATCTGGCGCGTAGCATCGCTCAGAGCCATGTATTCGGCCTCTGTTGAGGACAAAGCGACCGTGGGTTGGCGTCTAGAAACCCAGGTCACTGCACAACCGGCGATGAAGAAGGAATATCCCGTGGTTGAATGCCTGTCGTCTTTGTTCTCCGCCCAATCAGCATCGGAATAACCGATAAGGCCTGCGCCAGTGGAACCATCATAGCAAAGTTGGTAGTTTTTGGTACCCTGAAGGTACCGGAGTATGTATTTTGCCATGTTCCAATGATGTTCTGACGGGTTGCTGTTGAACTTTGATAGACGGATGACTGCATAGGCAATGTCGGGGCGAGTACCAAGCATGGCGTATAGAAGGCTGCCAATCAGTTGCTGGTATCGGGTACGACGGTCTTCATCAACTTCTCCATCATGCTTCTCGAGCACGATGCCGGAAGGCAGGGGAGTACGAGCTTCTTTACACGAAGACATCCAGAAACGTTCTAGAACTCCTTCGATATAGGAAGCCTGATCGATCCAGATTTTACGTGCTTTGCGATCACGAACTATGTTCAGACCAAGGAAATCCTTCGCAGGACCGAGATCTGTCATTTTGAAGCGATTCGCGAGCAAGGATTTGATACGCGCTATCTCCGGCAGATTGTTGCCCATAATGAGCATATCGTCAACATACAGCACCAAGATGATGACCGTATCTCCCATTTGTTGGCGATATGTGTAGACACCGGCGTCGGAGTATGTCCGAGCAAAACCAAGTTCGAGGAGGGCATTGTGGATTTTGATATTCCACTGACGAGACGCCTGTTTCAACCCATAGAGTGATTTACGAAGGCGTGCCACCTTTTCTTTTGGCCATGACGAGAAACCTTTGGGTAATTCCGGAAGTTCCATATAGATTTCTTCCTCCAGATCCCCGTTTAGGAATGCCGTTTTGACATCCATGGCATGAATCTCCCAATCTTCGAGAGCAGCCAGAGCCATAAGTATGCGCAGAGATTCGTAGCGCAATACTGGCGAGAAGGTCTCATCATAGTCAAACCCATGAACCTGAGTGAATCCCTTGGCAACAAGTCGTGCTTTGAAACGACCGTCACGCTTCCTGCTAAACACCCATCTGCATTTGACAGTCTTTCGACCGCGTGGAAGGCTGGTCAAATCCCAAGTACAGTTTTCCTCGAGAGAGTCCAGTTCTTCGCGCATTGCGCGCTCCCACTTGAGTGCATCCGGGCTCTTTGCTACATCCCGCACGTTTTGAGGCAAGTCATGCTCAGCTTGGGCAGCTGACAACATGGACTCAATGCTGCTAGGCCTCTGATACGTAGATCCATCTGGCATAATGCGGGGCTTATTCCGACAAGGGCGGCGATGGGCAATCGGGCGATCGTCTATCGGGCCAGGCATTAGGGGTACTGTTGATGTGTGGATTTTGTGTGTGCTTGGTTCGGACAAAGGGTGTGACATTACTCTGTGACGCATAGTATATAGCATCAGATCAATGTGACCTACTGGGCTTTTCGCCTCCCATCTGTGCCCCTAGCCTCCTGCGGCTCCCATCTGTGTTTTCTGTGTTCAACAGGTTATGGGCCCCACTCTGACCCATCTTTAAACCCTCTTCTTCTCCCCCTGCCCCTCATTGGCCTTCCCCTTGCTGCGCATTTTTCCGATCCTGCCTGATCTCCATTCTGCCACCATCTGCCACCATCTGCCACCTCCAGGACCACCATTTCGACCTCATCCACCACTGCTACACTGTACAACCATGTTGGAGGAAGGGATTGGGATGGATCAGCCAGATCTTGGGTGGAGATGTTGGGGAGGGTGTCAGATTCATTCAGATATGTTCATAGCTACCACACAGCTGCTGCATACACACATTCTCCTGGAGTGTCCCCTGCTTCACCACTCTCTCTCAGCCACTCTCCCTGCCCCCCACTCCTCTCTCCTCGCCTGATTTCGATGGATTCCGCTCTGTGCTACTGCCCCTTGCACACACCAGTCCCCACCACCCTACCCCGTCTTGTAAAGGCCGAAAATCGCATTGGATCGTCTTGGATCTTGTTGGATCTTGGTGGATTGTACAGATCTTGTTGGATCTCCCTGGATCTCTGCTGGATCTCTGCAGATTGACTTGGATGCTGAAGAAGACTGGAATTGGGTGCAGGGGCTGTCTTGATTTTCGAGGATTGGATTTCAATTGGGTGGGAGTGGGATTGTCCCAGTTGGGTGGGAGTGGCTGGGTTTTTTGGATTGCTTTGTCCACCCAAGGGTGGGAGTGTTGATGTGTGGATTTTGTGTGTGCTTGGTTCGGACAAAGGGTGTGACATTACTCTGTGACGCATAGTATATAGCATCAGATCAATGTGACCTACTGGGCTTTTCGCCTCCCATCTGTGCCCCTAGCCTCCTGCGGCTCCCATCTGTGTTTTCTGTGTTCAACAGGTACTTCTCACGATCCCGTGACAGGACCTTGTTGCGCGAGGGGTGCCGGTGGCGGTGGGAGAGCAGGAGGTGGTATGCTTGCATAAGGCGTTGCAGGCGCAGGATTATTGATAAGGTCAGGGAAGGTTTCCTCGAATGGTGTGAACAGCTCCAGTCCAGAGGACACATTGCTGGTGACTAGCTTGGACTTGGCAGGGAATACTCGCTCATCGAACTCAACATTTGAAGAGACTCGTATCTTGCGTTGATTCGGATCCCACACTTTCCAAGCTTTTGTCTCTCGTTCGTATCCAACAAAGATGTGGTCGGGGCGTCCATGCTCCAACCCTTTCGGGCGTTTTTCAACATCCACATAGAGAGACGCCTTGCATCCAAACACACGGAAATAAGAGACGTCTGGCTTCTTTCCAAGCCACAGTTCCGCAGGTGTTCGCCATCCCAATCGTGCCATAGGTTGTCTATTATGAACGTGGACAGATGCATCCATAGCACATTGCCAGAAGCCTTTGGATAGGCCGGCATCGAGGCGCATGCATTCCACTTTCTCGTAGGCTGTGCGATTCCAACGTTCAGACCTCCCATTTTGCTGTGGTTCGCGTGGCGCGGACTTAGGGTGCATAATACCACGTGCATTGAGCCAGGCTGTGAGTTCATCAGACATATATTCGCCTCCACGATCTGACCGGAAGGCCAGTACTTTTGTGCCAAGCTGACGCTCTGTAAGGGCAACAAAGTTTTTAATCGCAGTAGAGGCTTGGTCCTTTGATTTAATGAACACCATCATGCCAAAGCTCGAGAAATCGTCATAGAATAAAATTGTGTAGCGTGAACCTTCCAACAACTGAGTAGGCCAGGGGCCCATCAAATCAGTGTGGATAAGCTCGAGGGGTTTGCTAGCACGTTTCTCTGATGCAGGGTATGGATGCTTGTGCTGTTTTCCAAGCATACATCCATCGCACATGCCGCGCTGGTCTTTATTGCGTCGCAAGGGGGGAACACCTTCAACTTGTGTCGGCAAGTGAGTAAGGGTCCTCCGAGCCGCATGACCAAAACGCTTATGCCACAATTCACGATCGGTAGTTTCCAGGGAAGCGAGCGCGGTAGACTCGTGAGATGCAGACACAGACGGTGCCACGAGCTCCTTGGGGTAGTACCAGTAGCAGTGATTGCTTGCTTTAAAGGTCATCAAGACATCCCCATGCGCTTTTCCCTTGTTGAGCCAATCCTTGGTGACTAGGATTGCCTTGTTGTCACCAACCACGGTGTAGTAACCAGCCTGATCGAGCGCATACCCAGAAAGATAATGCCCTCTTATGTGCGGGTTGTAGATGACATCCTTCAG